GTAATGTTTCAGACTGAGCAACTTCACACATGGATCTCTTTCTGTTTTGCTTTGTTGTTGTTAATTTCACGTCTTATCCCACAAGTCTCTGATGCGAGTCTTCCGGTACTGCCTGTGAAAAGAATTAGCATCTGAAAACGAAGATGAGGTTCGATGGAGGTTAGTGTGACTTACATGGACATAAGAAGCGTCCCAAGATCCGCATCCCATTTGTGGTACCGCTGCCCATCCAATTACCGCCCTTGTCGGGAGGAATGGGCTTGACAATGGCCCCCGCACTGCTAAATCAATCAGCCGGATCTCCCGGTCTATCGTCCGCATATAATTCGACACCTGCGGATCTCCATGGACGAACCAGCCTCGTAAACTGTGACCAAGCATTCGTTTATGTTCCCGAACAAAAACTTGCGCGCGCTGGAATCCACAAAATTTTCTTCAGAAATCTGGAACAACAGCTCCATTCCGAACCCAAAAATTCCCTCCCGATCATGCAGCTGCGTGTCGTGTACGCGTAAAATAGGAATTCCCACACGAGTTCCCTTTGTGCAGACACTTGATGAGCCTCAACTTGTTCCGAATCTGCCAACGATTGTAACGGGTGACTTGGTCGAGTGCAGACAGGGATCGACAATGGGTCAAATGGGTTAGATGATGGCCGCTGACGATGTGGGGTGCACAGCGAAGTCAATTACTACGTGTAATAATCTTTCTTGGTCCTCAGCATCCTTGTGTTGGGGAGAGGAAAGCCCAAGAGAAATCTTTCATCATGCCCAAGTAGCCTCCCTTATAAAGTCCCTTTGCCTTTGTGAGTACCACGCGGTCTCTTGCAATCTTCAGGGATTCTCCTCAGCGTGGCAAGGTTATCTAACTCATTCTTGTCCCCCCTCATATTTTTCCGGGCTCTACCAATCAGATATGCCTTCGCCCTTCTCAGCTCTTGTGTCTCTGATGTTCTATATGTCGACTGTCAAGGATATTTCTTCTCCTTGGACTGCCGTGTCCATGTGACAACGATATTCCCTAGTGTTGGCGATTTTCAGGACAAAAAATTCGATGACTTCGGTCTATGATAGGGATTGGTCCGCATTCTGTTAGATCGATAGCAGGCCGACCAGCAGAATGTGGGCGAAGCCCTGGCCTCCATTAACAGGCTGCAGTCCCCGACTTTTTGGAAGGGCAAGCAGTGGACAACTGGCCTGGAGGTCATGTGGAGGGCGACATCTGGCCAGTAGGATAGGCTTGGAAGGGTGAACCCGCATCGCCCGTCCATGTGATGTGGAATTCTTGCCCGTTGATGGAGGCTGGCAAAAGATCGGGCTGTTTGAGGGAGACTTTGTGTTAAGTGAGGTGCATAACGTTGTCATTTTGGCGGGGAAATGAAAACTGTCGGATGGACAACGCTGGAACTTAGGCGTGGGAGACACTGATTTTACACCTATTGACCTATTTACATGTAGAATACTGACGATTCTGAGAACCCATTTACCTTTGGTCAGTACTGGAAATCACGCTAAAATGGGAAGTAGTTCTATATTTGATGTGCTTTCAGATACTTGTGCCTAAAGTGATCAAATTAACATGCAAGGCTAACGAATCAAATCAATACTGGGCTACAAATATCTTGTTATTTGACATTCATCTCTAACTGTTACAGGAAAAAAGAGAAGACATCGCTGCTAAATTCTGTGTTCGTTTTTGCATCCCAGCGTGACCCACTTTATTGGACCCGGATTCTCCTCTGGGATCCGGCGAGACGTTGAAACTCGGCACTGTCTGAGACCAGCATAGCACCGGGCTTGGCAAAATCCGGCTCCGTGGTTCTGCGGTCCACTTTTGGTCTCCACTGTGCAACATCTCCCGGTTGACGCGTTTTGATCCACCTCCAACACGATCAGCACGCATGGGCGCTTCCACTGCTTATGTTTCGAAAAGTCGATGGACAGTGGCTGATGCTTTTGCAAATGAAAAGTTGTTGTATTGATGGGTATTTCGTTGAGCTATCATTCAAGCCATGCGGCGCTGTCTCTCTGTCGTCAGCTTCGCATCCAACTACTTGCTAATACGCTGCAATGTTATCTTCCCTTGCCATATTCGGAAACATACAATGCTATTATCCTTACTTCAACGTGGAGTAATATTAGAACTCTCATTTCTGTCATTTGAAAACAATAATCTCACCACAGCTCTCAGCAGCATTCGACTTCACTACCTCATTTACGCAGCCCAAACTCACTTTTGCCAAAACCCATCACAGCCACGCATCAAATATGTCCCAATACGTCATGAGAATCCATCTCATCTGCGATCCTACCCTGTCCACAACTCCCAATTGGAAGCGATGCAATGACTCCCTGTGCAAATTTCTCAGTGCTTCGTTCCTAAGTCAGCCATAACGGTAGGTATTGATGCAAACGGGGACAGGTGCTGGGAGACCAACTGCCTATATCGCAAGAAGGGCCTCAAGTGAAAGTGCTGCAGCTGTGGTAAGCATACCAAGGAATGATGATGAGAGAGAGAGGTTGTGCAGTGTAGGGCACTGTTGCATAAGGGCTTAGTGTGGGTGCTGGGCTGATCAATGCAGTCTTGGGAGGAGTCGTATATACTATTAGTATTAGCAATTTTACAGAGAATACAATTTCGCGGAAAAATAACCTTGCAAGTGACGACGGCGGCTTGCGCACAGATATGTAATATAGGAACTGCTATGCAAATGCGCTATAACTTGCGTTTCAAGATGTAAATATATTTCATCCGCTTTCTGATCACTCCGTCTGTTTGGCTTCGAATTGACCGCAGTTTTTGGTGCATGTTAGGCAGCTGAAAATCGATAGCAGCACTAAGAAGCCACACTCACAAAGCACTACTCCTGTAAGCCAGTTCTATTATCAACCAGAGTGTTCTTGGTCGTGTTCTGACTCTGGCATCTCACCTTCTCAAGGTCACGATCATTGAGAGGTCCGTTACCCACAACAACGCTATGTGTCGCTGGGAAAAAAAGATCCACCCGGTATGCAGACACCCGCTCTGCCCGATCTTCTTACGCCCATGTATCCAGCCCCCAATTCTATGCGAAGGTGTGGAGGGCACTGAAAGGGATCCGGTTATCCTGACAGACTTTCTGGCTGGCGAGTGGCACTGTATGGAGCGATGTTGCTATTACAGGGTTAAGGGCCCGCGGTGGCGATGCTGCTCCTGCAGACTCTGGATCACGAAGAAGAAGTATTGTAGGTCCTGCTGGCATTGTGTCTGCGCCACATGCGACAAAGACCCCGTATCACGGCCGTGGACGGTGGGAGAGATAGACGCTCTCATGAGGGGGGAAGACGTGCGATTTGGGTGGAGGACGAGGATCATTTTTCACTGGGAATAAGCATCACAACTCTAAAGGTCGACAATTAATGTCTCTGAGCCAGTTTTTGATCGAGATGCAGGCGTCGCTTCTTAGGTACTGGCACTTGATGATTACCCAATACCTCCAACACACGATTTATCCTTAACAGGACCTCCACTCTTCTGCTGCATCCCCCTTGCCAAGACATGCATTGTGCCATAGAATACTTGAGCAGTTGCACATACATCAGCCGTTCCTTTAGAGGCTGCTTCTTCGCACTGCCATTGGTGAGAAGTGTGAGCTATTCACCAATAGTAGGTGTGTGTGCAGGTAAAAGGGTCCGAAGTAAGAGTGCTTCCTGTGTGGGAGCATCTGCGACTACGAGCACACGTGTAAGGATTACTTGAGTGCGCGGCATAATATGTGACAAGATCGTGAGAAGGTTAGTGAGAGAAGGAGGGGGGCTTGGGGTAATTGGATGTTGTTGGCCACCGCCGAGGCCGGGGAAAAAGGAATCCAGGGGGCATTGATTGGGAGGTTAGGATATGTCGGCCAGTAGTTTTCAGGTGAGTAATGAATGAGAGAGAGGATAACTATGACAAAAGTGCTATCCCTATTAGTGAGTCTGTGATCATTCTTAGTAATGTCATAAAGTGATCACATCTTGACATGTCACTTCTCAACGGCGTGAGTAGGCCAAAAGTCGGAGAGGTTGAGAAATGCCTTCCCAATGCGTGGGGTCGTTGAGCACAGATATCTGAGTTTGATGGGTAATAATATCCTTTCACTTTGGTCATTCGGTTCTATGGGATCGCTCTTCCAGATAAAGCCCTTTTGGTCATAACAATGTGGGTGTCATCAAGGGCGATGTCACACAGACACGGAAGTCCAAGAAAAATGGATATCCCTGACTGCCAAACACAAGGGACACCGGAGATGAACTGATTGTGAGCGGCGCGAACCCGTGGTTGACCCCAGGAGATATCTGGAAGCCGCATGACCGAAAAGAATGAACCGGATGGTCGAGAAATTCCATAAGAGAAGCTAGTCGGACACGATGAACTTAGTTTTCCTCTCCCTAACACAAAGACGCTGACGACCAAGAAAGGTTATTACACGTATTTATTATGCACCCCACATCGTCAATGGCCATTATTTAACCCATTTGACCCATTGTCAATCCCTGCCTTCATTAGATCAAGTCACCCGTTACAGGCGATGTGGCCTTGATACGGACCAATGGCCTTTTGGCATTTAGACTGTCCGGTATACTCTCCGGTTTTGGCACTTGAAACAGCAGATAATGCTGTCTCTTGCATACAAGCAGACTGCTTAGAGACATAAATCGTACCTCCGTAACACTACAATGAGCCTATGGCCCATGACTGTGATGACCCAGCAGACCTCGTGAGATGGATTTGAGAGGTTCCAGGCCGCTGGACTTCGATAGAGCGCGTCTGGTTCATCTCAGCTTTGACGTTTGTGACTTCTGGTTGGCAGCCTGGACATTGAACGCCTCGATATACTCCAGAAATTTGACCAAAGTCCAATAAACACTACCTAACGCCTTTGGGGCTCGAGTTTGGGCTGGAATGATGGGACAAATTCTAAGGCCAAACAAAGCACCTAGCTACGACTTGAGGCTCAAACAGACACGCAGACTACATGATCATGAGGTCTGAGATTTTTTCCGCTCGGGAGCATTACCATCCGAGTCCGCCGGCCGTTTGGCACCATGCTGTGTCGGTGATTGAACAACACCCTTTGCCTGCTTCGAAGCATCGAGCTGTATCGGTTGTGGATCATCACCCTGCCCCGACTGTTGAGTAGCATTCCCATGCCCCTTCCCTTGAGCCTCCTTCTCTGCTCGCCTCCTCTCAAACTCCTCCCTTGTCATCGGAATAACGTTCCACTCCGACTGTCTCTGAGCCAGCTCGCGCCAGTACGAAGCGGGCCGCGGGGGAGGGTGCAGATGCGGAAACCTGCCCAGATGTTGGTCACAACCGTGCTCATAAGTCATGTGGACACGGCGGGTGGAAGTGCAGGGCTGATAGTAGGCAAATCCATCACAGGCTTGGACACGCCAGGGCTTGCGAGCGTGGCACCCGCAGGCGTAGCGAAGGTTGATCCAGGTGCACATGTTGAATGTCTTGGATGGAGTGGTTAGTTTTAGTAGGTAGGGAATGAGGGAAATGGGATCAGAGGACAGGCAAACGTACGGAGAGTGGAGGGAACGATGAATTTGTTGGGCCCCTGCAGATTTGAAAAACGAGTAAACGAGCGAGTTTGTGAGGATTATATATAGCTTTTCCGAGTCAATGGAGTCAGTGTGAGCCCTTGCGCGTCATGTGCTTGATGCCATATGTCTTTGACCATAGAATACGATATTCGCATGGACTCGAGAGCCACTATTCTCGTGAGCACAATCTCCATTAACTTTTCTATTCGATCAAGTAATATACCTGGAATCCATGTGATCCGGTCAAAACGGAAGTACGGACCTCCCTGAGCTGCCTCTGAGAATTCACACCCCAAAGCATATGGCTAGCGCCTTATAGTATCATAAATTAATGAGTGTTCTTCATATTGCGCTCATAGAATGAGTATTATGTGTCATCCCACCTCAACAAATGTGACATCCTAAATCAAGTTCTCAGTGTGCTGTCCCTTTATTGCAAAACATGGGCGATGTGCTATAGACCGTAAACGATTGTGAGCAGTGTGATGATCAAGGGAGCAAAATAGAATCTACGGAAGTCTTGTTGAACAAACTATCTATGAAACAATGCGAGGAAGCGCACTTATGTTCATCATGAAAATTGAACAAGGAACGCGAGGGGATGATATACCAAGATCTGCAAGCAAATTGCTTTGTAACATATATTCCACATCCATGGCGACACCATCAGGTTAAGACCACTATATACACGTGGAAACATGTATTAAATCGACTTGTAGGAGCGTTCAAATTTTCCCGGAATAAGTTCGATAAAATGGCTCGTTGTCCATCATGAACAGTATGCAATGGGCCAAAGTACTAATGGCCAGTTGTGACCTGTCAACAACGGAGATCCTCAGGCTCCTGATCTGACCAAATTCTGTGGCATTGTGACAAAAAGAACTGAATATCAACCTTGTCATGGTAAGAGAAGTTCACAGCTGATCTGGAGGATCATGAAATTAACGACCGTCAATGTCACATGGACACGGCATTCCAAGGAGAAGAAATATCCTCGGCAGTCAACATATAGAACATCAGAGACACAAGAGCTGAGAAGGGCGAAGGCATATCTGATTGGTAGAGCCCGGAAAAAAATGAGGGGGTGGCAAGAATGAGTTAGATAACCTTGCCACGCTGAGGAGAATCCCTGAAGATTGCAGAAGACCGCGAGGCACTCACAAGGCAAAGGGATTTTATAAGGGGGGCTACTTGGGCATGATGAAAGATTTCTCTTGGGCTTTCCTCTCCCAAACACAAGGACACTGAGGATCAAGAAAGATTATTACACGTAGTAATTGACTTCGCTGCGCACCCCACATCGTCAGCGGCCATCATCTAACCCATTTGACCCATTGTCGATCACTGTCTGCACTCGACCAAGTCACCCGTTACAGTCTATCGTGACATATTCGTGCTATACTCCTTTCAGTCTTTGTTCAATGGGGATCACCTGGTGCCTGAATTCTTATTGGTTACAACACTGATGGCAGAGACCTAGGCTGCAGTTCTAGGGGCTACCTGCCCTACGGCCCTTAAAACCGACGGCAGTTTCGTTCCTTTTTGGGTCGGTTATTTCACTCACAAAGCCATGGTGAGAGTACTAATCGGTGTCACTGAAGAATAATTACATTTTGATGCTTTACACGACGATGTCTGTCGGTCTCAGCTTTTTTGACCAGGCCATAGTCATTGTGGAAGCTGTTTGTCCTGAGTAGATGGCAGTCCTTGAACTTCATTGAGTTTTCTATAACTGCTGGTGTGAATCTGTTTAAGCTGCAGCTTGAACCCAGTGATTGGGTTTTGTTCGAGCCTAAAGCTGACCTGGCAGGAAGAGCCAAAGACTCTGACTGTTCAGACATTGGGGTGGTTGCAGGTGTCAACATTATCACTTAAACAGGATCCTAGGTCTCTGAAACCGTTCAAATGCACATGTAGTACATTAACCTATTGCAGAGGATAGCAGGTGGCTGGTGTAGGAGGCCTGGTTGAGAGGAAGAAAAGACGGTGCCATGAATGGAAGGGAGTGAACAATGGCAGGAGGAACTCAGCATGGCCTTGAGTGCCAAACCAAATTCTCTATAGGGCCCTGAAGCAAAAGAAAAGCTTTATGAAACATACAGAAAAGGCCATGGAGACGTCCAAAGGATGAGAAAGAACCGGTGAGTAATACATACCAAATGTCTGCTACTTATAGGGCTGGAAGAAGGAAGACCATAAATCAGGTGTCTAACAGTTAGGCTTCTTTTCCCTTTATTTCTCCGATTGGCAGCTTGATCAAAGCACCTTTCTTCTTTCGAACACTCGTTCACAACGTCATCAATTTAATGTTGACGGTCTTTACACTCTAGATAGCAAGATGGAAGGACTTTCTATGAAAACTTGATGTAAACTGACATAAACCATGCAGTTAACTTTGCAAGCCCATGTCCCTAAGAGACTACATAAAATGTGGCACATAGTCAGCAGTATCAACATACGCAGCGCATAATCGCCCACCGGTGAGTCATGGCGCTCGTTTTAGCACATGACAATTCCCCAGATAAGAACTGCATCATACCATTTAATCTTATGTCAGAATGATAATTATTTGTTGTCCCTTTATTGAATATTAATTAACTTTCCACAAGCAAAGTCTGCAACAAACCTTGAATCCGTCCATGAGTTGGCTGTCGCACAACGCTAATGTATGCCCTGCTGAGCACAAAAACACACTTCATGCATATAATAGAACCTGCAGTATATTCACACAATTAGTCTTCATGTCATTCACTAGGACATTGACCCGAGCTTCTGGGAACTTTTTTCCAAGCCTGCACTTTCTCGCAGTCGAATTCTGGTAAGCTGTGGAGCAATGCTCATATTCCCAAAATGTTGTACGCTTGACATATGACCATGAACCCAAACTGGATCTTCTGCTTTGTTTCTTCTGCTTCTGGTCAAGTGTCCTCCAAAAAAAGTGCGGCACACATGAGGAAATGCAGACCAATAAAAAATAACCATGCTCTTTGTTTCCCGTTCATCAGTCTATTTTTGAGAACTAACCCATGTTCTCCATCTAGTGTCTCTCATTTCTACTCAGAATCTTCCAGGAATCTCGCGAGTCATGCAACAAGTCACATAATAACGTTGGTCAAAAAATATGTTGACCGTCTCCTAAGCAACGAATCAGTCCCTGATGTCTGACCCGGATTGATCACCCGGGTCCCCAAGCTCCTTCGCAGCATAGAAAAACGCAAGACCTCTCTCTGAGCCTGATGCCCAAATTCTTGAGAACCAAACCCAACAAGTCTTGTAGAAGACATAAAGACAGCAGCGGAGAAGCAACTCAAACACTACTATCTACATACAGACCATACTGCGTGCACACCTCACCAAGACTCATGGCGACAGGCAGCTTGTATCTACATCGGCATCTCAGCGATCTATAACCCTGGCGGTACATCGCAAGGGGAACTGGTGGTGGGCATCAGGATCTATTGTTTAGCACTCTGGCTTCGCTTTGCACTGCCACTAGTGGGCAGTAGCTAGCACTCCAAAATAGGAAAGTCCACCGGCAATGGAACCAGTGAGGGGGTGATGGAGGGCACTAAAAAAGAAAGATAACACTGAGGAGGGTGGGTGGGCACGTAAAAAGCATGGGGGGAAGGAAGAGCACATCAGGAAAACAATACAGCAAGGGTGGGCAAAAGCAAAGCTCAATTGAAAAAAATCACTGAAGAGGGAGGGTGAGCAACAAAAGAGTATCCCGTAACAAACAATCCTGGGTATCAGCGTATAAAAGCAAAACAAAGTCAGAGTTGCAGACTCCTGCCTTGAGCAGAGGGGTGGTTGCGGGCTGTTAGCTACTAGCATACGTACATGCAACCCTCGAAATCAAATAACGATGAGTCTTTTCCTCTTGTTACAGTTTACTAACAGGCTTAACACTTACCGACACGATTGCAGATTTCGGGGGGCAAACAAACTAGCAGAATCCTGGTTTTGACCACGAAGGGCGGTGGCGGGCCTGCTAGCATATAGAATCACAGCAGAAATCACGATGTATCGACCCAAGGATAATCACTGGAACTTCAAGAGGTGAGTCTTTCTGCTTGTGGCTGATTATCACTAACTCTTCACGGGCTGAGACGTGTTCCCAGATTTAGGGCTATGGGACTTCAGGGAGGGGTGTGGTAGGCCTATTAACCTCGACAGCGTACCGGCATGGGGTATTCCTTAACATATGCCGGGCAAGAGTCTCATTTGCATGTGATTTTGGTCGGTGTAACAACGGCTAACGCACTTGAAGCATCTCGTAACTCGCAGAGTACACCGCTAATAGACTCCTGACTGCGAATAGGAGGGGTGGTGGCGGGCTGCTAGCGCGTTCGTCTGCTCAGACTGATCGGACACACCGGGATCAGTAAGTGTGGATTTGTGATCCTCCTTTTTTTTTTTGATTGCACATGCATGGTTGATATTTTCAAAGCATCTAATCACAACAACAGACACGCTCAGACTCAGCAAAATTAACAGAGTCACATCACGATGGTCTGTGCAGGTAAGCTATGTACATGACGTCTAATCATCAACAGGTCTTCATTACCCGCGACACTCCAGGACAGCCCAGTGAGCAGCACCAAGACCACCACAGGGGGCCTTAGAAGCAACTGTTAACACTCGAATGCAGCTTAATGGATGCTCTTGAAGACGAGTCAATGGGCACTCAGTGACGATATTGGTGATGGGTGACTGGTTAACTTCGGTCACCTGACGGGAAGGGAATTTTTCCCGGGAAACCCTTAACTTGATATCCATTTCCCGACCAATATCAAACACGAGCCTTTTCTCCCCCAAGGGACGAGGAACCTGATGATGAGGGGGAATCCACGGATTACTAACCAGGCGCTTGTTTTTTCCCCCTTCCCCCTCTCCACAGCACAAATGCACTAGCATCTGCGATGGCTACTGTGGCCGGCATGGACTGTTGCACGTCCCGGAAAGGCACTGGACAAAGACAGCCTAGCCATTATTACTCCCTGGAGTGAGATTACTCTCTAGCATCGGGATCTTTGACTCTATAGACTCCAGGTGAGTTGCCCTTCGGGTACACATGTCGGTATATGGTCCAGGAAACTCTTGACTATGTCAATGTTGAAAGTGTGGCGTGAGCGCGGCTAGGTACCGGGCGTTAGATTGAAGGGGTTTGGTGGATTGGTATCTCTTGGTTAGTTTGCGGGGGTGATGGAAAGGTTAGTAGTGGGGCTTTAACAGAGGCACCGCACTTTCTCTGCCTTTGTGATGAGGAGGGGGCTTGGTTAACAGGCTCCTGAGGGAAACTTGTGAAAGCTCTGCTCTGGGAGGGGTGATACAGGCTTGATTAACCTTTCAGTACAACATTTTTCTAAAAAACAATATCGCTCATTGAACCTAATATCCATCATGTAGTGAATGTTCTTAGCGCTTGTAACATCGGTAAGATTCAAGACCCTTCTGATACTCCTACTTTCCCTTACTGAGACCATCATCACTGTTGTCAATCTTCACTTTGTAATTGCGGATAACCTCAATAACCTTCATCACATCTTCAAGCCTTACGCTACCAACTGCCCATGGGGTTATGTCCTGACCCTCCATCCAGCCAGCTTTATCCCTTAACAGTCTTTCAACTAAGAGTTTTACTCCAACGCCACAAATTTTCCTAACCTTATTTGAGGTATACATTGCTCTCAGTTGAATCCTCCTCGAGAAAGACCATCCATCATTCGACTTTTTTTTTCTTGCAGTGTCCTCATGGTGTTTTTCACGTGCTATGCTGCCTGTGCGGCCGTTTCAGGGAAGCTTAGTCAAAAGGACAATTGGTCTTGTATTTTTGAGACATGATTTTGCTCATTGTAATCACCAAGCCCAGCTAGCAACACTCCCATGTCATATGAGATACCTCCCTATCCTGTCGTCTTCAAAGGGCAAAGTCAACAACAATAACAAAAGAGTGGAGTTTAAATAAGCTTTTATGGAGCACACTCCAAACAAAGTAGCGTGCACAACCTCCCCCGCATGTTGTGGCTAGCCACCCCACCCCTACCTACACTAAATTCCCACTCACCTCATTGCGTCGTCGGTTATGGGCACATCACGACCCGTCCTGAACGCGTGCCCCTCACCTCCGGCTTCAATCTCAAGATCATTTCACGATACCTTTGATTCATGCAGAAACTCACTAAACAGACAGACAAGTTGGCAACTCTCGATATATTGGGCCAACTATCTAGGTACTTAGGATCTTAGGTACGAAACCAACCTCCATGTTACCCCACTGATGCCCGTCCTCGACGGCCACGACCATTTTAGCAGTTTGACCAATCACTGATTGATTCTGTGCTTGCCAGCGAAGTAAATCCCAAGCAGACCATGAGACAATCCCAGCCTCAGGATGACCGATTTCTTGAAACCCTTTTCATGATTCCGTTATTCCGTAACCGAACCCAGTTGTGTCCTTTAGCTCAGATTTCGAAAGGAAACAGCATCGACAAAGCTTCAAAGCCCAGTCCAGTTGTCCTGTCCCACCCACCATTGGACACTGAGGTAAAGAAAGGAAGTCAAATAAACACTGTTTATCCCATCATCACTTGACTCAGGTTTGATGGGTCGGTTGACCAGTGCCGTGCCCATCCTAATGCAAAAGACCATAAACACACAACAAGAAGTGAAGATACATCTCCCCGAAGAAATTGCGATACTTACCACGCGCCACACCTATGGCACGCCGGTCGTGAACTTGACTGAATGCTTACTCAAGCCACAACCTCAGTATCCTCAACCTTTGCGTCAGCAGCCGCATCATCTGCCAGCTTAGTGGCCCCTTCAACTGGTGTAATGGCCCCACTAATCAATGTGCGAATCCCTTCTGCCAGCTTTGGGTCACGCGCATACCCATTCTCTACAAGCCACATGGCCGTCGCCCAGGGCCGGTGCTGGAAGGACGCGATCTCAAGCTGTTTGGCAAGACCCTGCTTGTTCTTGACGCGCTGCTGGGTCTCGAGGGACGTTGCGTCGTACAGCGGGCCGACGATGCGATAGTACTCGCGGCGGATGGGGCCGAGCTCGAGCTCGCGCTGGCGCTTCTGGGCGGCAATGATCTCGTCGTTTGGGGGAACTCCACGAGAGAGAAGGACAAGAGGGGTCGGACGCCAGTCACGATCCGAGATCCAGACGGGAAGACCGCCGTAGGTCTCGTACGCGGGCAGAATGCTTACGGATTCCCAGTCCACGATGCCTACGAGCTTGTAGGTGATAGGATCGACGATGAGGTTGTGCTCGGAGAGGTCGTCGTGCCAGAGGACGCCGACATCTTCGGGGCCATTGTCATGGGGGACCAGACGCGGGACAAGGGCCTTGAGCTGGTCAAAGAGGTCTTGGACGAGGGGCTGATAGCGGGCGAGCTCGCGGTCGTTCTCGCAGTAGAACGGTGTGCCTGGCTCCGGGGCAAGATCTTGAATGCGCTTCTCGAGAAGCTTGACGCGCTCTTCTACCAGTTCTCGAGTGGTGAGGAAAGGGCCGCGCGATGCGGGGTAGTTGACGCGCTTCTCGAAGAAAAAGTCCTGGGAGACGATGCGACCGAGCACAAATGGTCCGTTCGGTCCTAGGTCAGTGTCCATTCCCTCATTATTCGCGGGACAGTCCATGGCGTTAACATATTCAGCGACCTCAGAGAAATAGATATTGCCAAACTTGCTGAAACGCAATCGAAGGAGTGACTTTGCATGATAGGCGATCTCACGAAAGAGACGGCATCGGGCCGCAAAGTCCATGTCGGGCCAGACGGTGCGAAGCGGCACGCCGTCTAGCATCTCCATGAGGATCCACTCGTATCCGAGCTCGTTGTCATCGCTGGAGGAGAAGGCGACGACACGGGGGATGGGAATGGTGGTGTTCTTGTAGACGTAGACCATGGTGGCGACCTCGCTCTCGGTTTTGAAGAAAGGTTCGACTGGGATGGACACGCGGAAGATGTACTTCTTGTCCCAGTTGGGCATGGTGATGCTGTAGAGGCGGTTAAAGGTACCCTTGGCGAAGTAGGTGATGTTTGCGTTGGCCATGGCGGGGAAGCGTTGAACGAGCATCTTGCGAATGATGGGGATCCAGGCCTCGTGGTCGAGCTGATCGGGCCAGTAGCGCTCAAGGTAGCCCTCTTCCTCGTGGCTTCTCCAGTAGCGGTGGTAGTCGGTCGAGGTGACTTCGCGGGGGCGACACGGTGACATGCGGATGGGGAAGCGAACGCCGTGGGGGGCCATTTTCAATGAGGGCATGGAGTTGATGGATGGTTCAAAGAAGAGGGTTATTGAGTGAGGGGGTTGTTAAGGTGGTTAAGGGAGTGTTGGTAACGGCTTTGTTGATGGACGACTTGAAAAGAAGGTATGAGTGAGGAATTGTTAATGGGCGACTTAAGAAAGGTGTGTTGAGTGGGAGGTTATTGAGAAGGTGGTTGAACGGCCGTGTTTATGAAGAGAATTTGTGTTTTCTCCACGCGAACACTTGCGAGAGAGGAGAATCAGGGCAAGGGCAGGCAAGAACGATTTATGTCTGGGACTCAACTGTGGGCGGCCATCCAGTGAACGCCCATCATTCTTACAAAAGAAGGAGCAACTTGGAGACTCAGGAGCATTAGTGGAGTTGTGACATTGTCACGGGACTCAATTCCTCTTCATTCAAGGATTGACTCTAAGGACCTGGGCTGATATGACTGGTCACACTTTGAAGGTTCGACGATATCTACCTAGGCACAGTTCTCTCAAGGCTGACATGGCAAATGTTAGGCCTAGGTCCAGCTTCTCAAAGGCCTGTTAATATCAGAATGGCCTGCTATCTCATATGTAACAAGCGGCCAAGTTGGGAATGAGGTGAAAGGCATCGCAACTTCCTCGTCTATATTGGATCAAGAGCTGGCAAAAGAGTTTAACGTGGGACGAATGTTAGACCCAGTGCCATGTGCTTTTAGCCCACGTGAGGCCAGAAGATGTTGCCTTAGGCTACTGTCAGTTGAACAATTCCGTCCTGCATGCCGAAGGACCATCTCAGCGATGGGATCAAACATCGGGATAACCCGGATCGTTGTATCACTTCATTGTGAGAAAGCGTGCAATTCCGATTCAGGAAAATTATTCTTGCTATCAGCATGGGAGCACAAAGAGTGCCATGAAGATCATGTGGAGAGCAATTACAGTCTTGCCAACACCTGTCAGAGCGACATTAAAAGCAATCATGCGAAGTGTTTGACTTGAATGGTAAGTCTATCCCACATTCACATATCGGTTACCTAACCACACGCCCTCGTTCTAGAACCGTTCCACAAGACAACCATAAATTCAGCCTACCAGCAAGCAGCCTACACCTTCCCCAGCGCAAGCCCTGTGGCGTTGTCATCTTCGTAACAAACACCAACAACCCACCAATAATACAAATTACCCCACTGAAAATGGAGGGCTCCAAAAACGCCCCGTACCTGTCAAACAGCGCGCCATCAACCGGCGGCCCAACCAGCGACGAAGTCGATGCCAAAGCCATGCCCATCCCCATGTACGTACCCAGGTTTTGTAGATTGTCTGTGCAAACTGAGAAGGCAGCTGATGCTCCAGAAATGATGGTCCCCGAAAAGAAGGCGAACGCAACAGCATACAACACCAGTGCTGCAGTACTCTTCACGGTCGTCATGATCAGCACCAGAATGCCCGTCATCAACCCGCCGAGGCCAAAGACATTCAGTCTCCCGTATTTGTCGGCAATAATGCCAGGGATGATGCGGCCAAACGTTGAAGCTGCATTGAGGATGGCTAGAAGGTATGATGCCAGAGTCGGGTTCATCCCCGTAGACACGGCATACGTCGGGAGATAGAATGAAGGGAACAGCATTCCGATCACGGTGAGGAAGAAGCAGAAAATAACCAGAAGATACTTGACCTCCTTGAAGGCATCCTTAATCCAGAATTGAGTCTGTCTCGGCGGTAGCCGCGGTACGACAGTCGCCGCAGCAAACAGCAGAAAGGGCATAACGATAAACGCCATGATGCGCACCGACCAGCCAAAGGAGAGCGGCGAGTCATTGAGCATTTTGGACAAGGCAATAGGGAAGACGATGCCGCCGATGCTGGAGCCAGACACGACGATGCCCAGTGCAGCGGCCCGCTTTCGTTGGAAGTACTGCGACACCGCCGCAAAGGCAGAAACCTGCAGCATGGACATGCCAATCCCACATAGTATCCCCTGCGCCAGCACGAACTGCCAGTATTCCTTACAAATGGAGGTCATCATGAGGGCGAACACATAAATCACCGCGCCGGGGCGGACGACCTATTCACATTAGCCACCCTCTCTCTTATCAGGAACGTCCATACAGAGGCTCGCGAAAACGTACCCAAGACCCATAGCGATCAAACAACGGCCCGGCAAAGGCTCCGGTGACACAAGGACTTGGGAGTCTTTCAAAGACAAGACAAGACCAAGGATAGATAGATGGGAGAAGATCCAAAATATTCTCGACAAGCAATATCAGGGCTCAACAGGTCTCAGCTCTTGAGTCTGCAGGACTTCGAGGTTGACTGAGAGCAATATATCGGAGCGTAATGGGAGATACAATATTTACACGCATCGTTCTCTGCACTTATGTCCCTCAGATACTCCGAGAATACAAAAACAGCAAAGCATGTCGGTGAGAATAGTCCTCCTAGATCTTGCCCTTGCTGAACGTATCTCCGGGCCAACGCCGTGAGTCTACGGAGCCGAGTAAGTACATGGAGTGAATTTACGGATGTCAGATCGACATGCCAGAGTTATCGGCGCTCGGAGCTCGGCCTCGGCGCCTAGCGCTCTCCAGCTAATTAGGTACAATTGGATGAGTCCATGACGCATGTCCGCATGTCGTTCGGAGATTCCATATACGGGGATAATGCACTCGTACATGTTATCTTCGCCATCCTCTTTCTCCATCGTCTGCACGCGGCCTGCATCCGCCTTGCTTCTGCCGCCGATATGATCTCCACTTCTCGATCTCCGACTGCACTTGTTGGCCTATTGTGGAACATTATTGTAACGCTGGGAATCGAAGGATCAGGCTAAGCGGTTAGGTGCCGGATTGTCTAGTTCGCGGTCTTTCAACGGTTTTTATTCTCCGAGGCGCATCGATTCTTCTCCGAGTATTTGTTTTAATAACACATCTCCGAGCATCATTATGGCTGAACCACAGTCGGACCCGAAGAGTGCTCGATTCCGGAAAAGAAGAGCTATTGTGTAAATATTTTCGGAGAAATCCTCTCTTACAGCCGACATCACACTGACAACTCATTTTTCAGCGTCTGCATCGTTTGCCGCCTACGCAAACTCAAATGCAACCGCGAGATCCCCTCCTCCAATTGCGTGCGCTCCAAAGATGTAGCCTGCTTGTACTACCCCGAGGGCCTGGACGCTCTGCCCAACCCCCAAACGAGTCAAACCCAGTCTCAGCCTGCTGCCCTCCCTGAACCTCCCCCTCCTGAACCAGGCCCTTCTACCTCTTCTTCTTCATACCCTGTCCCGCCGTTCTCTGGCGGCCAGGAGCACAATAACTTTGGCTTTGCTGCACCTCCGCTTCCTCCCCCGTCGGAGCACAGGCCGCGCAGGCCCGGCCGTCCGTCAAATCTCACTACGAGATTGCCCTCGTTGGCGGCGGCGAATGCGGCGATTGCCCCGCCGTCGAGATCTATCCCTCCCGAGGCGCCTCTCCAGCCGCCGGGTGAGAGGAGGAAAAAGAGGAAGGCTCCTCAGGCTGAAGAACAGGGGGAGTCGAGTGCGGCTGCGGCTGCTGGAAGGAGAAGGGTTGGGAGGCAATTTGTTAACGTGACGTTCTCCCCTGCTGATGAAAAGGGGGATGGTCGTGTGGAGACGACGACGGTTGAGTTGGCGGGGTTTACGGAGGATATACATTTCCAGAGCGAGCAGCATTCTCCCGGGCCGGGACAGCAGCAGAGGGGGTTCAGTCAGAGTGTGGTGCACAGAAGGAGGTTTTTTGGCCAGAGTCACTGGTTGAATGTGATGAATTTGGTACGTCCCCCCTCTCTCATCTCACAAGATATATCCTAACTTGACAGCAGATCCAACCCCTCTTCCAAACTCTCACCACCTATCTCCGCGCCTCCCCTTCCCCCATCCCGTCCCTCTCCCGCCGCGCCAAACATCTCGCGAAACTCATAAAAGCCCGCCGTACGCCCCCCTGGCCCTGCTCCCCAACCCCGGACCTTCCCCCAAAGAAGTCTGCGACGTCCTGGTCACAAACTACCTCCGCACGTACGAGAGCATATACCGCTTGTTACACATCCCTTCTTTTCAACGGGCCTACGACGCGGTCTGGGGCCCTGAACACACGCCTGATACGGTATTTGTCGTGCAGTTGAAGTTGGTTTTGGCTATTGGGGCTGCGACGTATGACGGGATGTTTTCGTTGAGGAGTTGGGCGACGAAGTGGGTTTATGAGGCGGGGACGTGGTTGGGGATGCCGGGGAATAAAGGGGGTGTGAGTTTGGCGGGGTTGCAGACTAGTATTTTACTTTTGTTGGCAAAGGAGGCGACGGGCGTGGACGAGGATATGGTTTGGGTTGGGATTGGATCAGTTATCAGGATGGCAATGTGTCTTGGGTTACATAGGGATCCCACGGGGTTAGCAATCGGCCCGGGACCGGGAGGGAGGGAGAGTTTGTATGACGTGGAGATGAGGAGGAGGTTGTGGAATACCGTGTTGGAGATTGCCGTACAGGCGAGTCTGAACTCGGACGGACCGCCGGGGATTGGGCTGGAGGATTTTAATACCAAGATGCCGGGAAATTATAATGATGAGGATTTGGAGAGGGACACCGCGCCTAAGCCGGAGACGACGTTTACCCAGACCTCGTTGGCTATTGCGCTGAGGAGGATATTACCCGAGCGTTTGGCCATCGCTAAGTACTTGAATAACTTTTCATCGAAGGGAGTCTACGCTGAAACCCTCCGCCACGATACCGAGCTTCGCGCTGCTTCCAAAGCGTTGAACCAGATCTTGCAGACGTACCGCTCTGTGCCGAACGGCCCCTCCGATCTCGATCTACGAATGTTAGACCTCTTAATACGCCGCTACTTCCCTGCCCTCCACTTCCCCTTCTTCTCTTCCTCTCTCACCGACAAATCCTATGCCTTCTCCCGCAAAGTGGTTGTTGAATCGGCTTTGCGTTTCCGGCGCGCTATTTTCCCCTCCCCGCTTCCATCTTCCAACCAACACGATCCCCCCGACGACACGGGAGATTTACTATCTCGATCGGCAATTAACGGCGAGACCTTCCTCTCCACTGTCCCCCTCCAGTCCTTTATTTGCATCCTTGCCGAGCTGCAGGCTCTGATCCGGGAATCTGAAGACGAGCGGTTCGGGTTGTCGGGTATATTGCCCTCCCTGAGTGTGGAAACCATCCGCCCTGACCTGGTTTCCTTCCTGTCTGAGTTCAAAGAGTTCGCGTGGAGGGCTATACGGGCGGGGGCGACGAATGTCAAGGGGTATCTTGTGGGGTGTGTTGGGGTTGCGGCTATTGATGCGGTGAAGAGACAGGAGAATAAAGAGGAGGTTGTCGTGAGGGCGCTGGAGGAGGGAGTTAGGAAGTGTGTCAGGTGGTTGGAGAGATGTGTCGAAGGGGGGTATACTGATCCTGCGCTGGAGGAGGATGGGGATATTGATGTGCAAGAGGGGAGATGGGATGGAGATTGGGAGTATATGGCAAGGTGGATCTTTGGGGAATTAGGGGAGGGATTTGTGCATTAGGAGGTTACTGATATGGTTTATTTTGTTCTGTTGGCTCTGCCCTTTTTTAGAGGGTTGCGAATGAGCTTGTTACTGTGTTGGAGCTTCGGATACTTTCCTTCAAAACTTTATTAGGTAGGTATGGATATCTTTAAGAAGGGACCAGAAGAGTACGTATTGATGCTTACCGAGTCCATGGGACAGGATTTTTAATGCGATGTAATTGTCTTCATCATGCATTTATTTATATGCCGTATGCTGAGTTCGTCCAGGTGACCTGACCCTGATGTGTTGGCACGTTGGGCTCTAGCGTGCTGCCCAATCGGCTTCGCCTCGCCCTATAAGCGACAATGCTTTTTGTACAGACCAATTGCACTAACTTTGATGTTTTTTTTTCTCAGTTTATGGCATAAGATTTTGTTCATTCTTCTACCTCACAGTTCAGGGATTTGAAAACTGACATAACCCTCCTCTTGATATTTCTCAGTTTAGAACAAAAGACAATGGTCCCTAACGCCTCCCAGCAAACCCTCTTCCCTCCTATCCAGCTCCAGCCAGGAGCTCAGTTCCCTTCTTCAGGCGACGCCGACCAGTTTCAGCTCCTCTCCGATTCCTTCAGCAACCTCACGCTCAGCCGCGACCTTCCAGGCAGTCCTCAGTCCTTCCCATCGGCGCCATCATCTCCGTCTTACATTCTCTCGAGTGCTCGCCCCACCGCAACCATCCAACCGGGTCTGGAATCGTTCCAAGGCGGAACCGGAACCGGATGCACAAGCAGATGTGACCCCATCTGCGACCAGCCCCCACAACGCCAACATCCCTCTCAGCAGAACCAGCAAGAAGACCACCCCATTATCTCCATCCCCCCGTTGTTGGTACCCCCAGGCGAAAACGTAATTTTTGCGCACTCTTCCTTTTTCTCTCAGAACGCCCCTCTCGGCATCTCCGAATTGCCATCTCCCTCTCAGGTTAGGGTCCAAGCTGCTTGGCTTAATCTCACTCCCACATTTACCTCCCATTATCACTCGCATCATGGGTATCAGGAACAATCTGGCAACTTTGACCCAGTAAATTGCGCGTGCTATGTCTACACAGTCCCCTTCCCCCAACTGGGACTAGTCGTTCGCTTCGGACGCGGAGTTAATGCCTCCTCAGAAGGCAAGACTTTGTTGCTTGTTAGAGGGGCACTCAAGCAAGCAGGGATAGAGGGATGGGAGAAGGTGCCTGAGTGTTTTGGCTGGAGGAGGGATGGTGAAAGGGGGGAGGGGTTTTTTATATTTTGGGTTTGGGACCGATATAGATCTTGGGAGTCTTAGGACGTTGGAGGAACAGTGGGGCGCGTTAGGCAGGGAGGAGAAAGAGGTAGTGTGCGGGGAGGTCGAGCGGTTGGTGAGGGCTTGGAGGGGGTTGTCTTGGGGAATTGGAAAATACTTCATTGGTAAGTCCCGGGTCTTATGATTTACACTCACCTACATTGTGATCTTGATGGCGAGACCAGCCAAGAACGATATGCTGACACGATATTTCTAGGCTCCATCGACCGAACCCCTCTCTGCGACACGCTCTTCCGCTCTTGCGGTTCATCCCCCTCCCCTGCAGCAGGGCCCTTCCCCTCAGTGTCAGCCTTCCACGACTACCTCGTTCAGACCGCCCTCTCCAATTCCCAATCCCGCCAGGGCACTCTTGTCGCTGGATCGCACTCCCATCACCACTACAACCCTCACCACTTATTCCCCCCGAATGTCCCCATAACCTTCACCCACTCTGCCCTTCACCCCCGTAACATCCTCATCTTCCCTAGTCCCCACCAACCCCCTAAAGTGGTAGCAATCCTAGGCTGGGACCAAGCAGGTTTCTACCCTTCGTACTGGCAGACGTTTAAAGCTAAATGGGAGTGTACCCTGTCTAACGGGATAGCCGATTGGCAAGGGGAGTGGCTTCCTAGAGTGTTGGATTTGGAGAAGGTGGAAGGGGAAGTGAAGAGAGCGGGATGGAGTTTGAGCGCGTTGGCGGAGTATTGGGGGTACTGGGTTCGGATGATCGTTGGTAGGTAGGTACCGAGGGTTGGGGGTAGGAGGTTCTGCTGGTGAGGATAGAAAAAAAAAGAAATTGTCTGGGTAAACGAGAATAACAAATATCTCCTCCCCCCAACAAGGTGTAAGAGTCGAATGGTTTAGGTTATGGTATGAAGCTGTATGGTGTATTTTGCATCGTTTACGTCTATGAATTGGGACCAGATGCTTGGTGGTTATGTTGATATATCGTACACTCTTCAGTGCTACTCATCTCAAATTTTGAATAGTTGTGTTTATAGGAGCAGACTTTGTATTTGAACTAAGATTATATATCTTTGATGGGATACTACATACGGTCTCCGAACTTGGAAATGAAAGCCGTTAATTCTTGTGGCATTCCCCTCTTAACCACCAAGGGCCAGGGAGATAGCTCTGCAGAGGCATACCCTCCATAACACTTCATTATGGAGGAAAATGCCAAGGGACCAACCCACTAAGGTATTTCAATAAGGCAGAGAGGGGCTCAAGCCGGATGCATGACTGAAGGGCTCAAAATGCAGGGACTAACAAGTCCCAACTGCTTGCTAACAGCGGGTTAAGGTGAACCCAAAATGCGCTTTATTCATTAAGCTAAAGTTTTAGAAAAAAAAATAATGTTTAACTAGGTGATTCGAACGTCTTATATTTCGTTTAATTTCTTCATTAGCCTCTAATTAGCACATTGTCGACCATCTCTAGTTTGCATCTCCTGATAACTTAAGAATTGCCATTCGCTGTATATATGAAGATATCGCTTACTTCTTCCCCTTCAACATCGTCAACCCCCTTTTCCCCTCATGAAAGTATCTTCCTAGTTAGGCAAATTTTGATACAGCTTATATTACAGTTACGGGCGTATGGTCTAGTGGTATGATTTCTGTTTTGCATTGTCTCAGCCTAGCTGGCCAGCTCTACAGAAGGTCCCGCGTTCGATCCGCGGTACGTCCATCTATTTTTGCCCCTTTTCCACATATCATCAACTTGGTTCCACCCAAGATATCACTCTCTTTCCGCCTATTTGCTTCTCCTTCAAATGTCAAGCATGCCCTCTGAGTCCTTTAAGAACGAGGCCAGCTGGCATAAGCGTTGGTAATGTGTTGCTCTATGCTGGGTGCCAGTTGCTAAACTCTTATTGAATCGGGGCTGTTTGATGCAAAAATTTCCTGGCAGTCCGAAAAGCTTCAGCGCTAAAATCAATTGTTAACTGCGCCACTTCACAAACACATCAAAGAGGTCGCAAAGTTGTGGCCGGCAGAGGATATTATATTAATTCCAACAAAATGTACCCCATTTACAAAAGTCTCAAAAGAACGAATGCCCAAGTCTAGGCCGCACACTTTTCCCCAGAGAAGCTCTGCGAAAAACCATGTTGCCCAACTCACTAGGAAATCCACCCTTAATTCACTGTTACTACCCTATCAAAACCCCCCCTGTAATGGAAGACTATCCCATCTCTCCCCCAACCTCCTCCGCCTCGCAAAATGCCTTGTCCATGTCCCTAGCTTTCCTGCTCTTCGCCTGCGTGAAGGACAGGATCGGGGGCGTACTGTCGGCGGTGGTGTTGGTGGCGTTTGTCGCGTCAGTGCGTTTCAGGATTGAGCAGAGAGTCGGCCAACATCCAGCGCGTAGCCCGTCGGTCCTGGATTACGAAAAGCCCGGCCACGATGCTGATTGATGGAAGAGGTGGGCAAAGGAAGAGAGTGCCGCCACAGGGGAGCAGCCAAGGCGCTTAGGCGACCTTGACGCAGTTGAGAGCGGTGATGTTGATGCCATCGCCCTGCAGGGGTCAGTATCATATAACGCAATGGGGGGGGGGGGGCATTGGAAGTTGGGTATGGAAAGAACTTACTTCAGCGGCATCAGTCTCGCAGCAGTACGAGGTACCCTGGCACTGGCCGCCGAGCAGGGCAACCGCGCAGGTCAGGCCCAGCACGTCGACGCCGATGAGGCCGTCAGACTTGTTGCAGCAGACGGGCTTGCTCTCGTTGGAGCACGAGGTGATGGTGGTGCTGCCGCCGCTGCTCTTCTCAGCCGGGGCGGGCGCCGCGGCGGCGCTGAAGGCAAGGGCGAGGACAGTGAAGATGGTGGTGAACTGCATCTTGACGGTGTAGGACTAAAGGAGCGAAGTGATTATTATTAGAAAGGAGCGGAGATGCTTGTATTATTCGAAGGCTGGGCTGACTGCTGAAGCTGCTGAGGCTGCTGTGTGCTGATGATGCTTTCGAGGTCGATGAGGGAAGGATGGAGGTTGTTTATATAGACGACTCTGACCCGTTATTCTCTCTTCGGCCATCATGGACCTCCCCATCACTCTTCCGAGTCAGGTCCCTGCTCTGCTTCCGATCATTGCGCCGCACGGTGATCGGTCATCGACAGCTTCATTTCCGCATTTGCAATGCGATAGGCGTAGTCGTTGGTATTGAGCGCTTCCTGACTTTGCAGGTGAAACACCAGTCGACGAGATGCCGATGATTTCGAAAGGCGGTACCGACCTATGGCCGGTCTGCTCCCCTGGTACCTGCGTTCTGCAGGCAGAGGTTGTGGGAGGGCGGACTCGGACTCGGCTGCAGTGTCGGGTCGGGAGTATTCCGTGACTCGGGCCTTTTAGGATGATCTGGATCTATTCTCCATGTTAGCAGAGTCGCTGGTTGGTTTCTCTAAGCACTGTATGTAGCCGGTAAATTCACTGAGATTTTCGTCTGTGTCAGTCATTACTTTCTCCGTCAAGTCGGGAGATAAGGAACTTGATCATAGACTAAACACGGCTCTCCATTAAAAGCAGCTCTGACGAGACTAACTTATCGTCTCCGCGTTCTCAATCTTCCCGTATTTAAGCCCGTGCAACCCAGAAGTATACGCCTTTGCACAGCATAGGGGCCACACGATCCATCGCGAGCGACACCAGCCGGGTGCACCTTCGCCCCGTCAATGCTTCAACTATCATCGTTCACTTTCCTCGTGCAAGATGTAAACCGTATGTGGGAGAGTCGAGCCTCAGGATTAACTGCGTGAGACCGGGACGATCCTTGTCTTCCGCGAAGCTTAAAAGACTGGGGAAGGGCCGATCAGGTTGCACAGGGCTGGCCGCAGGAACGACTAGCCGCCACGCGCAGTGGCATACTCAAAATCGCATGACTTTGCGGAAGCTCGCAGTTTTGGAGGACTTCTATCCAGGATTATTGGGACCTAGCGTCTGTGCTACGATTTTCTGGCAGCTTCAGGGCTTATGTTGACTGTTGGTAAGGGCGAATATGCATATCCTATCCATGCTGATGGTCGTATTGATTTATGGCCGCCAATCTTCTGTCAAATCCCCTATCTGCAAGTTGAGCCTTTGGCGTAAACACATGGTATCATGCCAATTCCACACTGCAGACGCGCGGGAGGTTGTCCTTAATTGTCATGGTGGTCACAATTTCGCGAGCATTACACAGCAGGTACCAGAATTGTCCATTCTGCACTTTGACTTGAAATTCGATGTTACACTAGAGCTGTTCTTCTGGCCCGTATTTGGGCTGTGAATGCAGGCATAGGGATAGTTTTCGCCGTCATAGAACTATAACTCATTTTGTTAGCCATTTGAGTGTAACGTAGTCGTGCCTCCATAGGCCATGATCAGCAAAGAAGGCATTGCTGAAGGGTCCTCGATGTCTCACGAGCGCGCGATACCCCACAATCTCTTGCTGACTGTCTCTCATGTAAGGCGGCCCAACGAGGTCAGAGCGTTGAGGCAAGTGCGTGTCTTACATAAAGAGGTATCTGAATGTCTCTTGCCAAGCCAATACAGCAAGAATTCTGCCAAAGGCTCGTAGATGATGCAAACCTACGCAACATTGGATTGCAACATTCGACGTCTCGATGTTGTCATGCAAGCATAGTTTTAGATGGCAGCACCAGAACCACGTCCCCGGGTCCTGGAGCAGATATTCGGGTCTCAGAGGGAGGATAAAGCTCCATAAGTTTTCGTCCAAGTGATAGCTTAAATGCAGATTCCCTTGTGTAAGAAGATCGACCTATATCGCCGATAATCGAGACCAGTCAATCTGCGGTCCTTCATCAAACAGGAGGCGGAAGAGGGGCGCTTGCGGCTTGTTTTCGTACAGCAGTCAGCTGAGTTTGGAGCCTTCGAGAAGTGTCTTAGTCATGAACCTCAGTAGTCGCCGGCATAATAACGGGAAGCTGAACGGACCAGGGGCGCCATCTAGAGCTCGGCGTCAAATCGACCGCCATGACTTGTATCTCGCCGGAGACGGAATCACCCGCAGGAAGACTAAGGCGACTACCTCCAGTACTCCTCACCTTTTGAGGGCCTCGGCTCCCCACCTCGTCGACGATCACGGTCTCAAACGTGGCAGTTCATGTCGTTGCTAGCCTGGCTCCAGGGAGAAAACTAGCCACATCATTCTCGTCTCCACCAATGAATTGTTGACCGTGATTAACCATCACCGTGATTCGGACCGAGCCAAATGTGCTTGCATTGATTGATGGCCTGGATGTGGCGTGGTTGAAAGGGGAATTGGAGATCCGGGGGAAACGAGGAGGTAGGCTTCTCTGTCGATTGGCAAATCGTTATTGCAGCAAACCAAGGACAGCGCCGAGGTCTGGGGTATAGCCTCGAAGATCAGCACGGAATTTGTCCGGATAATGTCCATTCTGATCTTATTCAAGTCTTCAGGTGACGAAAAGCTTGTTGTCAAACTGCTAGCTGCCATGCCTAAAAGCATATTTTTCTCGTTGACCACTCTGTATCTCACTGGAGCATTTTCAGATGTCAGGTGTCTCCGGGATGCATACATGTGACAATGGCTAGCTTCTGCCAGGAAAATGAGATTACTGGGGAAGAGCGCGCCTTCCAACGATGTTAGTACAAATTTTGAACCATGTTGACTGAGTCTTGAGAAATTTGCTGCATGGGACGGAAGTCGAGATCTACACCGTGGGTTGTGCTATAATATGTGGTTTAAGAGACCCATAGGACAAGGTTCTATGGTGTAGCGGTTAGCACTTCGGATTCTGATTGAGGTTCCACCTCACTACAGAACATTCCGACAACCCCGGTTCGAGTCCGGGTAGGACCTGACACCCTATTTACCTTTTGCCTTAGCAAGCAATGTCCACCTCTCGCACCCTTTTTGTCTCGTTCTCTTCGTTGGTGGTTTCTGATCGCATGAAACTTTTTACCGATTGTGGTTGCCCCTTTTACGCCAACATTCTCAGTTCGCACTGTATTTTACCGTCATTTCAGATCTCAATACAACGGATTTGTCGCTGCCTTTGAGATCTTCAAACATATCATCCTCCACATAAGTACAAATCATGTCAAACATTTTCTTCCCGTTTTCACTGCCCTTCTCAACAAAGAACTCGCGATAGCCAGTTGGCACAAAACCCAGTCTTCGAAACGCTCTTTGTCCGTTCTGTGTAGCAGTCAAAGCTTCGATTCATACGTCAGCATGCTCTTGACAAAGCAGGATCCTACACAGATGTGAGGCCCCCAAACAATGCGTGTGAGAGCAACCTACCTGACTGCCCCAAAACCCTCCACCTCCTTTTCTCCCTCTCAACCCTCCCCATCACCTCATCCAATGCAAACTCTGCAAACTTCTTCCCTTTTAGCGCACTCTTCCAATCCTGCTTCTCCCTTCTAGGCACAGCAAACCGCTCAATGTGGTAAACGTGCAATCCCACCTCAACTTGTTCAGCTCTCTCCTGTTCCTTGGGAAACATGGTCACAGGATCGATCTCTGACTCTTTCAGCTTGCCTTGGAGTAGATCCAGCCAGTGATGTTTTAGTAGGGGGAGGACAATGATCACTCCTGCTACCGCGATCTTGCCATCTGAGCTCTGGACGGCGGCGGAAGTAAAAGAGGCACTAGAGCCGGTGAGCTCCGAGGATGGGTCTGGGTTTGAGTCTGTGGATGGGTTTGTGCAACCCGACTCTGCTAGGTCTGAACAGGACATAGCACTTGCCGAGGAGGCATGTGGATCCTGGAAGACGAAGCTCATTGAGAGCGAGGGAGTTGTTGCCGCGACCCAGGAGTGCAGACGAGAGTAGGGAAGGTTGACCGGGTACATTGCCTGATCGGAGGAATAGACCTCCTGAAGGATAGCATCGCTGATGGGAACTGTCGCCAGGATTGGGCATGACTGACAGAGCTGGGAATCGCTTTGCATTGTTTGTTTCTTTTCACCGTTCTTTGTGTGCCTTGTTATGGTTGTAGAAGTGTTGGCTTGTGGCTGTGCATAGTAAGACGAGGGGTTGATGAGCAGCAGGAGTTGTCCACAAGTTGATTGTGGTGGGGTCTCCACTCGGGCGTAAGTACCACCTTAACGTCGAACTACATCCCAGCCGTCACAAAGAAAGCGAATAAAGAATGCTGTGCCTGTTAATGCTTTTCTTGGAAATATATCAAGTCAGAAACCCTTTGGAATATTTGGTAAAATCTTCTTAGGAAACCAATACAGCTGGAAATGCGAGCACTATCTCAGCAAGGTAGCTAAAATGTACAGCGAAGTAAGTCATGACTCATGTCCGAATATATCTACGGACATGGTCGTGCAGCTTGGAGGGACTGTAGAACCAAAAAAAAGGTTTGTACAAGGCTAATGAGATTTCTCACATGAAATACCACCTTCTTTATGTGAGGTGTTGCTCGGCCGAAGGTCGGAAGAGATTTACGTTGATACTTTAAGCATGGTCTGGGAAAATGTTGACCCTGAAGTCTCAGTCTCGGGGGTTTAAAGTACTTCAAAGGAGGTAATATCGAACGTAGAACCCCGTATATAACGCTGGTCCTCAACGATAGCCTGTTAAAACAGCAACTTTTTGAGTGACTTGAATTCGACTTATCATGATCTGACCCATGAGCTTACCAATGAGGTGCCTTACGATTATCAATGTTGCCATCTGGATGGGTGCAATTGGCATCCTCGCAACACCACCACGCCCGTGCAGGTACTGTGATCCTGCCGAAACTCATCAACCTCACTCTGAAGCCCTGATTCCTCACACCCAGCCAGGCAATGGGTTAGCGCCGTAAGTCTCCTTGCTAACTCTTGGTAAAAGAAGAGTGTAAGGATGTACTGAGCAGCTTGGTTTGCTGGTGGCGATAAGTCAACCCACAGAGTCGCCAATAGTAACTGCTCTAGCACGGCTCCCTGGTGACGAAAACCCAATTGAGGCCAAAGTCTCTCCAGCGGTGTGCTACACCGTTTGTTTAGAGAACCAGGAGCCATTTTGTCATGAGGGATGGGTAAGTCTACAGAGGAAACTGATGCAGTGCTTGTTGATCTCAGAACGGGGCTAACATATCTATCAAAGACGGCGTCCCCTTTGATGGTAAGTCCTCACTTACTCGACTGTTCTCGAATGCGTTTGGACAAAATCTTGACAATGAAACGCAGTTGTGGTGCTGGTCTTGCTGCACAAATCTTGCTTCGAAAACTACTGCGACCCCGAATACAGCTTTAGGCCAAGCATGAGAAACGTTTTCGGGTGGTTATAAGATCAAAATGTAGATGATGGATTGGCTGGTCGGCTCATGGAGGGATTATTGTGTGTAGTGCGGTTAGGCATTCCTTTCAGTATGCGACATGTAACAGTTGCCAGAGTTGCAAACGGTGCTGACCTGAAGTTCTTAGTCACATGTTTATGATCTTGATGTTTTAGGAGAGGAGATAACTGCAGTAATCCGTAGCACTTGCATACACTCAGGGACGTGTTTTGGCCAGAAACGGTGGTGTGATCCGGTTTCTCCGTTTGCTCCAAACACTAAAGTTTTCCTGGGCTAATTCACCAGCACACTCCCTAAAAATGGAATGGAGCAGCCTTGAGACGGTGAAAGTAAAACTTTTGTTTCCTGATTCACTTTTTTTTGTGTAGGCTTTAGGGCAGAACACTCAAAAATCAAGAGCTTGAAGAGTCCATAAACCCAAGGTCTTTGGATAAACAGCAGAATGATGATACTGCGGTACAAGATTGCCATGCACTCGTCATCGTGCTAGACTATGCCAGAAACGCAACGCTGCAGACAGCCGAACGCATCATGGGCCTCAGTGCAGTCATTGTGATGATGGAAGAAGTATACGAGCTGTCAAGCAAGATCTTTGTCAACATTTGTTATTTATATAGTGGGATACTCCAACAGACGAGGAGCTTGAATCTCCCAACTGCCAGCAGACTTGGCCCATTAGAGCTCAACATGGATCTCCACAAAAGATTTGTCTCTCGCGTGTTAATACCTTCCATCGCAAAGGGCGTCAAAGATGCAGCATTTGTGCTGGTCTGTTGGGTTTCTGCACTTCTAATCCTCTCAATAATCACCACCTACCGTGAGGGCCGTGAGGGACAAGTTTCTTCGCTGAAGGCTTCTCTCGATGACAACATGCGCCGCGTGTCTGCTAGCCTTGCCCCCTATGCCAGGAAATATTTACCTTTTCTTTATACCGAAAAGCCAAAAGCCATCGAGGACTGGGTTGAGGAGCAGAGGGCTGTTGCCAACTTCAGCTTCGCACATGGCCATGATGACCTTGAGACACGGTTACGGCTCCGGGCTGACATAAATCGCCGTCTTGAAAGAGCCTTGTGGATCGATAACTCATTGACAACTACCGATGTCTCTCATCACCGGGCTTTCTTAGCATTTTCAGCACGCCTTGTCAACGATAAACTAGCAAACCGGGACTGGGAGAGATTATACGATGTGGCAGTGGGATTTCTCAATGCTGAGCTTGAAAGAACAGACAAGATCTCACTGGCAGAAACTGTTCGTTGCCTGTGCCTAGCGGTTGTGCTCTTCGATAACTTCGGCCTTGACATCTCAAAAACTTCCCGGCAGAGCCTTGTGACCATCACAGAGATCAACATCCAGTGGTTGAGATCGAAGTGTGATCCACAGGTCGGTCCATCTCCGATCCTTGACAAGGAGATATACAACTTGAACGTGACCTATGGGAATCTTTATAACAGCTTCCTTCGACCTGGCCTGCCTATAAAACCGGCCGTCAAAATTCTCAGTGTCATCATGCCGCAGTATGAGACCCTTTGGCGAGTTGTCTTGCTGACCTTCGTCACGGCATACCACTCCCAACGGGATCTGGCACATGCAGACGTTGTCAAGCGCACTGAGACTGTCCCAAGCTGCCTTGGGAAGCCATCAGAAGAACGCGAAGCACTCACAGTGGCCATGGTGAGTTCCCTGTTCTGCATCCATCACATCCCGCCTGACTAACACCACCCCCCTATCCAGGAGGGCCTTCGCCTCTACCCCTCTAACAAACACCTCTACCGCAGCTGTCCCATCACCAAAGCTCCCTCTTCCACTCCCATAAGAACCCAACTTAGTTGTGCCATCTCCGCACTCCACAGGCACCCCTCCATCTGGGGCCCCTCCGCACTTCACTTCCTCCCCTCCCGCTTCGATGACTCGCCTTCTTCAACCGATAACGACGTTAACGACAACTCTTCCAACACAGGCGGACTCACACCGCTGCAAAAACGGGCCTATATCCCTTTCTCCATCCGGCCGCATCAGTGCCCTGCTGCGGGGAGACACGGATTTGGATACAGGATGGTAACTATGTTGGTTGTTGCGTGTGGACGGGTGCTGGGTCCAGAGAGGGGAAAGGTTTTATTAGGTGGGGAGGGTCTTGAGGATCTGACGGAAGAGTTGAGGACGGGTAGGGATGAGTTGGAGGAGTTGGTTTGGGTTAGGAGCGAGGAGGCCCGGAGTGAATGAGAAGGGGAGGGTTAGGGTTGGATGCAAATGGAAGAATCAGAAAGATAAGCGTCGGAGAAGAAACAATACTTTTGATAAAGAGATACTGGATATGAAAATATGTCAAAATTGATGCATCACGAGAAATTTACTTGTACACTTCGATTGCCATCACCTTTATTGGCTCCAGCTTCAATGGCGGTGGAAAACGGAAAATTGGCGCAGCTCGATACTCATACATGAGCAGCATCAGGGCTAGGGTTTTGCCTCACTTACTATGTAGACCCTAGATACCAGTCCATCTATCAACATACGGGTGACTCGTCTAGTGGTTAGGACACTTCGTTGTGGCTCATTAGGAGACATGACGACCGAAGAAACCCTGGTTCGATTCCAGGGTCACCCACATTTTTTGCATTTTTCCTCGATCGTTACTAGGCACTTTTTCGCAGGAATTCCTCTTCCCAAGAAAATGATTCCGGCGGGCTTTGTTTCCACCAAAACGGAACGCCCTCCACGCCCCCTTGCATCCAAGATCAACATCATGCACGCCGCTGACATCAGGACGACCCACGAGAATGGTACGTTGCAATCACAACGGTACGTCCGAGCGAAGCGAACTCGCGTTCCCAAAGTATTTTGAGCCGCATGAATGATGAACATTGTGCTGAGTAATCGCCATAAGCTAGCCTTGCCGGCACGCACGATATTACACATCCAACTGCGGCCCTAGAGCCTGACAGAGAAGGTGCTCAACTCGAGCCAAATAAATGGCTAGAGTTTCGCACCTAATAATGCTACCTACCACGATGCCCCCCCTATGTCGCGTTGCGGCGGTGCTACGGGTCAGGTCGGGGTCTGTTCCTGAGCTGAGGGGCAGCGCGATTCTAAAGTCTTGGGCGAAATCTTGATGGAGATTGGCCAATGGCTGCACCACGTGTGGGCGCGCCAGATCGACCATTCGCCAAGCATGTCCATGCGAGGAACCAAGGATAGCAACGGCTCATCAACGCTTCGGGAAGTTCAGCCGCTGCGCGGGGAGAGAAATCTGTCTCATTGTGCATTGCTTGTATGCAGCTCGCCAATCTCCGCCGATAGCGGGCCGTTCCCGATCCATATCGGGGCAAAAGAATAGGTGTATAAAATCTTGATGTCGGCAAAACGGTTAAGATGGTGCCAGGTTGTCTCTCCTGCCCGTCCAGCCAGCGACCCCCAACTCGCCTTCGGGATTAGTCTGGTCCTCACGCCGTCAAGATTGTGAGCTCCCTTTCATAGCAAGCTATGCGGCGGTTCCTCTCCCTCAGCAGTGGCCTCCTAGCCGCCTCGCTTGCTAAGGCCACCTCCTCTTCCTATGAAAACAACCTAGCCTACAGCTCCCCCTCACGCCGGCACCCCAGCCTCGGCGTGCCTCTCTCACATGTAGTGAAGCGTCAGGCGGAGCTGTTCACCCCCGAGGAGGTCGAGTTCACGCACGGCATTGCCTCCGGTGATCCCTACGAGGACTCGGTCATCCTTTGGACGAGGCTTGCGCCTACGGAGGATAGTGTCGCGTCAGAGTTTGTGCCGGAGGGGGTTGTGCCGGTGTATGATGGGACGGAGGGGGCGGTGCCAGAGACGAAAGCAGCTTGTGTGGAGTGGAGGATTGCGACGGATGAGGAGTTGAACAATGTGGTTGATCAAGGAAGGGGGTATACGACGAGCGATGTGGATTATACGGTGAAGGTAAAGAAGATCGAGGCGATTGATGTGACCAGCGATGCTGACGGAGTGCAGTTTGAAGCCAAAGGCCTACAGCCTTTCACTACCTACTACTACCAGTTCAACGTCTGCGATTCAGACAAGGTCAGCCTGGTAGGACGGACCAGGACACTCCCAGCGAGGAGCCAGAAAGTCCCGCGTGACGTTAACTTTGCGGTCTACTCCTGCTCCAACTATCGTAAGTCCCTCTGCAAAAATATGCAAAGACAGCATCTAACTTCTTCCAGCCGAGGGATACTTCAATGCTTACGCCAATACCGCACGCAAGGACACCATCGACTATGTCCTGCACCTAGGCGACTACATCTACGAGTACCAAGACTCCTCCCACCTGCGCACACCCCAACCCGACCGGGAGACCTACACCCTCTACGATTATCGCCGCCGTCTGGGCACCTACCGCACGGATGAAGACCTCCTGACCCTCCACTCGATATATCCCTTTATCACGGTGTGGGACGACCACGAGGTCGCCGACAATTCCTGGAAGAACGGCTCCCACAATTCCGAGGGGGATGTTTTTCTTAAGCGGAAAGAGGCTGCCGTCAGGGCATATTTTGAGTGGATGCCGCTGAGACAGGTAGATATGGATGATACGTTGAGGATTTGGCGGAACTTCTCTATTGGCAACTTGGCTGATCTCATGATGCTGGATACCAGGCATTATGCGAGGGATTTGACTGTTGTCGGGGGGATTATTGGCATTGGACCCGGGGGGAATATCGGCGATGTGGAGGACGTGGTTGATGACCCCAGCCGCACGCTCATGGGGTTCAATCAGGAAGCCTGGTTCTATGACCAGCTGAGCCAGTCCTCTGAAAGGGGGGCTCGGTGGCGGCTGGTTGGGACGCAGGTCGTGTTTAGTCACATCGGTCTCGGTATCTTCAACAACCGGCCTTTCAACCGTGACCAGTGGGATGGTTACCTCGCGAACCGCGACCGCATCTACCAGCACTTGGCTGACCACTCTATCAACAACACTATTATACTAGCAGGCGACTCCCATGCGTCGTGGGTCTCCGACCTCGCCTGGATCAACAGGCGTGACTACAACAAGGACACCGGGGCGGGCAGCTTCGGCGTTGAGTTTGCGGGCACCGCGGTATCCAGCCACTCTGTGCTAGGCAGAAACTTCCCTAACTTCCTGAGCAAGTTGCTTTCCAAGTGGCTGGTGAGCGCGAACCCGGAGCTGCAGTGGCAGGATCTGTATTATCGCGGATATTTTGAATTGAGTGTCGGGTATGAGGAGGTGAATGCACGGTTTTTTGGAATCCCGGATCCGTATAAGAGGAAGAATGACGATGAGATATTGTTGGCCGAGTTTAAGGTTTATAGTGGGGAGAATAGGCTGGCGAGGAGTCCGACGGTTGGTGGGGGGGTTGCGAAGGCGGGGGCGTTGAAAAATGGGAAGGTAGTGTCGCCTTAAGGGGGATGTGGGATTTTGATGGTAGATTTTGAGGAATGATGTATATATAGTGATGTTTCGCATACGACTCATGTCTGGCAAGACATGGTCATCATGATGATGATTTAATTTACCGTTGCTCACAGTTTACAGAGATAAAGGGAAGGCGGCCTTCCCAGAACGGCATTCGTTCCCGATACAGGCACAGAACAGCCGAGTTGTCCTCCCCGAATCTTCTACGCCCGACTACCCCATCTTGGTCGACAAGGTCCAGTCGACCGTGTGTTGTGCTCAATAAACGGTTTGTCATTTCCGAATCCTCACAAAGAACCTTCTCAACACCTATTACATTGCACTCCGCTTCAGGCTTAAAGCGCTGACGCATCCGCAAGTCTGCAGGTTTCGTCCTGTAAATGCTTCGAGGCTTGCCACTTCCGCCAAATAAACATGCAGCTTGCGGTATCTCTGTGCCCTCTCTCCTATCACGCAGGCATCCGCCGTACCATTGTTGGCTAGACTTCCGTGTGTCAGACAGCAAGCTTTGACCGGAATCTGCAGAGCAGGCTTGGATAGATGTAGAAGAATGAGACAATGAGACAGGCAGGAGGAAAAACACTGTGAAATGCAGAACCGATGTGGGTTGCCTATCTAGTACTGAGGTGTTAGGCCATGGGGGATTGCTGGGTTGTGTTTACTTAAGCGGCCAGTCTTCTGTCTCCTTATTGGGATTGTTGAAGCTTCTTGATCCATCCAAAAGTTCTTATTCATCTCTTTCTCTCTCTGGCACCTTAACTATCCATCGGGGGAAGCATTAACTCCTGATCATGTGCCGAGGTATTTTCATTTGACTTCGCTGACAGCAGTCGTTTCCAATAATCACATATCCCTACAAACCCTTCATAGATCAAGAGTTATTTTTTTCTTGTTACTGTCCCATTTCAAGGAGCGTCCGCAAGCGTTGGTTTAAGAAGACGGATGATAAGAACTCGGTTCGCCATAACTGTAAAGCACTTGCCATTGCCTAACCAGTATGATGTGTGCTGGCTCTCAGTGGTTATTGCTGACAAGCTATTGATGGTACCACCCATCACTAAACAAGTTCACCACAAGCAGATACTGATGGGAAAACTCATTTGCACACGAAAACCCAACCCAGTCTATTACTCATCATCAAACATAGAACAACAAAAGTAGGTAGAGGTAATGATAGTACTACAATACAGCCTATCCATCCATTCATCCGTCCATCAGGCCAGTTAGTCCTTCTAAGTCAACGAAGCAAAGGCTAACCAACCCACAATTCCATAACCCAAACCCTTTCTCATCCATCCCGGTAGAGACCCCTATATCCTTCCTCTTCATTTCCTTACTCCCCCTTCAACTTCTCCTGCTTCACCGAAAATGCCATTTCCAACAACTCCTGCTCCTCCCGCACGTGATTCTTCTTGACACCTGTAGCCGGCGAAGCACTCGGGTTACGACCCGCATACATGACATGCTTGCGATCATGATACTTCGTGCAGTTCAGGAGGGTCTCAATGCGGGGCTGGGTGTAGCTCCAAGCGCCAGCATTAAGCGGCTCCTCCTGGGCCCAGACGATGGTCTTGGCGTTGGGATACGAATCCAAGTTCTCGCGGAGCTGCTCCCACGGGAAGGGATGCAGCTGCTCGATGCGGGTGATGGCGACGTTGTCGAGGCCGTTGTCGGCGCGGTACTTGACGAGGGCAGCATAGACCTGGCCGGAGCAGAGGATCAGGCGGTCGATCTGGTCGTGCGGCTTGATGGCACCCGTCTCGTGGGCCGGGTCGGGGATGATCCAGCGGAAGGAGGACTCGCCGATGAACTCCTCGATGTTAGAGCGGGCGATCGGGTGGCGCAGGAGGGACTTGGAGAAGAAGAGGATCAAGGCTGCACAAGTTAGCATCATTCGCTTTTACTCATAGACCAGTGAGAGGGGGAAGAGAGGGAGAGGGGGAGGGGAAGAGGAAGAAAAAAAAAAAGGGGGGGGGAAGGGAAAGAGGCGCGGCCTACGCTTGCGGAACTGGCGCTTAATCTGTCTCCGCAGGAGATGGAACAGGTTGCTAGGCGAGGTCGGGTAGGCAACCTGCATGTTGCAGTCCTGGTGCTGGCGGTTGAGCTTCTCAGGGGCAGGGAAGACGCGCGAGTCCTCGTTACACAGCTGCAGGAAGCGCTCCAGACGGCCGGACGAGTGCTCGGGACCTTGGCCGTCGAAGCCGTGGGGCAGGGAGACGACCAAACCAGTGCGCTGCATCCACTTCTGCTCGCCAGCGGCGATGAACTGGTCGATGATGCACTGCGCGTTGTTGGCGAAGTCACCGAACTGGGCCTCCCACATGACGAAGGCGTTGGGGTCGGTCAGGGAGTAGCCATACTCAAAGCCGAGAGCACCGTACTCGCTGAGAGACGAGTTGGAGATGACGAACTTGCCCTGGTCCTTGCTGATGTGCTGCAGAGGGGTGTAGGTATCCTCGGTCTCCTGATCGTGGAAGACGGCGTGGCGCTGAGAGAAGGTACCACGCTCAACATCCTGGCCGGAGACGCGGACGTGGTGGCCCTCTGTGACGAGGGAGCCGAAAGCCAGAGCCTCAGCAGTGGGCCAGTCGATGTTCTTGCCCTCCAGAACGGTCTTGGAGCGATTGTTCAGGATACGCTTCAGGTTGGGGTGCAGGTTGAAGCCCTCGGGGGCAGTGCCAATGACGGCACCGATGTGCTCGAGGGTCTTGCGGTCAACACCGGTCGGGGGGTGAGGCAGGATCTCAGTGGCCAGCTCCTTGGGAGACTTGAAGCCGTTCCAGGCGCTGGTAGTCCACTCTTTGGACGTGGGCTGGTAGTCCTTGGAGCGGGCGAAGCTCTCCTCGAGCATGGACCAGACCCAGTTCATGTGCTCCTGGATATCTTCCTTGGTGAAGATGCCCTCCTGGAGCAGCTGGTTAACGTAGATGTCGAGCTGGGTCTTCTTTTCGCTGATACGCTTGTACATGAGCGGCTGGGTGAAGCTGGGCTGGTCAGTCTCGTTGTGGCCGCGCTTGCGGTAGCAGACGAGGTCGATGATGACGTCCTGCTTGAACTCAGCGCGCCAGTCAGCAGCGAGCTGGCAGACGAAGTTGACAGCCTCCACGTCGTCGGCATTGACGTGGAAGACAGGCGCCTCGATGGTCTTGGCGATATCCGTGCAGTAGGGGGTCGAGCGGGCGAAACGTGGGTCGGTGGTGAAGCCGATCTGGTTGTTGACGACCAGGTGGATGGTACCGCCGGTCGAGAAGGCAGGAAGCGAGTGGAAGCCAAGGCACTCGTACACGACACCCTGGGCCGAGAAGGCAGCGTCACCGTGCAGCAGGACGGCCATGGCGGTCTTGTGGGCGGTCTCGTCGTTGTTGTAGTGCTGGATGGCACGGACCTTGCCGAGCACGACGGGGTCCTCGGCCTCGAGATGCGAGGGGTTGGCGACGAGCGACAGCTGGACGCGCTTGCCCGAGGGAGTGGGGCGCTCGAAGTTCATACCGAGATGATACTTGACGTCACCAGAACCCTCATCTTCAGGGGCAGCAGTGCCGGCGAACTCGCTGAAGATGGACTCGTTGGGCTTGCGCACGACGTTGGACAGGACATTGAGACGACCACGATGGGGCATGCCAATGACGATGTCCTTGACGCCGTAGTCGACCGAGCGGTCAATCAGAGCCTTCATGCCGGGGACGAGAGACTCGCAACCCTCCAGACCGAAGCGCTTGTCGTTGGGGTACTTCTGGGCGAGGAACTCCTCAAACTTGGTCGACCAGATGAGGCGGTCCAGGATGCGGCGCTTCTCGTCGATCGAGTACTTGAAGGGCTGGGGGACCTCCAGACGTTCGCGCAGCCAATCGCACTTTTCGCGGTCGGGGATGTGGATGAACTCGACGCCGTAGGAGCCGCAGTAGATCTGCTCGCAGGCCTGGACGATCTCGCGCAAGGTCATCTTCTCGCGGCCGGTGCGCTTGAAGCGGGGGAGGATGCCGGGGCCCAGGGTGAACTCGGTATCAAGATCCTTCTCAGTGAAGCCGTAGTAGTCAAGCTCGAGCTCCTTGGGACGCACGTTGCCGAAGCCCTTGGCGGTGTTGCGAATGCCCAGAGGGTCGATGTTGGCGCGGTGGTGGCCACGGGCCTGGTACGCGCGCACAAGCAGCTGGACCTTGAGGTGGTTCGTGAGATCAGCGCCCTCGCCGATGCCGACGCCAGCGCCAGCAGCCAGAGTCATGACGCCCTGCTGGCTGCCAGACACCAGACCGGGGGGCGGGGTGAAGGCCTTGGAGATGGGCATGTCGCCGCTCTCCATGTTCTTGAAATACACCTGCCACGACACATGCACGCTGCTGGGGTCCTTACGCCACTGCAGGTACATCTCGTCAACGTAGTTAGCTGCGCTACCCGACAGGAAGCTGTCGTTCGGGTCGGGCGGGTTGTGGAGCGCGCTTTCGAAGCGTTTTTGCGTCACGACGCCCAGTGGACGGCGGGCGGCCGTCAGACGGCGGCCAGCACCAGCCCGGGCAGCCGTGGCAGCAGTCGAGAGGCATCGCGAGGCCGAGACGCCCTGTAGGGCACGAATCGAGGAGCGATACATCGGGACGGTCGGGTTACTGTCGATATCAGACTCTGGGACAATGCGTGCTTTTCGTCCTTTTCTTCTTCTCCTGGCTTATTCAGGACAGCCAGACCAGAGCAATTTCAGAGTATTCGTCTCTTAGGGTTCCTGAAGCCCGAGAACCAGTCGTCGTCGTCACAAAGGAGTGGCGGAGTAAGTCGTCGTCGTCGTCGTCGTCGTCGTCGAGGTGTGGAAGCACAACCCCTAGAGGAAGAAAAAAAATGAAGAGGAGAAAAGCAGAGTCTGTGCCCTCTACGACAAGACGCGGACCGGGACTTGCGTAGTAGGACAGGGGCAAAACACGGGCGACCCGGTGTTTTTGTTTGGGATGCTGGAGGAAGGGGAGGGGAGAGTGTGGAAGGAGGAGGGATGGAGAATGGGGAGAAAGGATGAAAGGGGTCGAAGAGGGAGGTGAAATCAAAAAAAAAAAATGAGACCGCAAAATGAGAAATCTCTGGAGCCAGCCGCTGCCCAGTGCCCAAATTCCCCAGCAAAACCTGGAGCCCAGCGTCCCCAGTCTCGCTCTTTCTCAACGGGCGCCGGGCGATGATGACGGCAATTTTCGCAGGTCCAGGCGCTCCTACCGCCAACCCTGACTGCCGCCCCACCCTTTGCCCCGCTAACCGGCTCTGGTCCAACGTAGCCAACCACAGTGCAGCCTGCGGCACTTTGGGCTTCAGGCGCTGCGGCAAAGCGGTTGGACGGAAGCTGTGCTGACCGGCACTGCACCGTGTTCTGTATTATTCGTACTGTGGTGCCTGGGGCCTGGGAGCGCGAGGGGAAGGCTGGGCAAGCAATGACAGCACAGAACGCAGCCGCTGGCTTCATCAAATGCCATGTTTCTACGCAAAGTTCCATCTTTTGACTCTCGTTTCTGGACCTCTTCGACGCTTGGCCGCCGTCAATCAGTCAACCACACAGTCCCCGCTCATCCGCCGGTGCCGAATGCTGCAGCCGTCTGGCAGTGCCAACTGGAGCAAAAATATCGCAGGCTCCGAGCCTTGTTCGCCAGTGCTGCCGTCACTGGCACCGGCTGGACCCAGGCTGAGATAAAAGATAACGGTCGAAGTTGATACCACGCTGCTATCTGGCGGTATGTTTTTTTTTTTTTTTTTTTTTTAGATACAGAGCCATTCTGTAAGATCGTAAGATACACAGACGCGACGAGACATTGCTCAATGGCTACTTTTTCTGTTCTGGGGCGGGAAACGAATTCCCGAATGTCTTCGTTGCCCTCCATCTCGGCACAGTGCCAAACGAGTCCAAAAGCCGGGAGGTGAACCCTGAGGTTTCAGGCCGCATCCCTGGTCAAACCACGGTGAAACTCGTCTTCCGCGTGACCTCGCGCCGCGACTTGGCCTAATGCTCGTGTCCAGTGAGAGTGGGAGATGCAATTTTGATGTGGCACGTGCGCTGTGGCCAATACCGCCACGCCGCCCCACGCCAAAAACTCGTTGACTATGAGTCGCAGTCGGGCTCGGTGGGATCCGGGGCTGCTGCCAACGACCCAACGCCCTCCAGTGCCGCCAGTGCCGCCGCGCCAGTAGACAGGCAGGGACCAGGACTGCAGCTAGCGGAGCGGGACCCGGTGACGGCGACGCTTGCGGCTACGGCACGGCGACCGACGGTGACCGCGACGGGCCGCTTCAGTGCTTGGCATTGCATCGACTTCTTCATCACTGACGGCGACACAGAACAGATAATCGAGATAATCGACTGGGGGATTACAAAGGAAAGGATGCTTCATGAATTTTTGAGAGCCGCGCTAAAATAAAACTTCGACATCATTACCTAGCAGGCAGTAGCACGGCACCACGCCAGCCACGCTGCTGATGGTGGTGAAGGCACAAGAGGAACCAAAAACATCAATTGGAGCCATCAAAGGAATTGACAATCTATCGCCAAAATGAGCATCCCCCGCAGCCAGACCACCTACAAGAAAAAAGAGGGCATCCTGACCCTCACCGAGGACCGCAAGTTCCTCATCTGGACCCCGTTGCCGGCAACGGGGCCGCCTACTGTGTCGCTGGCCCTCGATAACATCACAAACCTCCAACAGACGCCCCCGGGCTCGGCCAAGGTCATTCTCAAGTTCACCGAGCGCCCGCGACCCAATGCCGAGCCCGGCGCCCCGCCACCGCAGTACATGTTCCAGTTTACCCACCCGACCGATGCTCGGGCTGAGGCGAATGCAATCCGCGACCTGCTCTCCCAGCTGCTCGCCGCGGCAAGGGAAAATGACCCGAATGTTCCCAAGCCTGCTGCTGCTGCTGCTGCTGGTGGTGGTGGTGGTGGTCAGTCTGGTGCTACCAATGGTGCTCCAGCTGCACCAGCGAGCCAAGCCCCCCGATGGTTCGACGATGCTGCCCTCAAGGCCGACATCGACCTGCAGCAATCGCTGATGAAAAAGGACAAAGACCTAGCGCAGACGTATGCTGAAGCTCTGGCCCTGAAGCCAGAAAGCATCCCGACTGAGACATTCAACGCCCAGTTCTGGTCGACCCGCGTCGGGCTGCTGCGCGCCCACGCCATCGAGCTGCATCAGAAGAAGGGCGCCTACAACGTGCTGTCGACTATCAAGCCGCGCACGGAAGACGGGCAGCTCAAGCTGAGCATCTCTCCGGAACAGATCCAGATGATCCTGCAGCAACATCCCATCGTCAGACGCATCTACAACGACAACGTTCCTAAACTCAGCGAAAGCGAGTTCTGGTCCCGCTTCTTCCTCTCTAAACTCTTCAAGAAGCTCCGCGGCGAGCGCTACACGGAGAACGACAACCCCGATCCGCTGTTCGACAAGTTCCTCGAGGCAGACAACTCGTTCGGTCTGGCCAGCAAGATCGTGGCCGCCCAAAAAGTACCTCACATCATCGACCTCGAAGCCAACGAAGAAAACCAAGGTGGCTTCAAGTCCGGCAACCGCAAGGACGTGGAGATGCGTCCGCGCGCCAACGTCCCCATTATCAAAACGCTAAACTCTCTGTCGGAAAAGATCATGGCTAACGTCGCCCCCGCCGATCTGCTTGATCCGGACCCGGTAACAGCCCGCGTGCCAGCTTCTGGTTTGACGGAGGATGATACCCGGACATTTGCCCAGCTCAGCCTGCGCGATCTGCAAGGTGATGCCGAGACGGCGAGGATAATCCTCAACGTGCGCGAACAGAACCAATTCTTCCAGAACCAGGCTGCTGCTGCCGCCGGCCTAGACGGGCAGGCGTCGGAAGATGCAAAAGTTTTTGAGCACCAGGTTCCCTCCGAGGTCCTCTTCGACGTCCACGCTGATTTGGAGACGCTGGATGAAGACGGCGCCGGGGGGATCGATCTGCACGGGAGTATCGGCATAGACGATGAGAGTGAATCCGACCCCGAAGGACAGGGTACGTCGAAAGTTCCGCATGTCGGGTCCCGCGCGGCAAGGAAACAAGCGCAGAAGCAGATCCTGGAGGGGATGCGGAAGAAGAGGTTGGAGACGTATGGTACGGGCGGTGCGGCGACTTCCAGCCTCGATGATGATACCTCGCCGATGTCTATACCTCCAGATATTGCTCAGAGGTGTTACCTCACCAACGCGACCACGGTCGAGTTCCTGAGGCAATTCTGGTCTTGCTTCCTTTCTACTGCCCCCGACTCCCAGACTGCCAACGGCCGTTCCAACTCGAGCGAGCAAATGCAACAACTTGCCTACTACGCCGAGACCCTCCGCCGCTCGAGGGAACGCATCGATGCACTTGCTGCGGAAGCAGAGGTGATCAGGCAGCAGGTAGTCGAGCGCAGGAAGCGAGAGATAATGGAGCATTATGAGCGGACGAGGAGAAAAATAAGGTGGCAGCCGCCAAGGGGGGGTAGAGAGAGTGTGATGGCATTGTTTGAGGCGACGTTGGAGGCGGTTAGGGCTGCATTGGCTGTCTGGGGGGCTGTGTCTGGAAAGGGCACGGTTTAAACAGGCAGGAAAGAGAAGAGCTGAGTATGTTATGAACTGGGTTAGCCAGCTAAATGATGATATTATGATACCATGAATGAAAAACTTGTTAGTACTCTGACTGGAATAAATGGAAGATTTGGAAAAAAAAAAAGAAAGAGAGAGAGAGAGAGAGAGAGAACACCTGAATTTCCTAGCTGGAGTCAACGTTGATGTGTCGTTTTGCACGACATCCTCGCTTGAGCCCCTTTATTGCTTCAGCACCATTACAGGGAACTAATGAAGTCGTTTTCATTCCCAGCCTTGGCCTAACAACAGCAAGTACCCCAGCGGTAATGGCAATGGCATATAGTGCAGTTTTTCGGACGGCCTCACAGCAATCTCCGCTAGGTCCAGTGCACTCTTGACCAACTGCCTTGACTAGATGCTCAGGCTTTACGCCTCAGCAGATGCAGTCACAGCCGGAGCACCTTACGCAGTGAATGTAACACATTTTGGTTGTTGATGTCTGTCACGCTGGTTGGTATATGATTGAGTGAGTGATCAAGCGAAAAGTCGAGCTTTAGGTACTTGTGTGCTTCTTAATGTTTATCGTTATATTGTTGAAGGTAAGGTGAGAGTATTACTAGTGTGTAGTTAAGCAGGTAGGTATATATACTTCTAGACGAGGAGAAGTTGGCACCTTGCTTTTGAGTAGGAGAGATAGAATGTGCTCCTGACGAGTGTAAGAATGTGTGGCTTGTTAATACATGAAGTTGGCATTGTTTCCTAAGGGTATGAACAATGAGGAAGGAAAGAATGATGTTGGAAGTAATCAAGATATGAAACATTCCCAATGGACCCAGAACAAAACTGTGGACTTACCTTATATATGTAGTAAAGTCATAGGTATGTTTATTTCTTTACATAGTCACGTTCCTATCCTTGCCATCTTCAGTCCATCACCTTTATGCCTGCCTCTCTTTCCCCCCCCCCAAACAACAACCTTTATCTTCTTTAGAGTATCCCAGAGTTTATCCCTCCATCTCTCAATGCAATGCCGCCCACGCTTAGAAGAATGCTGAAGACTTCCATGCATTCAAGGTCGCAGTGGCCCCACATCTCGATGATGAGATTGTTCGGCCTGCAGTTCTTGTTCTTTGCCTTGTCAGAGCATGTCAGAACTACGCCCCGGTAGATGCAGCCACAGCCGGTCCACTTTACGCAGTGGATTTCGTACATTTTGGGTGCTATTGTATGTACCTAGTATTTGTGAAGGCTTGATACTTTGTAGGTGCGTGCTTGTGTAAGCAGGTGAGTTATAAGGTCTTGGCAGGTGGATGCTGTTGTTGTAAGCGAGCAAACTTGATCATGCGTAACTTCCACTCTTTAATAGTACTGCTACTGGCCCCTTTGTTGGGCTTACCTACACGCATCGAAACAAACAAACAAAAAAAAAGACATAAGGTGAAATATTTACAGGAAGAAATACCACAAGTTGTCTCGTGTGACTGGTAAACATGGTACTTTACGATTGTCTTCCTACAATAGGTTGGTGGTGGGCAGTTACAGTAAAGCATCATAAAAAGTCCACAAAATCATTAGCCCTAGCAAAGCAAATAGACCCGAGGAACAACCTGCTTGCGAACTTCTGCTTCATTTAGCCCATACCTTTCTTTCTTTCTGCACTTAAGCTCATGTGCTTCCATATTGTCTTCCTCAAAACACCTTTCTGTAACATCCCAACCTCTGGACACTTTGCTCTTGAGAACTTTCGGCATCGATGACATGCCACCACGCCTCATCAATCTCATCATCCGGCACATGCTCCTCCCCCTCTATCTTTCCTGGGCACCGGGCACTCTATGACTTGTAGGCGCAGCCACAGCTGGTGAACTTTGATGTGTCGAGTGGGATATACTTTCTGGATAGTAGGCTGCGCAGTATTCTTCGGAGTTGGTAGCTCGTTGATGGAGTACTGAGTGACGACTCGGAGCGATGAGGAGTTGTATGTATGTAGGGATATAAAGGAGTATTTCTGGTGAGGTGATTGATGTGGACTGAGGAAAATTGGGTTTGGAGAGGGAAGATGAGCTTGAGGCATACAAACAGATACCTGCTATTTGGCGATGGTGGAAGAATCTAATTTTTTTAAAAAGAAAAGTCTCTCTCTTGTTTAAGGGAACTGATGGTAAATACTCTGGAATGATTATCTTGTTATCAAGATGTAATAAGCGTGGAGGATATCAGGGACTATGGATTGACACTTCAGTAGGAAAACGCATCTTTTATCACGATGTGCTAGTTAAGCATTCTCAGCGCCTGTCACAGATAGAAGTCTCGTTTTTTTGAAATTGCAAAGAGAGCAATCCTTGGTTCCCTTATCAAAACATATTCAGATGACAAGTAATGACAAGTATACAGCGCTGGTGATGATGCCTTCTTTTGTTGTCTACAAACATTGCCAACTCCTCCTCAACAAGTCGCGCTGCCCACTCCCCCCACCCCCCCCTCCTTTAACACCCCCCAAAAACCTACAACCACTTACATTACTTTACAAACGAATTACTAAGCTTGCAACGCACATATAACTGCAAAGAAACTCTGGCCTTTGGACACACATAGACCTTACATAATTGTTATAATATACCTACACTATAATACAATTCCCGCTATCCCCTATGTTTCTATTTATTTTTTTCTTCCCCCTTTCACCAGTACCCATCCCATCCAAAATCCCACTCCCCTTTTTCTCCACTATATCTACCCCTAAACAGCCGCGCTCTCATCAACCTTAACCCCTACCGCAACCCCCTTCTCCTCCCCCCCGTCCTCCGCAACCTGCCTAACTCTCGCCTCTCCGCTCCCCACCTTCCCCGACACAACCTCGAAGCCAATTCCCCTCTTTGCCCTCCTCTTCCTCCCCGCATCCCCATACTGCTCATCAAACTTTCTAATCGCTTTCAAGCTCTCCATATCTTCACTAATACTCGCAGAGATCTCCCTCAGCGCCTTCTCAAAATGCTTCTTCTTCAACACCCTCTTCTCGGGCCACACAAACGGCTCGTCACCCGTGTGCGCGTCGCGCAGGCGGACTTCCTCGCGGACGGCCTCCATAGCCGCTGAGACGCACAGGTTTTTTAGGTCGGAGCCGGAGTACAGCTCGGTGGGCTCTCCTGCTAGATAGGCGATGTCAACGTCTGAATCTAAAACCTCATCACGGAGCATGACGCGCAGGATTTTCTCTCTTTCTGCGCGGAGAGGGAGATCGACGAGAATCTTGCGCGGCAAGCGGCGGAGCACCGCCTCGTCCAGATCGAAAGGCCTGTTGGTCGCGACCATAATAAACGCCCTTTGATCAGGGTTAGACGGCCCCGACAACCCGTCCCATTCCCGCAAGAACTGGGTGATAGTCTCGCGGTGGCCGGAGCGGCCGGGTGTGTTTTGTCTTGCGCCCAGCAAAGCGTCCGCTTCATCGAGGAAGATTACGCAGGGAGAGAGTTTGCGTGCGAGGGAAAACAGGGCGCGGACGTTCTTTTCGGACTGACCCAGCCACATGTCGTTGATGGAGGCGGCAGAGACTTCGAGCATGTTTGCACCAGACTCTTTGGCGACTGCTTTTGCGAGGAGGGTTTTGCCGGTACCCGGGGGACCGTAGAGCAGACAACCTGGGACTCGTTCCGTTTTGAGGATACCGTAGGAGAAGGCCTCGGGGCGGATGAGCGAGAGGGAGGTCAGGCCGATGAGGGAGTCTTTGGTTTCTTGCGGGACAACGATATCGTCGAAGGTTGTGTGCAGGTCCTTGGCGTTGATCAACCCCGAGAGCAACTTCTTCTCGTGCTGGTCGTATTCCTTAGACGAAGAAGTACCCCCGAAACCCCCGCTACCGCTCCCTCCCCTCCCATCACCGCCCCCGCCACCACCAGATGACAGCGAAAAGTCCCACTCTACCCCCTCACCCCTGTTCTTGCGCGGAGTAAGCAGAGGCGAGAAGTAAGGCGGATGCACACTCGGACAGATGCTCGACCAATGCTTGTTCTGGTCCGACATATACTGCAGGGCATACTCGAGGTTGCTGAGGCGGAACTTGTCGTAGCGCGGGGCGCGGCAGCCGACCATGAGAGAGGCCAACCTGTAAATCCACTGCGCATCGTACAGATGACTCGAGAACACCTTGCCCACGCTACCCTCCTTGCTGTCGACCAACGCAGGCCCGTCCTCAATGCGCACCTTGCCCAGGTTGATATCCGCATTGAAACCGAGCATCCCCCGCAGCATGGCCTCCACATTGGCGAGGTTATCCCGCACATTGTCGTACAACTCCGTCCACTGACTGCTCTCGTCAGCCTGGAACGGGATGATATGATCCCCATCCTGGCCCAGGTCCGCAAGCTGATCCCTCCACCGACTCGGGCTATTCTGGTCGCCTGACGACGACCCGACCAAAACAACTCTCCTCCCCCCTAGCCACATCCGATCCACAATCGTCCTCAACTTGGTAATCAACGAAGGATGCAACGAACTCAGCTCCGCGAAATCATGCACATGCACAATCAAATTCTGAGCCGGCACGCTGAACTTGGGTCTCTCCTCCTCCTGAGCCCTCATCAATCCCCTCTTAATCTCCGCCGCGGAAATCAGCGTCTCTAGGGCAGTCCCCATCTTCAGATCGTCCCACCTGCCTTCGGACGAGGCACCGGCCGAGTAGCTGTCTTTGTACAACGACCTGAACGAGCGCAGACGCGGCGGCAGGGTGACGGAGACCATGCCTAGGTTGAGTTCAGCGTCTGGATCAGGACGCGGAGCCAGGCGGCCGTTGAGTTCAGCCGCACCGTAGCCGAGCATGGTGAGGGAGCCACGCGCGGCGTAGGGGTTTTGGCCGAGGTGTCTCCCGATCAGGTCGGCGAGGATATGCGCATCCAGATGAACCACGTCGGCATTCAGATCAGTCGCAATATCGTTGATCACGCTCTGCGGCACAGTCCTCCCCTTCCGGTTCAGCACCGCCAGGATATTAACCGGCCTCCGAGAATTGGGATGCTGGCTAATCGGCGGCGGTGTCTCCAGCTGTGTCCTGATTGCAGCCAGCAGCTCCATGCATACGGGGTACTCAACACTCGGGCGCTTAGCGAGCGGACTACCATGAAGCGACCCCGATCCAGGCACAGCCTCAGATCTTAGATTCGCCAACCACCGCTGCGCATCCAGTGAAAGCTTCTCATCCGGCCACCAGGCCAGCCTCTCCATCTCGCTTGCCCTCTCAGCATAGTGCTGCCTCAACCTGTCCAAATGCTCTGGGTCGGCACTATCGGTATGCACCATTGCCAGCGCCTGGAAGAACGCTGCGTTATGCACATCTCTTGCCCTCCCCACAAGTTGCTCAGCCACCGGCGCAACAGCCGCAACTCCGCGCTGAGCGGCACGCAGAAGTTTCTCCTTCGCGGCAGCGACATCGTCCTCGGTCAGGGCAGCCTCCTCGATCCGGGCGTCCAGCACAGCAGCCACATCCTCCCGGTCCTGCTCCAGCAGTGGGAGTAACAAGGTGTTGGGGCTGCCGATGGGCCGCTGCTCGTATAACGAGACACAGTCGTCCATGAACCATTTCGGGAGCTGCACGGCAACGGTCTCATCTACGCGCAGGTTGCGTGTCGCACGGGCACGAGCGGAGCCATAGCCCTGGCTGCGAAGTCGTTCGCGCTTGTTGTTGACTTCGACGGGGGGTTGGGCGGGGGTTTCGGCGGGGGGTTTGGCGCTGGTATCGGGAGTTTCTTTCCCGCTGGTGGTGCTGTTTGTAGCGTTCTCCTTTGCCGAGTGGCTGTTTTTATTTGGCACTCCCGCGCTGCCCTCTTTTGACGGATCGTCCGCCGCCCCGGGATCTTCACTCGACCTGCCTCTTACAGCAACAGAGGCGTGGAATCCGCGATTCTGGGGCGTCACGACAGACACGGGGTTGCGAGGGGGGGCAGGCCCATTAGAAGAGCATCGGCGACGGGCTGCATTATGGACGTTGGCTTGTTGCTGGATCTGGATGGGGACACGAGCAGGAGGCAGGCGAGGACGCGAGCGAGCACGACAGTGCGAAGCAGACGCTGATGCTGCCGACTCCCTTACTGACACGGACAGCAGGGCGCGAGCCCCTGCGGCCGAGGGCATAGCGACGAGGCTGATGGGAGGAAGGGGGAAGGGGGAATGTCGCAAGTGACCTTCTAGCTTGTATTTCTCGTTCACTTGTCTGTGCCCTTGGTTATGTTCGTCTCGCAAGCGCTATGTTGGATTCACTGTCTTGTCTGTATATGTCGTCGTCGTCGTCGTCGTCGTCGTCGTCAGCAACAGCAGAGAGGACTTGACCAAAGCCCCAGAAGGCACTGGAATGTGAAAACCTGATCCCTCGACGGTCTTTGTTTCGAGTCTTGCGACGGTGTTGGCAGACGTTCTCAGCCGTTCGGCTGGCTGTTGGACGTAACGTCTGCTTCGTTTCGAAGAGAAAAAGTTCCGTTGTTTCTTCCCACTTTTTTTTTTTTTTTTTCCCTCTCTTCCTTCCTGCAGGAGGGTAAACCTGCCTTGGAAGCTGCTGGCCTGCCTTGTTCTGGTAGAATGGTGGATGCGATTTGCCATTTGCCAATCCTCAGCGTCCCGACAAATCAGCGTGCTGGAAACGCTTGGCGTGGGGCACGGCTGTGGAGCCCGCCAAAACCAAACTTGTAACGTTTGCCTGGAGTGGATGTTTCGAACTTTCGTTAAGGAGGGCCGCCACAAGCCGGGCCTCAGCCGCGCACAAGCCACAGAACCAGAGTTGCAACTCGAGAAGGGAGACCAAAACAAGGGGCATGTCAAGTCAGAGCGTGGTCTCTTACTTTCGTCCAAACTGTCACATGACTCGCTGGCGCAATTGGTAGCGCGTTCGACTCCAGATCGAAAGGTTATCCGTTCAAGTCGGGTGCGGGTCAATAGATCTATTTTTCTCTTCAAGGTTTTTATCCTTTTTTTTTTTAAGAATCACTACTTACTGCTGTTGAAACTGAAGCGATTGCGTTATGGCGCAAAGTCGTCCATCATGCAGACGCCAAGCAAGATCACAGGATCAGGAGGGGATGACAGGAAAGGAAAATTGTAAACACAAATTACCCGGACAGCAAGCACGACAATTCGAGAGATACATGTTAGGACCACGACGGCAAATAATACGGTTGTTTTATTTCCCTCTATAAGACCCGACAATCCCATTCCAGCATCCAGCTAAAAGTATGCACTCATCTCCCCCTCGAGTCCCCCAGCACAAACAATTTTCTTCCTTCCCCTCCTCCATTCAACCTCAACACCCAACTTCCACCTGCTCGTCACCTCCCTCATCCTCTCCAACAATTCTTGCAACTTCCACGGCTCATATCTCATTCCCTGCAGCGAAGGCGACGATGGCAACCCTACGGCTGCTTGTGCTGATGGTGGCACGGCTCCGCCAGCTGTTGCTGTGGCCGGCATCCTCACCATAACCGCCCCATTTGTGACAACCCAGTTCTTCTTCACCTCCGAGACAATCGTCTTGGAAAAGTTCTGTATCTTCGAAACTTTCGCCGTGTTACCGTTGCCAGGGATTGTGATGTCCTCTGGCACCAAATACTCCACCAGAGCGGCAGCTGCCAAGTCAGGCGGGCCAAGCTGGACAGGTACGCGGGAGGCTGGGAATTGAGAGAGGAGGTTGTCGAGCTGCGTCTTCATGAAGGAGAAGAGCCGTGCTAAGGAGCGGACGATGTCGTTCAGACCAAGGGAAGCAGCCACTTCGGCCTCGTTGACAAGGAACGCGCGTAGACTCGGTTGCAGGAGGTTGGTGAGCTCGCCTAGCAGGGCCATGACGTGCAGCAGCATGAGGATCGTCAGCTCCGGGTCGCTCCCCAGAGGAGGGGGGGATTCCAAAGAGAAAGCCCTCCTCACGTTGACAAACCACCCCATGATCCCCTCCAACAACCCATTGACCGTCTTAGCCTCCTCTTCATCCCCAATAATCTCCTCTCCCTCCCCAAACGCCTCCCCTAACGCCCCGACACAAACCTCTAACACCACCCAACCGCCCAGCCCCCCACCCCTCACCTCAAGCGCCCCCAGTATCGCAGGCACCCATGTCCCCAAGATAAAACCCCTAACCCACCGATCCTCCCCTACTGCCCTCGCAATAATCCCCTCCTCCCTCCTCAACATCCCTAACCCGTTCCCCAACGCAAGCCGAAAGGAACTAAACAAGTAATGGAAGAGCTGCGGTGCCGCCGTAACATCCCTCTCCGCCAGTCTCACTCCATACGCGACAATCCCAGCGGCGTGCAACGTCGGATCATGCATTGGCGGGGCGTAGTCGGCACTGGGTTGGGTAAAGAAGGGGTCGATGACGCAGATGCCTACGCCGAGGGACTTGAGGAGGGAAATGGCGGAGCGGATGAAGGATATGTATGCCACGTGCTCGATCGAAGAGAGAGAGCGTAAAAGGGAGAGGTCTTCCCTCATCTTCTGCATCACCAGGCCAAGATGGCGGGAGAATTCCTCGCGAAGGACTTTCGCCTGCCCCGGGTTGGGCGCGTCACGCAGAGCTTTGCGCATGTGGTGCAGCGCAGAGGAGAGGTAGTCTATGTTAGTGCTGTAATCCGGCGCCAGGGTAACCGGGACAGTGACGCCCGCGAGGAAGGGGAGGTGGTGGTGTTGGAGGGCTTCGGCAAGGTAGTTCTCGTAGCGGAGCAGGCGGGCTGGTTTGGTGATGGTGAGGAGCCAGAGGGAGAGGATGTTCATGCCGAGGTCGCGGAAGTCGAAGACGTCATTTTTGACGAGGACGGCGAGGAAGAGGGGAAGGTAGGTTCGTTCGGCGGTGGTGAGGGCTTTGGGAGGGGCGGAGAAGAGGCCGTAGGTGCCGGGGGAGAAGTAGGGAGACATTTTCTGGGGAAGTCAGCAGTGGTTTCGTACGCCAGCTGTTATCACGCTTACCGTCACCGAATGATGAATCAACCTAGCCGCAATCCTGCCAGCGAGAGTAACCGTCTTCTCGGCACACTGAGCCTGCATGCTGCCCTCCCTGGGCAGCTTCTCGATCGTAAGTTTCAGGATCGTCCTCGCCATCCAGAAGAACTCCTTAGCCAGCCTCGAGTCAAGCAGCAGCACAGCCTCCTCAACATGCCGATCAGCATCCGGATTTTGCGAGAAGTTACTCGAGTACTGCTGCTCAACCGCCTGATCGATCCTCCCAATAAAATGCTCCAGCATGTCCAGCGCCTCCCGCACGATCTTCCAGTCGAACCGAGGATGCTCGTAGTCCAGCGTGGTGAACACCTTCTGCAAGAGGACATGACCTATCCAGTGTCAGCACTGAACCTCCCTCCTCTTCTCTCTGCCATAATCCCCAAGACCAACTTACTAGCATTAAACTCCGCCAGCGCTTCCTCCATCCCCGGAGCCAACCTCAACACATCCACCGACGCCCTCAAGATCGCATGCAAAATCTCCATCGCACTCGCCTTATTCTTCGCAATCGTCTCCTCCTTGACCTCCTCACTCACTCGCAACAACACATCTGCCGACAGCATCCGAAACTGCTGCTCGATGTCCGACGCCGCCGACAAGTACTGGTCCAGGATCTGATTAAATATGTTGCTCCTCCACGCCGCCAGCTGCGCCACCACACCGGTCCTGGGAGCGGTAGGACCCGTCTCGTGGCAGATAACAAACCTGGCAAGCTGATTCCACGCCCTAACGTTAATCAGACACGCCTCTTTGTGCGCGCTGCCTGGGACCACGAGCTTCTCGATATGATGAATCCCCGGCCTCGAATCGGGCGGCGCAGCCCAGAAAAGCGCACACAACAAGTCATGATGATTTCTCAGCGCGGCCAGATCTGTCCGATGCACCGTATCCTCCTTCAGTAGTTGTCGATCATGATTCGGCAACGTCCGCGCCACCAAATTCCTGATATCCCTTTCCCTGCCCCCCAGCTCTCTCAACCGGACAATCGCCAGCGCAAGCAGCTTGATAAAGATATGGAAGGCGCACCTGTCCTCAGCTGGGTCAATCCTCCTGACCGCAGCAACAGGATTCCTCTCTAACATCTCCAAAAACCTCGGCGACGCATTCGTCTCCTCATTCCTCAAATGCGCCAAATTCTGCGCCCCAAAGAAATCAAAAATCGTGCCAATGACACCAGTACACCTGCGCCAGCCCCATTCCTGCACAAGCACATGACAGCGGGCGACCAGCGCACGACAATAATCATTAAACCCCGGCGGCTGGCGAGGGTTGGCCTTAGAGAGCTCCAAGACACGCTTGAGGAGTTGCTGAGGTAGAGTCCAGCCCTCGAGGGGGAGGGACTTGCGCTGGTCGGGGATGTGCAGGCCGGTGTTGTCGATTTCGGTGAGGGGCAAGAGGGTGAACATGTCGAGCCAGAGGCGCTCGAAGAGTTGGGCGTCGGTTGAGTGGGAGATGTCGTGGTCGCGGAGCATGACGGATTGGGTGAGATCCCAGAAGGAAGAGCGAGGGATGGCGGCGGACTCGAGGACGCGGATGAGGACGACCCACCAGTTGGCTAGGAGACGGTTGGAACGGATGCCCCCTTCGCGGACGGAGATGCCTTGTAGGTCGTCGTACAAGGTGCGTAGCTCGTCTGTCCCGCGTTCCAGAAGACGTTCGATGACAATCCTCGCCAACTTCTTAAGCATCTCCTCAAACCCCATCGCCAGCGAGAAGTCGTTAATCCAGTCCGCCGTGCTCAGCGTCCTAGCCGCCAGGATAGCAACCAAGTATCTCACCCCAACGTCCAACAACACCCTCTTGTTCCCCTCCGCCAGCGCCCCCCACTCAACTCCCTCAAATCTTCCCACAAAACTCCCAAACACCTCTAAGCATCTCCCCAAAACCCCTTTACCATCAGCATCGGAGGAGATACTCAACGACCTGGTCAAATACCTAACCACAAACCCCGCCGCCTCAACCACTCCCCTCCCCAGCTCCTCAGGACTCCCCATCTGCTCCCCAACCCAATCCACCAAAATCCCCAGCTCGGACGACACCCGATCATCCCACGCCCCCCATTTGAGCACCTCTCCATCAAGCGTAAACGCTACCGAAGCTCTGGGCCTGCGAACCTTTTCGCAGAGGACCGGGTCCGCCGCATCGCGAATGTATCCTTGTCCGATGAACGTGCTCTCGTGGAAGAAGATGCCCTTGTCGTTGTCAAAGGGGAAGATGTCGAAGTGGTGGGTGTAGTGCGTGCCGTAGGGGCCGAGGCCTCTTAGTTTATCTTCAGAGCGGGGTTCGTTCCGGACTTCTGCCGTGAGTACGACCGGAGGAGGGGGTTCGACAGGCAAGGGGTCGTTCGCCCTTGTGTACTGCGGCGCGTCGGTGTTGATCTGATGAGGGTGAGTCCGTTTCCTGAAGCGGGATTTGGCTTGTCTCTGTCTGGGTGCTGGGGCCGGGATGGGGTCATCTTCCTCATCCACGATATCGACGGCATCATCTTGCGGTCGAGGTACCCCCACCCGCAGGGACTCCTCCCTCAACGTAAAGTTCGTATCCAACGGCCTGCTAAGAACCTCTGCCGCCGACCCCAACACCCTGCGACTCCTCTTATAGAACGCATCCAGCGTCCTCTTGCGGGCCCTGGAAAGCCTCTTATCCTCCGTCTCTTCCTCCTCCAACTGCGCGGGCAAGAAGATCGGCCCCGGATTCGGTACCTTCTTGCGAATAAACAGCCTCCTTGCCGTTTCACGCGGCGCCTCAACCGCCTCTCCACCCTCCTCAGGCCGGACAGTCACGAATCCATCCAACGTCGCCTGGTCGGCCTGTTTCCTCGTCGGAAACAGCCTTGACCGTGGCGCCGTGTTCGTCGAGACCTCGTGCAGGGCAGGCCTATCCTTCGGCTTGCGCGGCTGACTGGGTACCGACACCCTAGGCTTCGTCTTGCCCGACTTCCAGTCCCGTAAGACAGAGAGCGCAACAATATTGTCGCTGCGGGTAGCCAGGCAGATGATTTTCTTGGAAGGACTGCTCTTGCCAAGGTTGGCCTTCTTCCTTGCTGTGCGGGCGGCGATGCGGATGAAATGCGGGGCGTTGGGTTCGACTACGTCGAGGATGCTTAGCATTGGCGGGGTGTTCTCCCTCTTTTTTCGAGGGACTCGGTGATGGGTTGAATCGCCCTTTGGACGAGTGGAGGAAGCCTGCTTTGTAGACCGACCCAGTACCTGCGTAATCTTGGGCTGGCGTAGACCATCGCCCTTCCTTCTCTTCGCCAAGTGAGACAACGTCCGAGATCCAGACCTCTTCCTATTCGCGCTCGGCGGCATCCAGTCAATGATATCCTCCTCCATGACATCAGATCCGGGATCCTCGTCGTCAATGACGATTGTCTCTGGCGCAGTGCTCAGGGGACGCTGGATTGTTCCCAGCCCAGATCCTGACGTAGCCGGCGGGGTGTCCGACGCATCATCGAGATCGTCGTCCGCAAAGATGGGGAACGGAGCTGTGCTAGACGGCGGCTTCGGTGAAGCCTGCCTTGGCAACGCGACGCCCTTCCTTTTTGTGGGTAGCTCCGAACTGCGTCTCCTCACGTGTCGGGAGGTGGTTTGTTTCTCTTTTTCTTGCTGCTGGTTCTGCCGCCTGTCAAGCCGCAGCCAGGACGCGGGTAGGAGACCGCGAAGGCGACGGCTTTCACGACGGACCACGTCCGAGTCACTGTCAGAGCTGTGGCTGGAGTCTGAGTCGCTGCCTGTGAGGTCTTCTTGGGGGTCGTGATCGTGAATGACGATGGGAGCGCCTTGTGTACCCCTACGCGAGTGCCGGGGGGTGTCCTCATCCGAGAGCTGCCCAGCCTGAGGTTCAACACCCGTTTGATTCCGGGAAGGAGAAGATGAGAGCAGGTCAGCAATATGCTGCAACGGGTTCTGTGGCCTCGACCACACCGGCGGCGGGGACGATGGCAGGTCCCACAGATCCCGAGACGCAGCTCCAGCAGTCTTAGTCCGTCCAGGAGGGGGCGGCGGCGACGACGAATCGACCACCAGCCTCGCCCTCTTCCTCGTGCTAGACATCAGCTGCCCGGAAGAGTACCTCTTCAACCTCCGCTGCGTCTGCTTCTGCGGCTTGATCTTCCCCAAAGGCGGCAAATCCTCATCCGACAAACTAGTATCGTCCGTGTGGTCAGCGCTAGCCTGTCGACTACTAGTCTTCAGCTGTCGATCCACAGGCGATGACATAGTCAGCTCGTCTTCCTCCAGGATGTTGTTCCCGAACAGGATCGGCGCGGTCTCGTCAGCTGGCAGCCCGTTGTCCGGAGACTCCTGGCTCTCGTCTGCCCGGAACTCTTCCTCTTGTGAATCCTCTTCGCGTGTCTTTTTCCGGGATTTGGGTGATTCGGGAAGGACCTCGATCGGTTTCAGGCCGTGAGATTTCATGACCTTTCTGTAGCGCTCCTTCTCGATCAGGTAAGGGTGCTCTTGGATGGGCTTGCGAGGGCGAAGGGAGCGCTCTGCTCGAACTATCGTCTTCCTGATGACATCGTCTTCGCTGGGCTGTAGTATGGGTCGTTCTGCAGGCGGGCTGGGACGGCGCTGTTGACGGGAAGGAGATGCACAAGGAGGTGATGGGGTCTTTGCGAGGAGGCTCAGCGGCGAGGAGCTAGCCGAACGGGGCGGCCGGGTCGGAGTCGTCACACGGACATAGCTCGTGAATATCCCGTCCTGCAGGAAGTCTGAGGGGGCGGCGTCCGAACATTGCCGAGCCGGGCTCGAGGTCTTGTCTGCAGCATCGTTACCAGCAGGGCAGTTAGGGCCATCGTGCCGCTGAGTAGGCAGAGGCAAGGACTGCGTGCTCAACTTCGGAGGCGAAGAGGTGTTCGCCGGGACAGACGAAGCTGGACGCTCGCTGGGCACAAGTTGGGACTTATAAGCCAGGTCATCGGAGCCTAGTCCGACACTACCAAGACCGTCGTCCCTCTGGGACGCAGCAGGAAGAGGAATGAAGATCTTGGTTGCCTTTCTGGTGGCTAGGGGCTCGTCGGGAGAGCTGGGAATTTCGTATGGGTCGCGCTGAGGGCGGCCCTGCTTGGTACGAGCTTTCTCCGGCCACCTCGAATCTCTAGTCCCCTCATCTACCTTTTGTTCCTGTTTCTGTGACTCCTCTTCTCGTCCGTCCCCTCCTCCAGTCTGTCCTACTGTAGCATCCTGTCTGTTAGGTACATCTCCATCCTTCTGCTCTACCGGGAGGTCGATTATCGGCAAGCAATCGATTTCGTCGATGTCAAGCGGCAGCTCATCGTAATCGTCGTCCGAGTCCGGAACCTCGCCCAATTCCTTCCAATTTGGCATGGTTTTCCGTAAGCATGTCGTTGTTATTAGTGCACCATTACTGCCAGACACGTCGACACGAGATATTTTCTTTTATTTGTAAAGAATAACTGTAGTACAGGCAGCAAGGATTTCGACTCTGCTCGTCCTTGGCTGCGACGCGTGGAACGTGTATTTCCCAGCGAGAATGGCAGAGCTCGAGACGCGACGCCAAGTCTTGGCACAATTACGGATCGGTAAGTGGGGCAGTTTCGCGTCAGCTCGGCGGAGCTTGCGCCGTCGGGTGTTGCCGGATTGCTGTGACGCGCACCGTTATGCATTCCGTTTGGTGGCAGCCCGCCCGAGGTCCTGCAAGAAACGTTAGGGCATCCGTAACAGCCGTTGTAAGATCCGTTACGCCGACATCAAATCTTTGCTCATGACTCTCAAGTCAGCATTGTGAAGTTCGACTGTGTTATGTGAGAGGCATGCAAAGTGAAGCCTTCTTCTGACTTGGTTTTGAAACTCAAAACAAACTCACAATGAGTACTCAATCAAAAATCTTCGCCGTCGCCATGGTCGTGGCCTTTGGCATTGGCAATGGTGAGACTGGCTTTGCTAACTTTTGCAACTGTGGACTTCAGAGACTAACAACACTTCAGCATACTACTCATTTAACCCGGCTCTTCAAGAGCTAGCAGAAAAGAAACGGACTGTCAATTCAAGGTGAGCCGGCTGAGAGAAACTTGATTCCTGAAGTTTAAAGCTGATATCTTCACAGCAAGCCGGCTCAGCCACCAGCAAATTCGCCATCAGAATCAGACAAACAGCAGCAGTCAAGTTGAGATCGCCACATGATTAGCAGAGCGGTGTATGAAGCTACTGGATTGTTATGTGGATTGTATGTAGTTTGTTGTCAAATGTCTCTTCATTGGCGTCTGTCTCTTCGTATGACAAAGACAAATAACAGTTCAGATGACCTTGCCATCTTGGTGCCTGTGCCTGACAAGGACTCATCAGCCCCTCCCCCTCATACCCGAGGCTCGAAGTTTTGGTTTGGTCAACGTGGATAACCGATGACCACAACACCCGAGACAACACTGGGCCTGACGAATCATTTTCAAAAGCTAGCGGCAGTTTCTCACGATTGAGAAGTCCAACGCGCCTCGATTCGAAGATTCCAGCAGCCAACATTTACTGTGCCTTCAAGCTTGCTGCTCTGACGGAGGGGCAGAGGCAGGACAGTGTCGCATGAGAGGATGTGATACTGTCCCAGTCAAAGGACTCAAATTGAATGAGACCATAGATGAATTGAGCAGAAGTTATGTCATTCAACTGAATTATTGAATACCCAATTCTTATATGCCTTTTTGACCTCGAAGATTTAAAAAACTCTAATTTGCTCTTGTGTCCCGTCCCAATAACCCGTAAACACAGTGTGCCAACCACCGTTACATCATCGTTTCGCAGACGCAGAGCGGGGCAGCCGGAGGGGCATGCAATTAAGCGGAAGAAACAGGACGGGGATCTACCCCAATCAGGCCACCTCGAAATCCGAGCTGAGGCCATCTGCCCGAAAAAAAGCTCGCCCGTGCATGACTTCACACCTCTCACACAAAGCCACCTCCGACCACCACCTTCCCGGACGAAGGAGCTCCAGGCCGCCAGCCGCGCCGCTCTCTCTCTCTCAATTGGACCGCTCTCCACTCCCGCACCGTAGCAGCCTCGAGCTCCCAGCAGCAGCAGCAGCAGCAACAGCAGCAGCAGTACGGTCACGTCGACGACGATAATATCGAAGATCTAACCCGGCTCATCCGTCGCCATGCTTCGCAACGCCATCGTTCGCGCCTCCCGGCAGTCGGCCGTCGCCCTCGGCTCCCGCCGTGCCGCCTCAACTCAGGCCCTGTCCAACCCTACTCTGGCCAACATCGAGAAGAGATGGGAGGCCATGCCCATGCAGGAGCAGGCCGAGCTCTGGATGGCCCTGCGTGACCGTATGAAGGGCAACTGGGCTGACCTGACTCTCCAAGAGAAGAAGGCCGGTAAGTTGGCCGGTGTGGGATTCCTGTGATACCCGATACCTGACCTCGACCAACATCATCAACAATTGAGCTCATTTTTGCCGCATTGGGAGCTGTGAGGGAGCTCGGTCGAGCTTTGGGTGCTGTCTGGGTTCTGTTTGCTGGGCTCTGGGCTCAGGGTGCTGAGAGGTAGAGGAGGAGGAGGCTTCTCCTCTTTCGTCCCCGCTTGTCCAGAGCTTTGACAAGACGATCGCAACCGCAACAGACACCACAGCACAACGTCGACATGCTCATGCTTCGTGATCTTGATCATAACAATCATAAATCATCAACCATGGAAGCCGAAGGCTAACTGAACCTTTTCCCCACCCACAGCCTACTGGATCGCTTTCGGCCCCCACGGCCCCCGTGCCCTCCCTCCTCCGGATGAGAACAAGAAGGTCTTCCTCGGCACTGTGGCCGGCCTCGTTGCTAGCGCCATCCTCTTCGCTGTCGTGCGCTCGTTCGCCAACCCGGCGCCCAAGACCATGACTCAGGAGTGGCAGGAGAAGACCAACGAGTTCCTCATTGTGCGTGCACCCGGTTACTCTTATTATTACAGCGATTCACTTACTGACCGAATCCTCTTCGTCACAAACAGGCCCAGAAGTCCGACCCTCTCTCGGGTATCTCGTCAGAAGGTTACACCGGCAAGGGCCACATCCAGTCTGCTCCTGCGCGGAAGTAGACGCGCCGCGGCAATGGTGGTTTCCCTTGTTAGACAATAGAGACTATCATACCTACTAACTACGCGGGGGGCAATTTTCCGTCACAAGGGGTTTGTTCCTTGTTTAGTAAAAGAAGACCGATCTTAGGGATGATGAGGTTGGTAGAGGTAGGAGGAGGTTATCTCTCTGGTGGTAGGATGGAGCATTGGGAGCCTTTATATTGGGTGGTGTAAATATTGTAAAGACGCTGACAATGCGATTTCCTTGCTCTACGTCTTAACCGCGTGTGGTGCTAATTGGGTGATTGGGCAGAGGGGTCCGGATGGGAAATGGCGAGATGTCGGCAATCGTCGGGATGGTCGGGTTGGGCTGGATAATGGATAGGACGTGTGTAATGGGTTCAACTCTGGGTGAGGTTTGAGACTAAATGGATGATACGGTCCAGGACTATCTGGTCTCCTGAAAAAAACTGCCAGAGAAAGCTCAGGCTACCAAGAGGTGACATTAAGCCAGTCAACTTCACTGCTCGACCAGTAGCAATTCTGGCCTTACAAAACAAAGCCGAGAACATATGCCATGCAGGGCTCTCGGAGAAGGTCCGAGCAATGCTTCGCACTTCCCTCAAAATTCTTGCCGCCGGAAGGAGAGCAGGCCTCTTGAAAATCAACCCTGAAGCCATTGAATCAGGCCCGAGTCTCTAGGAAGCTTGCCCGAAGCTTCCTCATACATTTTGGCACTCTTCTGCGTCTTCCCCTAAACTTGGTTTAGCCATGAGCCGCGTTTACTCGGCAAGGAATGAGCTCAACTATCGCCTACGATGACGTCGTCGACACACTGCGAGGTGCATCCTTGGTCGAGCTTTGTGCACAACAAGCAGGCATCTGGCCATAGCTCCATCCTCTTACTCTTAGAAAAGGAGAGATGTGTCTCTTTTTTTTAAAAAAAAATATTAGGAGCAAACGCTCTTTTAAAGTACAGAATGCTCCTATAAAGGAAAGCCTCAAAGACGGCCTGTTCCTAAAATTATATATAGTCTGCTCCTCCAGTCTGCAAAGCATGTTCCTGGGCGTAAGTTACCTGATTGCATAGGTACCTAGAAAACCCAGCAGTACGAGCGTCTGAGGAATGCAGTGAGGCTCGATCTTCTCGACTCATTACAAAACATCCTTCTCTCAACTAGTTGTTCCCCAGCCCTAAAAAAAAAAAAAAGAGCCTTCTGTAGCAGATGTTAGGATAAAAAGTACTGTCTTCCGTAGCATCACCCTCTTATCCCCAACTTCCGCCACGCAAGCAACTTCCATTCCTCCATTGTACCTAGGCAAAACACTGACATGTGAATCCCCCTCCCTGCACAACAGCTCAGCACCTCATGCATGTCATGTCTTCATTGGCGGGAAAATGCTTCATCGTCGAGGGGACAGCTGCAGAGTGAGCAACACTTCACAAATCATCCATATATCCACAGCGGCTGTCGGCGTGCTGTCAAATCTCCGTGACCCTGCTGCCGTGCCGGGCCGGGCCCAGGCAGAATGTGGCTGTGACGCTGTGTAGGAAGTGAGTGGAGGCTGACCCATCAACGTGCCTCGATTTAACCAGTGTCATTGGTTGGGATAAGGCTTGGCTTACATTGTGATTGGCGCATCGGTGTTCGTGCGCGTGGGGGGGAGGAGGGAGGTTGGGAGGTGGAAGGAGCCGTCGGGCTGGGTCTTTAACCCTTGTCACGGTCAAGCTGGAATGGTACGCAACGTAACGCAACATTGGGAGGGTAAAAAAAAAGAAGGGCAGTTGCCCTTTCCACCTTTTGCTGTTGAATATAACGTTGCGGTTTCGGACGGGACCGAAGAAAAAAAAAAAAAGAGAGAGAGACGAGAGGCTATTTTTTTTTGTCGGTCACAATGCTCATAGCAATTATGGCCCTCCTCATCCACGCTTTCACCATCGCCCTCACTGCCCAGCAGTTATTCTGGCTTCGGGAAACTGCGTCTGAATTCGTCACTGGCGCGGGTCTCGCTTTGCTCTCTCGAATCCCGAAGGCCTCGTGACAGGGAGCTCATTTTGGGTTCATTTTTTACACATTGAACTTAATTATTTTTTTTTTCTTTTGCGCTGCATACTCCTGGCTACCTACATACCTTACGTGTTCATCTGGCTGGAACCCGTTCACAAGCGGCCGCCCGTGGATCAGCGGATTGGGCGATATTTGAGGTCTCGTACAGGGGCTGAGCTAAGTCATTGCTGCCGCTGCGACCGCGTCTCTCCTCGAGATTGCTATATCTCTATATTCCATCTTCACCTTGAGCATTTGATACACGGTAGCACCTGGCTGTGCTCCTGCATACCGTCTTCCTTCACATGCTTGAGATGATATAGATACAAAATCCTGATATCACTAGATCACCAGGTATGTGGCAGGCACAATGGATCCACGGATATGGGCTGCTGGTTCGATCTGGTTGGGCTCTCTCGTCTCTCTCTCCTCGTGAAAGCTGCTGACAGCTCCTGTTCTCCTCCAGAGTACTGGGATCTTTATCCCGTGGCTCCCGCTCCCCGTCCTCCTGTGACCTCCCTCCCTGCCGCGTTGCGTCATTGGTGGACCTGTCGCACCCACTCGCATCACGATCTCCTCGAATCGATAACGACCTTCTGGAAGTACGACTCGAGAACACACGGAACATAACTACCACTTCCATACTATAGACGATACCTCCCAAATAGTCCTATCGAGTATATCTTATAACCCGTATACCGTACCCCTAGCCCGCCATGTCGAAGCTTCTTAGGTCTAGACGCTTCATACGGTCACTGGCCGTCGCTGGTGCTACCGGCGGCGCCTTATACTACGTCTACCGTCCGCGTGACATCCCCGGCTACCAAGACCCTGTCACACGTCCGGCCCCGACCTACGGTGCTGACGGAACCTTCAAGCTGCCGCGCTTCCCCCGGGTCAAGTCCCGCGCCGAGCAGATCGCTGATCTGAAGAAGAGTACGTCGGGTCGTGCAGAAGACGAGTATGACATCCTAGTTATTGGCGCGGGTGCCACGGGCGCAGGCGTTGCTCTCGACGCCGCCACGCGTGGCCTCAAGGTCGCCATTGTTGACCGCGGCGACTTCAGCTGCGAGACCAGCAGCAAGAGCACCAAGCTCGTGCACGGCGGCGTCCGCTACCTCGAGAAGGCCGTCTGGGACCTAGACTACGCACAGTACCAGCTGGTCAAGGAGGCGCTGAAGGAACGCAAGTACTTCCTGCAGACTGCACCGCATCTGAGCATGTGGCTACCTATAATGCTGCCACTCGATTCGTGGTGGAAGGTTCCCTACTACTGGGCTGGCACAAAGATGTACGACTTCCTGGCGGGCAGCGAGGGCATCGAAAGCTCGTATTTTTTGACCAAGAGTAAGGCTTTGGACGCATTTCCCATGCTACGCAAGACGGACTTGGTCGGTGCCCTGGTCTACTATGATGGCGCCCACAACGACTCGAGGATGAACGTGTCGCTGGCTATGACCGCGGCCCTCTACGGCGCCACAGTCGTCAACCACATGGAGGTCACCAAGCTGCTCAAGACCGCCGGCGGCAAGGTCTGCGGTGCGACAGTTAAGGACCGCATCCCCGAGCGCGACGGCAAGCAAGTGGCCCCGATCGACATCCGCGCCAAATGCGTCATCAATTGCACCGGCCCCTTCACCGACAGCATCCGCAAGATGGACGACCCCAACTGCGAGGAAATCGTGCGCCCCGCCTCGGGCGTGCACGTCGTCCTCCCCGGCTACTACTCCCCCGGCCGCATGGGCCTCATCGACCCCAAGACCTCGGACGGCCGCGTCATCTTCTTCCTCCCTTGGCAGGGCAATACCATCGCCGGCACGACTGATGATCCGGCTGAGCTCGCGCGCAATCCCCTCCCCGAGGAGAAATCCATACAGTGGATTCTCAACGAGATTAGGCATTACCTGTCGCCCCACCTCAACGTCCGCCGCGGGGACGTGCTTGCCGCCTGGTGTGGCTTGCGCCCGCTTGTTAAAGACCCTAATGTCAAGAATACCGAGGCGCTGGTGCGCTCGCATCTGGTCCATGTGGCCGAGTCGGGCCTAATAACCTGCGCCGGAGGGAAATGGACGACGTATCGGCAGATGGCGGAAGACTGTGTCGATGCGGCGATTAAGCACTTTAACCTCCAAACCAAGCCAATCACCAACCCCCCGCGCATCAGCGGTACCGATAGTGTAGACGACGCCGCTCAGCTCGACGGCACCTGCCAGACTCACCGCGTGCGCCTCATCGGCGCCCACGGATGGTCCCGCACCCTCTTCATCAACATCATCCAGCACTTTGGCGTCGAGACCGAGGTCGCTAAGCACCTTACCGAGAGCTATGGCGACAGAGCATGGTCCGTCGCCGCGCTGTGTCGGCCGACGGATAAACGATTCCCCGCGAGAGGCGAAAGAATTTCGCAGCTCTATCCGTTTGTAGATGGCGAGGTCAGGTATGCGTGTCGGTGTGAGTATGCGCAGACGGCGGTGGATGTGTTGGCGAGGAGGACCAGGTTGGCGTTTTTGAATGCTCAAGCGGCGTTAGAGGCGTTGCCCAGGGTAATTGATATTATGGCGGAGGAGTTGGGGTGGGATGCGAGAAGGAGGGAGGTTGAGTGGGTGGAGAGTAAGTCCCTCTGTCATCCAAAGTTGGGAGTTATCAATATGGGATTACTAACGAAGATTGCAGCGGTCAAGTTCCTTGAGTCGATGGGCCTTCCGAAGCCGATGTTGTCAGCTACGAGAAAGCAGGTCGAGCAGGGGAAGCTTGATTTCAAGAGCTCGCTGGAGTATAAGATGTATTCGAGGCATGATAAATATGATATTGAGTATGAAGAGGAGGCTTGAGTCTTTTTTTTTTTTTTCCTTTTCCCCTCGGTATCTTCTACTCTGGCGGTCTCTTGAAAAAAAAAATGAAAAGAAAAAAAGAAAAGGGGGGGGCAGGTTGGAGGTATTAAGGGATTAGTGGAAGATAGGCCCTTCGCTTTTTATTCTAGCGAATCCTTAAAAGAAGGGCAGATTGAAGTTTTTTTAAAATAAAAAGGATAGATTGAGGGGTTTTGTCGCATCGTTTCTCCGGGTGTTGGGGAATGGGTTGGGCTGGTTTTTCAGCGACGGCTGGCCAGGAGATAGGGGTTGTTTTTTTTTTTTTCTCACTTCGTGGTTGCGCCTTTTACTATTGGTCTTTTTAATAATTAGAGAGTATCGCATCAGCAGCATTGTTGTTGTCAATTACAGACAGCAGAAAGAACATGGACGTTTGCTTTTCGTGCTTTTGTTTTTCTTTATTGTTTGTTGTTGGGTTGGGTAGCGTTTTGGTTATTGCTTTATAGATCAGATTTCTTGTGTCCTCGCCTTTTTACCCCTTTTCACGGCTGGTGCGATGTATGAGGGGCAGTTTGGGAATGTTATTTGCCTATCATGGACTGGGGTGATATTGCCAGTGGCATTAGTCAGGATAGTGTTAGGCCGAAAAGACTGGTCGAAGTTAAGACTCAAGAGGTGGCAAGAGAAAACTAGGCTAAAAAAAAAAAAAAAAAGCTACCTACATAGCAGAAAATGGTGGTCAAACTCTTGCGCCATAGAGTTCTGAGCTTTGTTGCTCTACTTCGAGCAAGTTTGCTTCGGTTCATGGCGCCTAATACCTACACTCTGATGTCCCTCCTTATTTGTATGGCCCCTTACTCCGAGGCCAGCCTTATCAAGATGCAGGCTGTCCTGAACTCTAGCATCCAATTATTTCATGATGAAACAGGTCCCACAATAGCAAGTGCCCGCCTTCCGTCATCTATGTAGTGTGATTTAAGCCACATGGAGTGTTCCTTATGATACTGGGAACTCAAGACTAGGATTATAGGCCCCTAGCAAGACCTAGAACGAGTGTGCTAACATAAGGGACAAGGCCAAGACAATCTACCTGTTTGATATTTGAATCCTAACTCAATTACCTACCTGGACCTCTACCGCAGGCTACGAACTCCCCTCCCGCCCTACCACTAAGTATCGTACCTCGGTCAATCACTCCCCTTTTTTGTATTTTGCCCATTTCGTCTACTGGATTCTGAGTGACCGGCGAGTGGCGGGTGTCTTGGACTTACTCCGGACCGAGCGATCATTGGCCGGGGACATCGACTTACCACCGAGTGAGCTACCAGTAAACCTAGACCATGACTTGCTCGCCGTTTGACGGGGTCTGGGAATACCGCTTTATGGTGCGATACCTCCGGGCTTGCATCCTCTCCATGATAATACTTTTTAGGGTTCGGACATACATTGGTAGCCCTGAATCTGTGCCTGTGCCAGTTTGGAGGAAGAGACCTTTTTAGTCGGAGGGCCAAGTCGCCGACGGAGTGGATGAGGCCTTCGCATTGGAGGGGGAAGTGGAAATCTATGACAGGGTGTTAGCAGATCAGGATAGTGGAAAAACAGAAAAGATGGGGTAGCACTTACTCTTTGGCTCTCCGACAAAGGCTCTAATCGAGTCTGAAGAGGCCTTTCGCAAGTTTCAGTTAGTATCAAGTCGATAAAACGCTGATCTAAATCATTCATGATGGTTAGCCCATGGTTCCACTGAACATATGGGAACTAACACTTACAGGTCGTTCTGGATCAAGGTCCAGGAACGGTGACTCTCGTGGTTGTGTAATTCGCCATGTCTGGAGTATCTCTTTGAGTCAGATAGACGACGAAGAAGTGGGCTAGCTTGTGAGCCACGGTCATAGAGATGCAGAAGAGAAGGCCCTTGTGGTGTTGAGTTACCTTGCGTGCTTCGGATGCGCTTTCGGCAGGATGGTTGGCAAAATTAGCCGCTTGGGCTAGTTGATTGATTATCTAGCAATAGTTCGGTGTTATGAGAACCAGGGGTATCTGTAAGTTGCGCTCTCAAACACTTCACACTCATAAAAAAACCTTGTTTTGAGTAAACTTGAAGACAGGTGGAAGTCAGCCACTTTTATTGGCCGGATGACATCATTATGCATATTTGCAACCATGATGGCCCCAACAGTGCATCCGTGTATTGGCATCACCTTAGATGCAGATTGAAAGTTACATCCTGTTGTTTGGCCACAATTCATACTGGGTGGGATTGCGAAGATACTGATGGACTGAGAGAAATAGGCCGTGGAGCAACGATTGAGATCCAATATTGAATGGCACTTCACTGGGGCACACATTACCGGAACTCTCCCTTCATCTCCTTTTTTACCAATTGGAATCACACAAGGAATTGGGTAAGCATAAACCCTTGGTGCTCGGGAAATTCTGGAAATTGATATATCTTGTCTCAATGATGTCTTGATTTTCAAGCTGAGCACACTTGTGCAAAGGCTGAATGCCCGCATCCCTAAGGGTGCAGATATCTATTTAAAGGATGGGCATATCGCTTCCACACTATTCCCACTGGGGCTATTGTAGACAATATCCGGAAGTGAATGTTGTTTGTCAAGTCAATATTCCTGGAAGAAATTTGACAAATTACCTAATTGAACGTAAGTCAAAATGGCTCCACTCACAGTTCTGATCACGTATTAGCTCGTTGAACTACACTAGTGCACCTAAAACGAGCAGGATGAGTCAAGTAAACAATCCATTCAAGCGACTCCAGGGCTCATCCTTGAGCCTGGTAACCGATCAGCGCAGGCTGCATGAATTAAAGCTGTATAGGAGGAAGCTTGCGAATTGAAGTTCAATCCAGCAATTTGAGAAAAACACAAGACACACCTTCAGCCCTAGTCATATATTATTTTTTTTAAAAAAAAAGGAGCAAATTTGCTAGTTCACTTCTCATCATATCCCATAAAAAGATCGGAGTTCGTACTTATTGCCTTGTTCGATTCGGCTTGGTGTGTATGTTCTGCATTAGATAAACTCCAGCGTCTCAGGCAGCTGGTTTCAATAAGAATGCCTGGGCCCCATTACTCGGGAGCTTGAGCGCTTCAATGATCATCGCTAGTTTGGGAAGATGTCACAAGTGAACACTAGCAGCTTTCATGAATGTTCCCTCCATCCATCTATTGCACGAGCTGTTTTTGAATCTTTCATGTTAGGCAGAGTGTGTCACGGAAAGATCCTGTTATTTAAAGTGTTCTTCTGATCTCGGATTCCTGGTTGGGGTAACCAGTCACTTTGTATGTCTGGCTCCCCTCTTATCACAATGCACTGAAGATAAGAGCCAGCACTTCTCATTTGCTTGTGCTCGTTGAGCAATAGCATTCAATCGTAAGGGAACTCGAGGACCTTTAGGCAACAGCAAGATAAGCTTGCAACGTTTAAGTCACAATGACACCAACATGCAGATGGCTGCGTAGGGTTCATACCGGAGGACTGGAGTGTGACTTTGCATAACCAAACATTGGGTGGAGCTTTCGTACGTAATTTAGGGCGATGGCTTTGGAGCTTGAAGACATCTAGATTGAGGGCGAAAGTTGTTCGCGGACAATGGAATCGGGAAGCATGGGCAGATGGCCTAGATGCCTCAGAATGGCAGAGTATCTAAAGATGTGGTCATGCACTGAGGTTTCTCTTGTCGAGGAGAGACATATATAGTCTGGGCATCAAGGAGCAGTCATAGAAGAGGCGTCAACTGACTGGGTATCCTTTCAGCGTAGCTCACTAGCCAGACAGCTATTTCTTGCTCTCTCGTTCACCATATTTATCCCTGAAGTGGGAGGTTATGAGATACCCAGCAAGCTCTACCTCGTAGACTTTTCGGAGAGCCCAATCAAGTATCGGGACATTGGTGTGTTTGCACCGAACCAGAGTTTAGTATTTGGTGACGCTTGTCATATTGTTCGGTTCGGAGACAAGAAGCCATTCATAAGGAAATCCCTGAAGAGTAAGTCTCCCTTCTTCCAAAGTTTTGGAATTGGGCTCCTGCAAGGGACTCGGCACTATGAAGGGCTCGAGATCACCACTTTCGGGAAAGTTTCACCGTCATAGTGATCAATACTGTGGCATTTAAGCGTGTCCCGGTTCATTTTACACCTGCAAGACAGAGAACTTCTTCTACCCCGACGCCGAATTTGGGCCTTGAACAGCAAATTCCTGCAAAACGTTTATTTCATACTCCCTTACGTCCCCCAGGACGCCATCGAAGCTGTTTTCCCCGCTGACAAGCTACAGCTCATGATCATTGCGCACCACCTCCCTCCGAAACCAGATCCTCCCCTATTTCTCGAATTATCTCAGTAACTCTGACGTCTTGGCCAATGCGATCCGTATCAAAAATTCTGACTCCCTGCCAAAGACCTCGACTTCTGGCGCATCTATTATCACCATTCCAAATTCATTTCGAGAACTCCAAGAAGCTTCGGAAAGGTAACAAAAGAAGAGATCTGGTTGCGCGAGACACAGCCAGAAAACTTCGGTCGAGACTCACTCTCCCTCACCAGATTCATCTGCGACCTAGTCCTGCCCTACCAGGGTCGACACTTCATTGACGGGAGTCCTTCATCTCACCCTTCATCAGCGTCTTTATCGATTCCGTCAATGCCGCCAATGGGAAAACTATCATTTAGACGGGCAGCAGAAAAACTCGCGAGCGCGGAGAGGCCAGACAAAGCGGATAGAGGAGCTGGAGGATCCTCGAAAATAAGGGGATGACTCCGGATAAAGATTAATCCGCGAAAGACGACGGAGTCGGGCGCCGTGTTGGATAAGCTGGAGGATGTCAATGATAGATGTTAGGTATGTTTTTTTTTTTTTTTTAGAAAAGGTCATTGGGGAAGAAGATAAAGCAGATACTCCAAGAAGTTGAGTGAGTAGGGGTCGAGGAGCTCGAGGAGCTTGACAAAATAGTAAAGAGGGAATGACTGCGTAGGGGACGACGATTAGAAGATCGAGATGAAAAGGGGACAGACGAAGAGTGTAGAGGAAGAAAACATCATCAGCAATGGGGAGATGGGGAGAGGAGGGAGTGAGAGAAAGGACTGCTAAGACTTGGAGGTACGTTTGTCGTGGCGGATCATTCCTGTCATTTTTCAGCATGTACTGTTCTCATGCTATCATCATTCATACTCTCATTTATGAACCGAATGAACAGAACCCCATCCCAATCCATTACCTGTTCCCATCCCACAACAACACTTCATCATCCAGGACCAATTTTTCACGCCCCGCCCCTCTAATGCGCAGCGCCGACGAGACTCTTCCCCCTCCTGAGCCCTCTCCTTCCTCCCAGCCCTCGTCCAGCCCCCATCTGACTGAATTCTGCGCCGCCGAACTCCGCCGCCAGCGGATCAACAAACGCGCTCGTCGCAGCCCCCGCGCCATCGGGCACCGTACTCTTGAGACCTTCACCATCTCTAAAGATCGCCTTATACAACTCTGCCACTGCCCCTGTCATACTCGCGATCGCCCTCGCCCGGTCCGCATCCGCACGAGACTCGATCTCGACCGTGCCAGCGTGCTCATCGATGCGGCCTTGCAGACGGCCATCAACGATGAGGTAACCCACGATATCTTGGGCCTCGGACTCCGAGATCTGCAAGCGTTGGGCGATCCAGGAGAGGCGCATGCGCGTGTAGGGCGCGATGAGTTTGAGGACGGCTTTGGTGCGCATGTTACGGGTGACTTCGTCGATGTTTTCTGCGATGAAGGGGTCTGACAAGAGGTCGGTGTTAGAGGAGAGCACAGACTGGTACTTGTGGATATCGTCGCGCTGGTAGGCGTCGACGAGGTCGGTCATTGCGGCGATGCGGGGATCGTTTTTGTAGGGCTTGGTTTCTTGCGAGTCGAAGGGGTTGATGTCGGATTTCATGAGCATCGTGGCGAGCAGGAGGTATTTGAGGACCTGGATGCGGCGGATGTCGCCCGCTTCGTCGTAGTTGCGGAAGGCCTCGAAGAAGTCGCTTTGTGCCTGGTCCCAGTTCTCCTCGCTCATGTGCATCTTGCCGCCGCACTCGCGGATCACTCCCTGGATCTTAGGGTGCGGCACAGCCGAGCGCACCTTAAGCGCTTTCTGGTAGAGTGCCTTGAGCTGGTTGTTGTTGCGTGTCTCGGAGTACATCTGGATCTCGAGCGCGTAGATTTCCAGCAGGTAAGTGCCCTTGCTTGGATCGTCCGAGCCGTCTTCTTTCTGGCATGTACGGTGCAGCTCGCGCAACTTGCGGGAGACGGCGTGGTACTCCTTGCGGTCGAGCAGCAGTTTCGCAAGTTTTATGTTCGTCTTAAGCCAGAGGCGCTCATTATTCGTCGTCTGAAAGCACTGCAGCGTTAAAGAGTAGAACTTCTCGATGGACGCGACAGCATCGGGGTTGTCGGCCTGCTTCTCGACAAAGTTGAGCATGTTATCAATGGACTTTTCTGAGTAGTTACGCGTCACTGCCGACTTGACGTATGTGAGCAGCTCTTGGTAGTGTTTTATGGCCTGGAGGGTTAGCGATGGTTGCCAAGAAGGCCGCTGGCAGACCTTACATCTGCATATCGCCCGAGGGTAAACTCTAGTTTGATGGCCTGTTTGAGCGCCTTGAAGCCCCATTCTCCTTTCTCTGGCTCAAGCGGTGGTATCTCTATAAACTCAGCAATGGCGGCCTCGGGGTCGCTCGTTTTGGTCTGTTTCGCGTTATAGTACTTGTTTTCGATGTCAATATCGCCATTCTCCTCCTCATCCTCGTCCTCATATTCAAAGTCATACTCCTCATCAGAGGCCTGCATAAAATCGTCGTCCGACATTTTGGCGATGTGGGATTTTTAGTTGTCGTTTGGTGTCTCGAAAACCAGGCGAGAACTTGAGAAGGAGGGGCGGTGTTGTGGAAGCTGTCGTGAAGTTGGAGGAGCTCCAGGCAGCTCGATAAGGCTGTTGGTGAGAGAGAGCTGATGTGGGGTTAGATCTTATCGATAGTGCAGGCAGGGAAACTTTGACTTCGATAAGCGCATAGTCCACGCTTGGCATCGAGCTATGGAGGCGAGGCTAGGAAAGTCAGACGTCAAGGTTCATCTCCACCCGACTCATCGCAACAGATTCATCATCGCAATCAACGAACAGATCCCAGCCGTCGGCACCTTGCACAGGTTTTGACCACGCTCACTCTCCTTACAGCGCAGTCGACTCAATCGATTTTTATCCGACGAAGCCTCGCGCTTCGCCTGTTTAACTTCACCACCTTCGACCCTTCAGACCTGCTCGCGCAGCGCCAACCGCCACCATGGGTTCCGGCGACCTGAACATGAAAAAAAGCTGGCATCCCCAGCGATCGGGGAATGTTGCAGCCACCCAACGCGCCGAAGCCGAGGCGCTCGCCGAGCGCAAGAAGCTCCAGCAACGCCTGCAAGAAATCGAGGAAGAGCGCCGCCGCGAAGAAATTCAAAAGGCCCTTGAAGCAGCCGGCGGCAAACCGCGGCCGCAGCGTGTTGAGTGGATGTATCAGGGCCCATCAGACCACCCGGGTGGTGATGCGACAGAGAATGAAGCTTATTTGTTGGGGAAAAGGAGGATTGATAAGCTGTTACAGGATAACGAGCTGAAGCAGTTGAGCAAGCAGGGCGCGCAGGATGGGGCAAGCAATGTGCCTGCGTCTGGGGCGGGGGCTACTAATGCGAGGGATCTGGCGGCGAAGTTGAGGGAAGATCCATTGCTCGCGATTAAGAGGAAGGAGCAGGAGGCGTATCAAGCGATGATGAATGATCCGATTAAGAGGAGGCAGCTGTTAAAGAGTATGGGGATTGATGATGCGAAGCTGAAGGAGGAGAAGAGGAGCAGTAGACATCATCGTGAGGGACGGCATAGGTCGCATCGACATGAGGGTGATCGCGATGGGGAGAGGCATTCACGGCGGCGGAGGTCCCGCGAGAGGTCGCGCTCGCGCAGTCCAAGACGGTATTATGATTCAGAGGACGACCGGCGCAGGAGCAGGCGCGACTCGCGCGAGCGCAGACGCGACAGGTCAGAGTCGTCCGAGTCCCGCGACAGACGGGACCGGCGCGACCGTGACAGGAAGGACGGTAGATCAGATAGATACGGCGGTGACCGGCGGGACCGGTCCATCTCAAGGTCACCTCCTAGGCGCAGGGACTATTCCCCTGACCATGACCGTGACCGGAGGAGACGCGGCTCTCCTAGACGTGACTCCCCCACTCGAGACACCCGCAGAAGAGACGATCACTCCCCCGACGACCGCGACCGTGATCGTCGCAGACGGAACTCACCCTCTCCTCGACACCCCGACTCAGATACCTACCGCAACGGCAATCATCGCTCGCGCCGCGACCGGTCCCGCGACTGCTGCCCACCTCCTCAATCTAAATCACCTGACGAAGAAGAGCGCGCTCGCAAGCTTGCTGCCATGCAGGTTGCCGCCAGCGATCTGGATGCAGACCGGCAGCGGCGGCTGGCCATGATTGAGGAGCAGGAGCGGGCGGAGAGGGAGAAGGAGGAGAAACTACGAGAACAGAGCAGAAAGTATGGCGGGGATTTAGGTTTTATGAGCCGGCTGCATAGTCGGGCGGCGGAGTTGAAGGTTGCTGACCGGGTTGGGAAGAGGTAGAGCTGGGATTCTAAGAGTATGGCTAAACTATGGGGGACTGTGTTTTCATGTCATGGACATCAGGGTTCTGCACTTCATTTCAGCTTTTAGTGTTGTTGATGGTTAGTTACGTATAAGGGCCTTATACATAATCGATAAGGGCTTGACAGGATATTCAGAAGTATCAGGCTATGGCAGATATAATGGTTATGATATTTTCTGTTACCAGCGGCTGTGTTTGTGAGTCTCATACTTACGAGTGCGTTCTCAGCTGTGCAGCTCATGAGCATCAACTTTTTGTGATGACTGTTGTTGGAGCTGAAGCTCACAGCAGATCAGCCCAATCGGCATCAACCTTGCCCTTGATCACAGCTCACTTTGTGCGTACAAGCACAAGCTCGTATCACAGGGGTCACAATCGTGTAAGTCGTCGATTGGCTGGCGCCGCGCTCACGCTTGATGCTTATTCACGCCAACATCATCAATTGTGTTCTGCTCTGCAGAGGTGATGTTTTCCTGCAATATCAAAGCAAACTTTCAATAATCCTCTCACCTTTGCAGCTCTGAATCCCCTCACCCGAACGGTCACCGCAAACATGACCACCAGCAACAGAAAAGTGGGTTGACGGGAATGCGTGTGAATGCACTCTGCACAAAATCATTGACTTCAGATCCACCGAAAGGCCGATGGACCCACATTCCCTACTGGATCCCGGTCGCCAGCGCCTGCAGCCAATTGGGCAATGCGACCTTCCATGATCTTGGCATGCTCCACTAAACTGCTGTGGGAGACAGGGGAAATCCCCAAAAGGGCCCAAGCCAATCTGAGCAGTGAAGTACAGTGCTAGCCAGGGGCGCAAGTGAGGCGTCGTTAGTGGCGCACCCAGCTGGCTGTTGGTGTGCCTGTGCGGTGCACCCAGGGCTGTCATCAACTTTCATCTCCGGCTTTCCAGGCTGCCTTGGCTCCAGGCTGCAAGGTCAGGTCAGGCTGGCTGGCAAGTTTTTTTGTTTTGTCTTTTTTATTTTATTTTTTTTTATTTTTGAGAATGTCGGTCTTTCCCGGATAAACTTCTCTGAACGTTATTTTCTGGGAACTTCCCCCCCCCTCCCCCCTTTAACATTCATCTCTTATTTGCTGTCAGGATCTTTTCATTCTGCTGTCAGCTTGACACTGTGGTGGACACGGCTTGCGCGGCGGCTACGCTACTGGACGGCCACGGCTAACACGTTCCTCTCTCCCTTGATCCTTTCCCTTCCCAGCAAGCAGATCACGCTTACCATTGCTCGCTGCCCTTAATCCATCACCTATCCATCCATCTTCATCCATCTTGTTTTGCTTACTGCCATGCTGGCAGGTGCTTGATTTAATCACCTCCACTCTTTCAAAACTCTCTCCAGCTCCTTCCAGCTCAGCTTTAGCTTGGCGTCGCTGTGTCAGCTCTACCCTGACCCCCCTGATCATCTCCCGCACCGTCCTCCCGTCCCGTCACCAGTCAGTCAGGAACGTGATTGCTGAGGTTGCGCATTCCGGCCGTGCCGTTGCTGTCCTTCGAAGAGATTTCGAGTCGCAAACAAGTCGTACTACCCGCGCCGTGATCTGTCTATCTCCCGCTGCTTGCTCGCCTCTTCTGTCGGCTGTCATTGTAGCCCCGTCCCCGTCTCAGTCTTGCCATTGTCACGGCTGTTAACTGCTGCGCCTCTGCTGCTGCGGCTAATATCCCAATCAGTCGACCCATCCGTTGCTACCCCGGACATCGACTACGTTGCCTACTATACGTACAGCACGCACGCACGCACGCGAATATCTTCCCGCTTCAAATTTCAGAAAAGAGGACAGACACACACGTTCCCCTTAACATCGCTGTCGCATCACATCAATCGTATCATATTGCATCACGAACACGCGTGCTCTAGATACCCATAAGCCACATTGTGCATCCACCCCCCTGAGCAAGCCTGCACCAATCCGCGATTGTCTCACCGAGCTGAAGGCATTCCATCACACTTCGCAAACCCCATTGCGCTCGAATTATAACCTTAAGATACCAAAAAAAAAACAATTAAGCAAAATGCCGTGTGGTCTCGGGGGCACCAAGACTGTCCAGCGCAAGCTTGTCTTGCTGTGAGTCACCCTTTCTGCGCCCTCCAGCAGGGTGCAATGTTGGCAAATTCCATGATGCAACTGGGACAAAACATGCTGACCAAATACAGAGGCGACGGTGCCTGCGGCAAGACCTCGCTGCTGAACGTCTTTACCCGAGGGTGCGTGCACTGATCTATACTATTCCTGAACCCCGTCCATATGGTTGTCGTTGTCGCTGAACGCCTGGCCGCAGCTATTTCCCTACTGTCTACGAGCCGACTGTGTTTGAGAACTATGTGCATGGTGGGTTATCTGAACCATCAGGAGCAAATAAACAATGGCTGACTGGGGTAGATATCTTCGTCGACAATGTCCACATCGAGCTCTCCCTTTGGGATACTGCTGGTCAGGAGGAATTCGACCGGCTGCGGAGTCTTTCTTACGGTACTTTCCCCCCCCCCCTTCCTAACCCCCCCCCTTACCTCTAATAGACCGTCAGACTAACGGGTATCTAGACGACACCGACCTAATCATGCTCTGTTTCTCCGTCGATAGCAAAGACTCCCTTGAAAACGTCGAATCGAAATGGGTCTCCGAGATAGCCGACAACTGCCCGGGAGTCAAGCTCGTGCTTGTTGCCCTGAAATGCGACCTCCGCGAGCAGGAAGAGGAAGACACAAACGAGGATGGCACACCTCGCGAGAAAAAGCCCATGATTACCTACGAGCAGGGCCTCGAGGTTGCGCGCAGGATTCATGCGCTGAGGTACCTCGAGTGCTCGGCGATGAGGAATAGGGGAGTCAATGAGGCTTTTACGGAGGCGGCGAGAGTCGCATTGAGTGTCAAAAAGGAGAGTGATCAGGGGAAGTGCATCGTGATGTGAGTTGGAAGTTGGGGAAGGTTGCCTAGGAGTTACACCCCACGGGGTGTTGCTGGCTTTAGTTGCACGTTTCTTCTCGCTTCATCGTTACTTTACTGACTGTTACTCTTTCGGCGACATGATCGGTTGGGTTGGGCGGTTCGCTTTGTATATATTCCCACTGGCTCATGTTTTTGCCTGCTCTTGCCCTGGCTCGAACCCCAAGCTACTCAGATTCGGGTTGGCATTGAGGTAGGGCAGCGGTAAAGAGGCAGAGCTGGCACGAAAGCCAGATGCTTGTCTGCTTTTTTTTCTTTTTTTTTTTGGTTGGGGAAGGGGGTGTTGCGTACGGCGTGGCGCTGCGTCGTTGTGTCTCTTGCTGTGCGATTTTCTTCTTGTTTCCCTGTTTCAAGTTATAGGATGGTTTTAATTAGACGAGGTTGTGCTGTGTCAATTGGGGCGTTGGAGAGTTTGTTGGTGTTGGTCGAGCGTGACAGGAAAAGTGAAAACAAATAAAGAGAGTTTTGCTTGCTTGGTTTTTCTGTGCCTTCTGTGTCGTGCAAATCTTGAGTCTGCTTATCATGATGATACATACCTACATACCATCAACACCATCCACAATCCAATCACAACAACCTTTCATCAAAGCGGATGAAGCATCTCCGATCTTCTTCCCCTCGATGCACCAAGGATTCCCGCGGAGCGAGGATTCGAAAAGATCCATACCCCAGACCCAGCTGTGGGGCGCCGATAAGCCCCCGATAAGATCCCGTGAAATGGCGTCAGCGCGCGCTAGCGCAGATTTTTGGGGGCCTTTGCAGGGGTTGGGGGTAACAGGAGGGATTGTGTTGGATAAAAGAAAACAGAAACAACCGAAGTGAAGCGTGAGAACATCCCACAATGGCGAGGGAGGAGAGTGACGGTATAGTTCCGATCCGGGGACGGAGATGGAGAGATGGCAAATATATGGGGTCGTGAGTTGAATGTGTCATGTCAGTGCTGGGAGTTAAATATCCAAGGGGGGCCGCTTGACTTTCATCATGTCCTTTGACTTCAACCTTCGTCTTAACTCTGACCGACTTGATCTTGTCCTTTTGACCCTTGACACAACCTTGACAACTTTGATCAACTCTCTACCTGGGCTCTCTCTCTCCTCTTACTTCGTCTCTTAATCTTAGAGTTACTTGACTCAGCTCCCTCCTACGACTTTACCTCCCCAATTCTTCTGGACAACAACCTTGAAGACGCCCCACAGCCTTCAAAACAAACACGGGCCAATCAGTTCTCACAACCATCACTATGCCCCAATTAGACCCCCAATCATCTCAACCCCCCGATCCCTCAACCTCAGATTCAATGGCCAAATCCTACCAACCATCCCTCCTAACAGCCCTCCACTGCCATCAACACATTCATCTCATAATAGGCCTCTCCCCCATCGCCTTCTCTCGTGCGCAATCGTCTCTCCTTGCCAACGCCATCCCCATCCTCATCGCTCCCCTCCCCGATGGCACACAATCCGTCGAAGATGCAGGGGTCCATCACAACCTTGTTACCCTCATAAATGAGGGGAGAGTGAAGCATCTCAACCGGGCGTTTAACCCAGAGAAGGACCCTTTCGAGCTAGGGAGGGACGAGGTCGGGAAGGTAGTGGACGCAGTCTTTGTCGTCAGTACCCCCGAGGGTACCTTAGCACCGGGGTGGACTAGGGAAAGGGTGGCCGAGTTGTGTCGGAGGAATCGCATACCCATTAATGTCCTCGACTCACCTCAGCTAAGCACATTCTCCCTGCTCTCAGTGCATAACGACGGCCCATTGCAAATTGGTGTCACAACCAACGGGATGGGGTGTAAACTCGCCTCGCGCATACGACGTGAGCTCGCCTCGTCGTTGCCCAAGGGGTTGGGGGAGGCATGCGAAAGGTTGGGCAGAGTTAGGAGGAGAATTATCGAGGAGGGTGAGGTTCCAGAGCAGGGTGAGGGTGAGGGGGATGATAGCCTTGAGCAGGGGAGGGGATTGAATCGGTTGGTGCTGGAGGGGAGCGTGGAGGAGAGAAAGGGTCGAAGGATGAGATTTTTGGCGCAAGTATGTGAGTACTGGCCGTTGAAGAAGTTGGCGGGGGTTACGGAGGATGAGGTGAGAGCGGTTTGGGAGGGGTATTTGAGGGGCGAGGGGCAGCAGAATGGCACACACAAAGGACAACAGAATGAAGCGATTTTGCGAGAACAACAAATTCGTGCTCAGGTCGACCAAAATGGCTCCCATACTTCTCAAGCACAAGGGCTCGGCCTGATAATCCTAGCCGGCTCTGGTCCCGGACACCCCTCTCTCCTCAGCCGCGCAACCCACACCGCGATCCTCACCGCTGACATCATCCTCGCCGATAAACTCGTCCCTTCTGGCGTGCTCGATCTCATCCCGCGCCGTACGCCCGTGCAAATAGCCCGCAAGTTTCCCGGCAACGCCGACGCAGCACAAGAAGAGTTTTTGACTCTGGCACTCTCCCATCTGCGACAGGGAAAGACTGTGCTGAGGTTGAAACAAGGCGATCCGTTTATTTATGGGCGAGGAGGAGAAGAAGTGGCATTCTTCAGGGAGCACGGCGTGCCAGAAGAGAAGATTGTCGTCCTGCCGGGGGTTACGTCCGCTTTGAGCGCGCCGCTCTTTGCCGGGATCCCGGCTACGCAACGGGATGTGGCTGATCAGGTACTTATTTGCACGGGGACGGGGAAGAAGGGGAAGCCGCCGGCTCCGCCGGAGTATGTCCCCTCCCGCACGGTGGTATTCTTGATGGCGCTGCACCGAATCGAAGGTCTCGTCGCGGAACTGACCTCCCCCACTGCCGAAGAACTTGAGAACAGCAAAGGAGGGAACCGGGCTTTCTGGCCAATCAATACCCCTTGCGCGGTGATCGAGCGAGCGAGTTGTCCCGATCAGAGGGTGATCAGGACAACGTTGAAGTGGGTAGTGCAGGCGATTGAGGTGGAGGGGAGCAGGCCTCCAGGGTTGCTGGTTGTTGGGCGAGCGTGTGAAGCGTTATGGACGAAGGGGGGAAAGGAGAGGTCATGGGTTGTGGAGGAGGGGTTTAGGGGGTTGGAGTGGGAGGGGGTTGAGAGGGCGCTGGAAGGGTTGGGTGAGTGATTGTTCGTATGGGCTTTGGGAACCGGAGACTAGGCGAGGGATGCGTTTTGGCGAATTTATAAAAGGGGATTAGGTTGGTTGCTGGTAAAAAGCTGCTCATCTGGCATCCTTGCTATATGTTATGAGACTGGTGACTACCTCTGTTTATCGGTGCTCACGGGACCAAAAATGGGAGGGGATATGGACATGTAGCATTTCATCCAAGATTTCATTGATCTAACACGGTTCATTCACTCTGCTACCCCGGAGAAAATGTCTTGACACACGCGTCTATTGGTATCAACTCTTATCTCTAGCCAGATTCCACCCTCTAGCCGTCCATAAACAACACCATGCCTAACCAGTCATCTCAGACGCATTGGAACATTGATTCGAAACCTAATTTTCCTCATACCACCGCTTGCTTCTGAACCCCCATGGTATTTATGCTGACCTTCTTCTCTCTCATCCTGTATCCTCGACTAAAACATCGGCTCTCTCACCTCTTCATTTCCCCCAAGAGCATCGGAAATCCTCTACTGCCATCCCCTAAAACCTTTCATGCTCCGCTCTCTCCCCCTCTCCCCACTTCAACCCCCCATTGCCATTCCCCTCCCCATTCTTCCCCTCCCCCCAACAAACAACGCATCCGCCTCCACATAAACATGCCCTGTCTCCGGATCCTCAATCAGCGCCTTCACAAAACACTTATAGTGTCCCTTGCCCCTCTCCTGTTCAGGCAACTCATCATCCTGTAACGGCCTCACCCGCACAACATAAAAATTATTCGCCAGCACCGGCCGGCGATAATTCAACTCCAGCTTAGCCGTCACCCCGCCATACCCTCCCCATTTCTTGAACGCCGCCCGTCCGCAAGACTCATCCAGTAATGTCGCCAGACACCCCCCGTGCACGACATACGGCCAGCCGGTGGTTCCCAACCCGAAATAAACCACACTCACCAATTCCCCCGTCGCCCGATTATACCACACCCTTTGATACCCGCCCACACCATAACTTCCCCTCAACGTTCCCGCCATGATATGCTGTTTCCTATGCTCCTCACTCAGCGACTCGTACGCATCCCAAGACTCAGCCCAAGCGGGGTCCTCATTTAGTTTCTGCACGACAGAGAGGGAGGCAGCGCGCCGGGCGATGCGTTCTTTATTCGAGATGTCGCGAGGGGGAATCGGGTTCGGCGGGCGGCGCGGGGATGACGATGTTTAGCGCGGCCCAGCCAACGGCTGCACCTAGGGTGGTGAAGAAAGCGGCGAAGAGGAGGCGAGGAAGGAGACGGCGTTTCTTTTTGGGTTTGGGTTCGGCGGCTGGGTCTAGTTGAGGGGGGGCAGTTGGGGGGACGGGTGAGGAATCGGTGAAGTAGGTTTGTACGGGGGCTTGGGGAGAGGGTGTGGTGTCGGAGAAGTAGGTTTTTACTGGGGGTTCGGTTGTCGACTCAGAGGTGAAATATGTCTTGGGTTTGGACTCTTCGGTGAAGTAGGGCTTTGGCTGGGAGCCGTCGTCGAAGTAAGTCTTTGGGGGTTGTTGGCGTCTTGGGGCCGTTGTCGCGAGCAATCTCCGCGCTGGGAGAGACTCCCGCAAAATGGAGCTCTGCAGTGCTGTCGCCTGGCGCTGGGCCAAGGCCGTGAAATGACGATGCGATATCCTGGTGATCATGCTGGCGGTGTTGGTGATTCGCGTTTGGGGCTTTCAGTGTAAGATTGAGATCAGGGTCTCTCTGTCCGAGACGGCTCGACGACCCTGAATTGTGGTGAACGCTGATTGGCCAATCTCGGGGCCCCTGTGTGGAGAAACCTCGGCTAAGTCGGGACCGAGAGTGGGGCGTATTGTGGGGACGGGGGAGAGGAGACCGAGTGTGTTAACGCAGCATTGAAGTCGAACTCAAGGCTGACAATGGCATTCTCAATTACAGCATTGAATTCGTTTGGATGTCCCATCGAGCTCAATTATGTGATACAGATCTATGCATCCACCAGCCCAGTCCAGTCGGGCTTGGGCTTATCCTTCTGCCTAGGCGTTGAATTTATCTTTCCATTCCCTTCCCCTCTTCTTCGTCACTCCCCTTCCAAAGTCTTGTAACCCCTTCCTTCTGGGTCTGCCTGCTCTCCTCACCGATCAACACCCATTGACCCTCGGCGCATCCATCCCGCTTTCGTCAACAAGCACCCAATCCCTCACACCCCCCTTCCAATCCGATATCCTCCCGTCCCTGATCGTCACCACCACCACCCTCGCCTCCTCCTCTCCTCCGCTCGCAAACCGACTACTTCCATCGCCCTCATCGAACGTGTTATTCGCCAAATGCACGTCCCTGTAATACCGCTCTTCCTCTGACCCATGTGGCGCGACACGGGCCGTGCCGTTGATGGTTGCGCTAATGGAGGAGATGGAGGAAGCGTTGAGGTTGAAGAGGAGGGCAGCGAGGGAGGAAGGGGGCTGTTGGATGGGGAGGCCGCGGGTAGGGGAGGTGTTGCCTGAAGACAAGCGACGGGCTTGGGAGGCGGGGGTTGGGCGGTGGGAGACCCCTAGTCATATGGTCAGTTTGGGGGACACTAACTCTCAGTCCAATCTCGAGGGAGAATCTAACAATCATGCACCAACAGCGAGACATTTGGGTTCTCGGACAGATTGAGAATCTTCTTGCTCGCGGGGTTGGTTGTCATAACGATGACGGGGCCGCGCGAGTAGGGCGAGGAGGGGAGGTAGGTGTAGCTCATGAGCGAGACGTGCGGCACGTTGTCGCGGCAGGTTGCCAGGTGCAGGAAGCGCGCGTTCTCCAAGCATTGGACGACCTCGCTGGGGAGGGTTGCCGTGACACGCATGTTTGTGTCGCCGGCTGAGGCTTCGTGCGCGAGGGGTATTTGTTGGTCCATTGTACTGGCTGGGATGTGGTGGTCGAAGGTGAGGCTGAGGATGGTTGCCAATCGCGATCGATCGAGATCACAATGGGAGAGATGGATCATGGATGGTGGGGCGGCGACGTTGCGGCCTTGGCCCCGCTCTGTAAGTTACTGTATCAAAGGCGTAAGATGGGGAATGTTACTAACATTGCCCCGCTCCCCGCTTCGGCGGGGACCTTGAGGAGGACTTCACCACCACCGACCCATATTTTTAAAGGACGGGTCACGGACATGGACACCATTTGGCGTTTCACAAGCAAAAGGATACAGACAGCAGATAAGGAAGCCATGAGGTTATATGAGTGGGTCTGGGATGTCTCAAGCTGTTGTCTAACGACCTTCGCAAAGGATAGTCAACCACAATGGCCTGATAACCATAAGACACTCTCGAGCCGCGCAAAGGATTCCTGAACGAGAAAAGAAAACGATATGATCAGCTCACCAAAATCTCTTTGATAACTGTCTAACGTTCAAAGATAAAACGAAGATGAACCAGGAAAACAACAACCATCGCCTTTACCCATCCCGGCAATTGGGGCCCGAACCACGGGGATGGGCGGAGAGCCGCCTCCTACTCGGGTCGAATCTGTGGCCGTAGGGATTCTGTCACCATCCTCACACGTAGAAGACGTCACCTATCACTTGGCCATTTAATGAGAGGAGGTGTTTGTTGGGAAGTTACATGCTGAAAGTAATAGATATAGTTTTGGAAGAAAGGCCATTGGTTTGGGAAGGTTTGGCGGTTAGGTGCGGGTGCAACCCGTACAGTCCTCTGACAAAATGGGATGGCAGCCCGCAGACAGCTTGGGTCACGTTGCCCTTCTTCGGCTCTCCGTATATCAGCCTCCTTGAGATTCGCCGCGGCGACACGACAGGTTTCCTACGTCTTTACCACCCGTTCTCGATAACTGTAATGCCCCTTTCCTTCACAGATTCCCAGTACCATACTTGAGTGCCAGTATTCTGCTCCCGCAACCACGGATCAGATCTACGATTCCAACATCAAGAAGGAAAACACTATCCTTACCAAGCTCGGCGACGTTCTGCACCAGCAAGAGCTGCTTTGTTGCGATCTCGACGTTGCGGCCGAGGAGACGGAGTCCCTCGTCGATGGCGAACTTACAAATTGACCTTTTCGCTGCGCTCTCTGACGTGCTTAGCCGTTGTTGAGTTGTTCCCTAGGGGCTTGACATTTGGAAGAAGAAGATGAAGCTTCGAAAATCTGTCGAAGTACGGGGAAAGGTCACATCGCGGGGTTCTGGCGAACCATATTGTTGAGGCTAAGGAAGGTTAGGAGACGAGCTATCCACAGCACTGTCCTGTTCAGGTTCTCATATCCATGGGCGGATCCTCTTAGGTACTACACGTTTTCCGTGAGTCCAAGCTTGACCGGGTTGGCAATTCCTTCAACAGGCAACTTGGTAGAAAATATAGCACTCAAAATTTGATCCAGATTGATCAAGGCCATCTAGCACCGGCAAGTTGGATTGTTAAGTGAACAGCCAGCGCAATACGGCAAGCAATGATCTTTGCTCAAAACAGAGTTGCATCGAACGATTTAGGCACTTCGAAGGCGCCGCTTATGATTGGTCAATGGCAAGATGTATCATGGCATTATTAGCTGGTCCGATCACGCTGCAAGAAAGTCAGTTCTACCACCTCGCCTCATTCAAGCCATGTCCTCCATCATTCCCTCGGCGCCATGCACTGCTTGCAATCACCCCCGACCTCCGAATTCCGGAGGCATGTTCACCTCGTTCCGCTCCTCGCTGGCTGCCATGCGGTCCCAGGCTCAGCAGGCTGGATGCGTAACTTGCTGGATCTTGTGTGAGGGGATACGCCACTACCTCGAAGACAAACAGGGTAGAGAGGACTCGGCATACGGCGATGTGGATACCGTGCAGATCAACTTGAATGTGGCGAGCACGTCTGCCAGGAGCGTGGAAGTTGTCTTATTTTTTGAGACACCAGTTACGTTGAGTTTCTTTTGTGAGGAGCGTAAGCGAAGCATCATGATTCAAGAGCTTCGGGGAATCGTGAGGCTCACAAAACTGACATATATATCCAGAAACCCCATGGCTCGCGCAGCACATGCCAGACATCCCTTTGGGAAACGCAATTCCTCACTCAACCTCCTCTTCTGAAAGCCTCACCTGGGCAGCAGACCGAATCCAGCACTGCATTGACTCTCACGAGCCCTGCAGGCATCAGTCTCCCGACTGCCCTCTCCCAACTAGACTACTAGACCTCACCGCACCAGTCCCAAGCGGTATCCGCCTAATCGAGTCATCATCCCTGCCATCCCAATCCCCATACGCCTGTCTTTCCCATTGCTGGGGCAAATCCCCCTTCCTGCGAACCCTGCGCCAGAACCTTCCTTCTCTCAAGCAGGAGATTGACTGGGATTCTCTACCTAAGACCTTCCAAGACGCAATTAGCTTCACACGCAGACTAGGGATTTCGTACCTGTGGATCGACAGCCTGTGTATCGTGCAAGATGATGAAGATGATTGGCGGAAGGAGGCAGCGAAGATGGCCGGGATTTATCGCGGAGCGAGGGTAGTCATCTCGGCGGCGAGAGGAACAGACGCGGGGAAGGGGATGTTTAGCTCTTTGGAGGGGGATTGGACCAAAATCTGCACAGTCAGGTTAACTCCACCAACGGGGAGAGGGGATGGAGGAGAGAAGAAGAGGGAAGAGAGGATCTACGTCCGCCGTGCAATAGCCCACATCACCCGGCCGAGGTTGCGATACATGGCTGATATCACGTCTACGTGGTATCCGCTTTTCACCAGGGGATGGGTCTCGCAGGAGCGGCTGCTTGCCCCGCGAATCGTGCATTTCGGATGGCAAGAGCTGACGCTTGAGTGCCGTGCTCACACGCGTTGTCAATGCACGCCTGTTTCTGCAGCCGATTACTCTGATGTGAATAGCACGACGGCAAAGTTTCACGAGAGGCATACCCTGCCGAAACGGTACTACTTCCCCTCGCCACAGTCGAACCCAACCCTTGGGTCAACTGCCGGCGGCTCAACCATTGATAGCATTCGGGCTCTACGAACACGCTGGCGCCACCTTGTTGAAGACTACACTCGCCTCCACCTAACTTTCCCGAAGGATGTGTTCCCTGCCATATCGGGGGTTGCTCGCGCGATGATGTTGTCCCCTTCTCTTTCTCCCCCAGCTTCTCGCTCGTCGCATAAAAGTGGGTCCAACTCCCCGATAGATATGGAGACCATGTCGGAGTTGAAGTTACACACGGAAGCGGGGTGGATCTACGCTGCGGGGTTGTGGTGGGGTCCTGTTATGACATCATCCGATTCTGCCGAGACGGATCAGAGTGGGGTGACAGCCGGGGATGTGGGCCCACGTCTCAGACGTGTAACTACTATCACGATCGGTTCTCCACAAGGCGCAAACGATGCTGCAGCAGTTCAATATGGAGAAGAGGAATTTGTTCAAGACATGCTATGGCATATCGAACTCCCCCCACAGCCAGGAGGCTTCAATCCCAATTCCTTGCCCTGGGTCTGGCGTTGTCGTCCTTCACATTGGCGAGCCCCGTCGTGGTCGTGGGCAGGTGTCATTGCGCCAGTGGAGTTTGTCCATTCCCCTAACGGTATTAGACTCCTTTGTTCAGTGCTGTCGGTTCATTGCACCCCAATAGGACCCGACCCGTTGGGAGAGCTCGTTGACCGGGGGAGTTACCTCGTGGTGAAGGGCGTCATGATCCCGACTAAATTAAGGGTGAACTTGACTGTAAGGGATGCAGTTCAGCCGTGGAACGCGATCGATTTGGATGTGTTGATGGGGTATGTGAAGAATGTTTGGGCGGATGAGGACTGCAGGGATTGGGCAGCCGGTGGGCAAGATCAGATGGTATGGTGTTTGCCTTTGGGGCAGACCCTGCCACGGGGGGAGTTGATGTGCTTGGTACTGGTCGAGACGCCACGAGATGGGAGTATCGCTGCGAGCGAGAGACTTCCACAGGAGGAAGAAGAGTTGTATAAGAGGGTTGGGCTGGTGCAGGTTTTGGGCGGGCCACCGGGTCAGGGACTGGACGTTTGGATGGAGAGACTGCTGCAGAAGGGTGATGAAAGAGTCGTGAGGGTCGTGTAACGCAGAGATGGAACCCCTCAGCTAGTGCTCAAGTCATGCATCATTATTACTGTAGGTACTGAATGAGGTATCAACAATGCTCCAAGAGTACACTCCAACTAAGCCGCTCACCTCACCTCGTGATCCAACCACTGAAGCTGGTATGATTACAAAAAAAAAAAAAAGAAAAACGTAAAAAAATAGAACAAAAAAAATTGCACAGCGGGACTACCCTCCCCTCCTACCGGTCGAAAGAATAATCAAGTCAATCAAAGCCAATGCGCCACTCTGTCTAAATTCATCCGCCAACCATTGAGGGTATTCGGCACACTGCTTAACAAGCCATATCGTCTAGACAACCAACTTCCTCTTCAACCGAGGCAGCTAAGCCCTCTAAGTCCCCTCCTGCTCCTCCTTCTCCTCAAGTTTTACTTTCTCGACACCCTTAGCTACGCTTGCGACGCCATCAGGAGCACTCTTCATCCCAAGCGGCATGGCTGATGGCGCCAATAAACAAGGCTTCTCCTCTCCCTGGCCCTCTCCCTTTTCGCCCCCCTCAACCTCCTCTCCCTCCATAACAGTCTCACAGCTTGACACTCCAGCATTCGGCACAGCAGCAGCAGGACTAACGGGAACTTGCTGAGGTGAAGCCGGCGCCGCCACCGGCCCCAAACTTGACATGAAAAGCGGTGATTGAGGAAGACCTGGCCGCTGTGACGCCAGTGTATTCGGCGCCAACCCTCCAGCGCTCCCTGGCCTATAAGGCGGTGTTCCCGTCGCCCCCGCGAAGGCATTGAGTCCTGTGACGGGAGCGGCGCCCATAACAGGACTGGCTGCCCCACTCCCCTGCACGGCACCACCTACACCAGCAACCACATCGGAGAGGTTACTCCTGATGCTGAACCCCGACCCAACGCGCGCATGTCCAAATCCCATCTCGCTTGCAGGAGTCCTCTCCGACCTTGGACTTCCCTCACGTGAACTCCCCTGAGAACCCCCACCAGCCCCCCAGCCGCGACGGATCATCAAGATCTGCTGCATCCCCGGCAAGCTGGCATCATCATCCTGCAATAGAGCCAGTTGCGCCAGATTCGGGTTCGCGGCACCAGCACTACTCAGAGAGTTGCGACCGCCGGTTCCAGTATTCGGACCATCGCCGATGGCCGGAGGAAGGGTAAACGACATGACCGAATTGCGATTACTATACTCCGACCGTTCCGTGATAGGCGTCAAGTTCGGCTCGCGCGAAACAACCCTCCCCGAGTGCGTGCGCATAAGAGAGGTTGGGCCGAAATACCCCCCGTTAGCGTACTCGAAGAGGGGGTTTCCTGGGACAGTGTTGGGGTTGTTTGGGTCGGCAGAGTTCATGTTATTGAGATGATGCGTGTAGTAATACCCCGGCTGCGGAATCGGCGCAGAGTAGAAGCCGAATTCTTGGCCGTAAAAGCCTTCGTGGTCGTTGGCGAGGGCGGTGGCATTTGCCTCGGCAATGATGGCGTCATCGGCGGCGCCATAGTCATCGTCGCAGATGGCTGTGTAGCCGAAGTCGGCATCGTCTTCGTAGTCATCATATTGATTAGGTGGGGTAACGGTGCCGGCTGCGGGCTGCTGGGTGTTTGGTTGTTGGAGGTCGGAGGAGGGGGGCTCGGGAGAGGAGTCGCGGCGGAATTTGCCTGAGGCGGCGGCTTTTTGGGCGGCTTCGGCGAGGGCGGCCTGGTAGGCGAGGTCCTGGGTCGAGAGGCTGATCGGTCCTGGGGCCGAGGAGACGGGTGATTTAGGGGAGACGGAGCCGTCTTTGTTGTCTTGCTCGGAAGACGGGGGGTCTTGCTGTTGGGGAGCAACGCTCAAGGATGTGTGTGCCGTAGACTGGGCAACGCCGGACTGTGCTGAGGCATCGGTCGTGGTCATACTAGACTCACGTTTTGCTGCGAGCTGTTCACGCTGACGGGCATACATGGCCTCCTTGGCCTTCTGGAAGGCACCGGGGATGGGCCGCCCGTATTGATCGGTATCTTCGATGTCGAAGATGGACTCGTCAAAGTGCGTACCATCGTTGCTAAAATCTAGCTCGTCCGCCAGGTCCTGGTCGAAAACGTCATCAAACATTCCAAGGTCTTTCGGCTTGGGAGGAGGATCGGCTACAGGGGGTAGCAATTGTACTGCAGTGTCCATGCCTTCAACAGGAACTTGTGACCCAAGCGACGCTGGGGGAACGGGCAACACAGGAGATGCTACTGTGGAAGGATCGGGCGTCAAATCCTTGGTCACTGCACAGCCAATGACATTCCCATCTACATCCCGAGGAGTCATGGGAACTGCTGAAGAGAGCGGGCTAGCAAGCGCCGAAGCAGGTGTCGAGTTCTGAAACACAAAGCCAGCCAAGTTCTGCTGCTCGGCTTCCCCAGTGAGATAATCCTCTTCCTCCTCTTCCAGATCAGCATTAATGCCCGGAATTTTCTCCTCCAGACCGTCATCATCCATCATGGCATCGTAGTCGAACTCGTCATCGTAGTAATCGAGACTCGAGCTGCCACGGCAGTCGTCATTCGTGAGACCCTTTTCTCTTGCCCTCTGCCTGTGGCGTTCTTCCAGCAACTTTTCTTGGTTGGCAGCCCCGATCATGTCGAAGCTGAATCGAGAAGAGGTACTCTTCATGTGCTTCGGAAGTGAGGACGAGACAGAGCTGCGTTTTGAGGCCTTGGAAATGTTGCGCGTAGTTCTCACGGATGCTGACGTGTCTGGCAACGCGGAAACCACATCGGCCTCTGTGGCTGCTGCAATATCCGTGCTAGCCGCCGCTCCATCTGTGTGTTGTGATGGCTCCAACGGTGTGTCATCTGGAACACTTCCTTCCTGCGAAGCGGGAGCAACAGGCACAGCAGTTACGCCGTCTGTGGTCGAATGAGCAGTACAATCTTGGGGACCTGGTTGTGGATACGCAACTTCAACGAGACTGGTTGGCCGACTCGCCAGCGACGCACTCTGGGACTTGTCGGTGACAGGCGGCTTCGTGGCCGGCGGTGTGTTCCTGGGTCGGGGTGCACTAAAATCATGTACTTTCGTACCTTTAATCCTCGGGTCGTAGCTCGGGGCTGGTTGTGGATCAGGGGTGCCATGACTAGTCTTTCTTCTGCCCAGCAATGATGCCACAGAGTTCAAAAACGGCAAGCCTTTCTTCGGTTTATGGGGCTCAGGAGCAGTAAGCGCGGCGAATGTCTTCGACTTTGATCGCTTGCTTGTTGTCAACGGCGTCTCTGTGGGAAGCGTTGTGGTTATCGGTGGCGGAGGGTGTTTGACCCGAGAAATCTGGCTCGGCAGAACTGGAGTAGACATGACAGAGGTGGCATCCGTCGATTGTGAGCTCTGCATGGCGCGCTGGAGGGCCACGCCGCCTATGAAGGATGGCGTGCTAGTATTACCGTGCGAGGAGCCGGCAGAGGACTTGCGCGGCTCCGCCGCGATTGCTTGGGCGATGGATTGGGCATTATTGCGAGAACTCGAATCCTCGTCGTTGGTAGGCGATGCGACGCGTGGAATCGGGGGCAATATAGGCGGTTTCTCGACAGAATTAGATGACCGTTGCGAGGCATCCGGACGTGGTGAGACATCGCGCGCCGCTTGCAATTGTTCGTGTTGCGCAGCAGCGCCATCTCGGGCGGGGGATCGATCAGGCAACGACGACGTCGGATTCGATGGGCCGCGTCGGTGAAAGCGGAGGTGCGACAGCATGTTTCAGGCGGTTCAAAGACCCCGTGTGCTCAATGGGTCGCGAGAGGTAGCGCTAGAACAGAAGAACCAAGGCAAAGGATAGCTCCGCTCAGGAGGACACGAGGAGTGGGAAACACATGCATTGAGACTTTTGCAAGCCAGGGCCAACCCCTCGGCGGGGCGCGAACGCGGAAATCGAAAATGTTATATATAGTATCTCTGTGATGATTGTCGTCGCACGTATCCCTCTGAACCAGATGGGTGCTTTCTCGAGGAAAGGCCCTTTTAGAGTCGGAAAAGGCAAGCAGCGAGCGACAGCGAGCACAAAACACGAGGATGCGAGCGATATGTTGTTGGTTGTAACTTTGCGGTTCTGGATCTTGTTCGTCTGAAGCCAAGCGAAGCGCTTCTGGAAGAGACGGAATCAAGCATGAGCCTTTGGCCAGCCGCCAACCCATTGTTCCGTTGCAAATCTGCGGTCGAGTGGAGCTGAATGGAGACGCCAGGGCGAACCATCGTGGAAATTAGCGTTGGTCCGTGCCCCTACCAAGTTTATGCAGGTATCGATCGATTTACCGGGCTGCATGTCGCCGCGCCCGATTTCTGAAGCTTGAAGCAGGGCGCTGTAGTTGTGACCCAAAGTCAACACAGGTAGATCTCATCTCTGATTTGATCTGCGGGAACTGAGAGAACTGGGAGTGCGTGAGAAAGTAGCTCATCAGCGAGAACTTCCCAATCAATCTGAGGAGCTAAGCGACCCCAGATCTCTCGCAGAATGAATGGCTCGACTGCCCACATGCCCATCTGCTATCAACCACTTGATCCTCCCTCCAGGACTCAAGTATGTATAAGCACCTACAGAGCCCTGTGTATCTGGTAAACGCTAACTCCTCGTTGCTTTCTCTCGCTAGTTGATGTCGTTGGATTCTGCGTATATATGCTGGGCGTGTATACGCGCCGTCGCGCGCCTCACAGTAAGCTCAGACGAAGCCCATCACTTCTTCGCTTACCTAAAAACGCATTTTCCGGCAATCCACAGAACTCTGAGCGGCAGTGCCTAGAGTTTTGGTTTCCTTGACATCCTTTGAGCATTTCATTGCTCAATCTCAAAACAGCATGCGAAGGATATCCCAGCTTCCAGGTTATTCTTTCCTTCCCATTCCAATCTTGCCCAGCTTCGTCTCTTCTGTGTCCCTTGGCCGCCCAGTATTTAAAGCAGTTCGGCCATGCTATTCTTACAAAATTGTCTAGGAGTAAAGCCACGTCACTGACGTTGAGCTCACTTTTGCTGTTTCCTTCTAACCGTCTCTTTCTTACTATCGGTCATCTGATCATAAGGCTGATTGGCTCACCGAGTTCAATCAAGAATTCAATGTCCAAGATGCCCAAGTGCGGCGAGAGCCTAGCCTGCCTACCTCTTGCTGTTGCGCACTTGCGCGGGTACGCAAGGCTTGCTTCTCAGGTTCAGTATCCACTCGCCGACACATGAGACATGCATGTCATATGCGAGCCACTCCAATCGACTCATCAGATCATTCTGGGGGACGAATAACTTGGCCAATATCATTTGAAAACCTCGCAACAGAAATGAGGATTTCTCAGTTGAGTGTATCACTAAGCGCAATTGCGATGCCTCGCAATGGCGAGCGACTATTTCGTGACTCGGAGAAACGACTTTCCCTCGGGTAGCAATCAGCCGGGACACCTTATCATATTGTCGAGAGGTAAAACCCTCGGTGGTTTGTTTTTCATCTAATCACCTTTGGTTCAACCTCAACTCTCCATCAGCCTGGGATCTCGGGCATTAGCCTAGTATATGAAGGAGAGCAATTCTCTCCTCGTGGCCCTGACTGTCGTCTCAGGATGGATTTTGTCCAGCAGCTCCAGGTATCACTCATTCTTAGCCTATCTGCTATCACTTTTACCTCACGTACCACTCTCACCTCGTTGTTCATCATGGAGTTTCTGCGGGCTCCTGTGACTTATGCTGCCGCTGAGAACGGCCAAGTTGGGGATTGGTCGCAGCCAGCATTACCACCTGAAGTTAGATTGCTTAGAAAAGAAAAACCGTGCAGCGCAGCCACAAGCCGATCGTCTAGTCCTGGTCCTTCCTTGATCACCCAAACTGATAGCGATCGTTCGCGCTTTAGTGTTTTTTTTCTTACCGTTCCTCAACAGCAAGCACAATCGTCACATGTGTCGGCCACCACATCCCCTGTGCATCCAGCAGTGATGGCAAGGATGCTGCTGAACGGTGTACACAGCGGCCCCCCAAGGGAGCCCAGAAAACACGCCTGCAGGTGAAACGCCCACTGAACAAGATGCCGATCGTGATCAAGACACATCTCGAAAACGGAAGCGGAATACTTCCGATGAAGAGGGCGATGGAGAACATGAGGAGTTGCCTGAAGACAACGGCGATCATGAGGACGAAGACCCGGATGATATGGATAACAAGGCGCAATCTGATCCTCAGACGAACACCGGGGTGATGCTGGCCTGTCCATTCAATAAAAAGGATCCATTCTGTTATGGCGGAGGTGGGTGTGTTAAGGACAAAAGAGATCGAAGTACAGGATCTGCTCAAGCCCTGGGTTCCCCTCAATTCATAGACTCAAGTATGATCTCATTTCAACCCTTTTGCTGAGGGGTCCCGGAACCCTGCCCTCATCGCGCCTGTTAGCGTGGGGCTTGTGTACTAACAGGGAACTAGAGAACACCTACAACGGGTTCATTCTCCCATCCGAGCGATGCAAACAAGTGTTTAGTTCACTGGCTAAGAGCGATCGTGCCCAAGCCCTAAAGAAGCTGCGAGAACATCAGGAGCAACAAGAACCATGTGAGCTCCGTTCCTCTAACATTGAGATCGTCGATCCGGTGATGTGGGCTCAGATTGAGAAGAAAAGTCGTAAACGGAATCAGGGGAGCGTCCACTCAGTCGACAGGTGGAATGAGATCTGGGATATCCTCTTTCCCGATGTCCCACGGCCCAAAGATCCTTGTGAGTAACCATTCTTCCATTGTTCTTGCCACTATTTTTTTTTTGGCCTGGTAGCTGATTGTCCCAGGGAACAAAGGTGTGTTACAGTTCGATAACATACCGAAACATGGAGAAATGAGTTTCACCAGCCTCTTTACGGACATCATGAATTACAAAAGACAACAAGGTGACGTGCTGGGTTTGGATGATGCAACATGCGAGAGACTCCAAGGGATAGCTCGAACAGCCTTCAGAACTTACGTCAGCATCCGGGATGATTATGAGCTTTCTTCATCAAGCCAAAACCACACATCTTTGGTTGGTGGTTCTTCCACACATCCATCATCAGGAAAGCCTCTTGGCACCAATAAACGATCAAAGACCACTGGAACCGCAGCTGCGACAAGCACGAGCTCGCATCGACCTCACCTGGGCTCTCAACCACCAGAATCTCAATCACTTGAGCTGTAACAAGGGCCATACTCGTCCATCAATGTGCAATCTCAAGCTACATACCAACAAGCCACCCTCGGTCTCAACTACAATGATCAAGCAAATTCCAATCCCATGCCCCCACAGAGTGGGTTCCAGCTTGCTGTCAGTTCCAACCCAACATTTCCTACACCCCGGCATCAGTTTTCCGGGTCCCTCCCTACGCCTGAGAATATCTATTCCTCAGAACCCTACCAATGTGTCGCGTTCCCGACACAAGGCCACTGGATGACTGCGGCCACAGCATCAGCAGCATTCCCTGCTAGAACAACCACACAGGGCACACCATCCCCTGCTGTCGCTGCTGCTGCAACGACAATCCCTGACTGGTACCCTTATGTCACAATGAATGGGACAGCTGGCTTTGTGGGTCAGGTTGCTAACCCCGGGGCTGCCAATGCTGCAGAGGCTGAGGTAATGTTGCGCAAGACGGATGGTATAGTACGGTGAAGTGGTAGGTTGGCACTGGTCAGCAGGTCACCATTGCTAGTCTTTGCTTTTTTTTCCCCCTATCTCTATCACTTCCCTATCACACCGTTTTCCAATTAGTGTCCTTCTGCCAGTTTCACTTGAAACGCATCTCTATGTTCTCATTCTTTGTTTCTGAGGATATGTACTAAGCTATCGCTGCTTATGTGATATTAAGCTATCATCGCTTGGGTGATGTCCTCACTTAAACACACAGTGTGTATTGTTTCCACTCCAGGTTGTGAGCCCTCCTGTCCGTGCTTTTCATGGATTTAGTTTCAGTCTGTATGTTCTCAATTTGACGTTTGTCTTCGCATTTTAGCTTGCATTTCCTTGCTAGTTTCTCAGTATTACAGCAAGGGTAAGCATTAATGATCTAGAACTGATAGCAGCCACTGTGCCTTAGAACGCGTCACCCGTTGCATGATCTTATCAAAATGATCGCCTTGTTTTTTTTTTTTTGTCTCCTTTACCTTGCAACATCCGTACCACTTACTCCACACAACAAAAACCTCTGAGATTCAACACAGTACACAGGAAGCGAGGGAAATACTAGAGAAAGTCCGAACCTTCCCGTTTCTGCGCTTATTCTAGTCGGTTCGTACTCGGGTTGTGCACAGGTTTGGGGTATGGCCATTGGCAAAGCCCAGTGTGGCACAACCTCGTGGTCAAGTGTAAGCCATTTCCTCAGAGCAGAGTTCCCAACTTCTCAAATGCATCCCACCTCCCACGACCCTGTCTTTTCCACATCTTCACTTACCCTTTCTTCCACAGATCCCTCCACAACTCCCTGAGCCCATACTGCTTCTCCTTCCCCTCCTCACCCGTAACTCCTCCTCCACCAGTCCCACTCAGTCCTCCCCCACCTCCAAAAAGCCCCAACAACCCCCCACCGCCCCCTCCAAATCCTCCAGAACTCTCCTTCGGTCTCAACGCCTGCGTCCGAATCTCGTCTGCCAAGAGAGGCGCTACATCAGCATAACATCCACTGAGCTCACGCTCGAGGGAGAAATATGGCTTCTTTGCAAGCTCAGGAGCCATGAGGTTATAAGAACGTGTGAGCGAATTGAGATGAGTGATGGTGAGCTCCATGTAGGAGCGTTGGGAGCGCTCCCATTGGGGGTCACGCAGGGGTCTCAGGGCAGTAGCTGCATCGTCAGTTGATGAGGATGGTTGAGAGGCAGAGCTACTAGAAGCAGATTGATGCAGCTTGAGGCTGTCATCCGTCGTGTTAGAGGGGACAGATATCTGGTCGATTTTGCGGCGGGAGGGGTTGTGCAGCTCTTCGGCACGGGCATAGGCTTTTGCGCGGGAAATTTTGTCTTCTAAGCTGCCGCCGCGGCTCGTTATTAGGCGGATGGCGTGGCGCTTCCATTCGGTGCGGATGCGCTTGCGGAAGTCCTCGGCAGCGCGGACAAGTTCCTGTTGTTTGTCGATCCAGGGGGGAACGAGGTCTTGCCGTTTGATCATCTTGTTCATGATGTACTCAGTCTGGTTGTGCGAGTGATTAGACAATGAAGTTTGTTCATATTTCACTCTATGAAGGCCACTCACAGTATCAATAAAAGGGTTATCCGCCCGCGTATCTCTCTCAACCCCCGGTCCACGTGGAATATTTTTAAATTGACCCCTCGCCATCGCATCTTCAATCCTTTCATTCGCCAGCGCTGCCAAACCCGAGATCGAGTTCGGCAGCGCCCTATACCCCGGACTAAACCTCTCTCTAAACTCCCTCTTCAACGCCTCCTTCTCATCCTCCGTCAGGCCTGTGTCCTTCCCCATCCCCATACTCGCATAAGCCTGTGCCCTTTCCCTCGCGTTGGCAGCCCTTAACCCAGGACTCACGTTCCCCGCCCCCCGTATCCTCATATCCACCGGTGGCGGCGGCGCAGCCTTTCCCCTCAATTCCGCGCTCAACGGTTTCCTAGCATCATCTAACATCCTCAACACCGCATCCCCCATCTCTTCCTCCCCCGTCCAGGGCTTGCTCGTCGCCGTGGCGCGCGTGCCCTGTCCTGCTGAGGAAGGGATCTTGGAGGAGCCCAGGCCGGCTTGCGTCAGCGCGGCAGAGTGCTCGGCGTTGAAGGAGGCTGCGGCGACCTTTTCAAGGAGCTTGGCTTTGAGCTCGTCGCTGAAGCCGGCTTCTTCGATGGCGCGGCGGCCGGCCCGGCCGCCGAAGAAAAGGGCGTCTTCGGTTGCTTGTTCGAGGAGGCGGGTCATTGCGCCGGGTTCGGGGTCGGGGGGATCGGAAGTTTTGGGTTGAGTATCTTTCGATATAGCTTGCGACTCGGTTTTCCCTGTGGGATTCTCATCTGGTTTGGAGGACTGGGATGAGGAAGACTCGTTGGAGGGGTCATGCCAAGGGGAAGATTGTGAAAAGTTACGGAGCGATTGAGGGGCTGAGGAAACAGGCAAGGCTCGGGAGCGCAGCACGTGGCCGCAGCGCGCACATCGGAAGGGAGCGATAGCCATTACGTTGGCTTGCTAAACAATTGGCTAGAACAGCGAGCTACATCGATGTCTGCGATGGAGGAGGGCATGCCATAAGGTAAATGGACGGCGAATTTCGGTGCAGTTTCGCAATCAGAATCCGACAATATACAGTTATCGGCTACGGTATAGTACAGTGCGAAAACTGTGAGACACCAAGTGCTGAGCAAGGGCCTAAACATCAGGACGTGCTTTGTATCTGCGGTGCTACAACGGCGCAACGTCATCGCCACGCGATATGGCAGAACTGCATCCCTGGCGCCAGCCGATCCCAAAACCATCCACCACATTTTTGGGACGATCGTAACAGGGATGCCGGGCTGAAGCCAAGACGGCTGATCGACGCTGTTGCAGCAACTCCGACGTTGGCAACCATGAAGCGAGCAAGCACCTCGACGAATCAGCAGAACGATAATGGCTTACTTCCTGCTCTTTGTCTTGGGTGACTAGTCCGGCCGCTTATTGGAGAAGCTAATGGGAGCTTCCAGAAGTTCCAGTGGGGCAGCATATGACAACATCATCGCCAGTTGTTTTCGGCACGCCATCGCTGTGCAGGTGCCTTGACATCGACCTCCTCCCACGCCCAATAACTTAATCACTCTAGCGCGCACTGCACCGTGTTTTCCCTCTCATTCCTATTTTTCACCAACCAAGTATCGCATTCCAAATAATTGGATTCTTGAGGTTACCGAAACAACAGCAACAACGGAAGATCATGATTGAGCATGCTGATTGTGCCTAATCACCCAGCATCCAAATCAGCCAGCCAGCCAAACACTGATATAGGAGCAGACAAGGCGATTGTCTTCGACTCGATCTTTCTGTGATCTGATCGTACAGTTTTCAACTGTTTTATTTAAAATTCGTGACATCTTCGCTCCGAGCTCTTAGACGTTTCACATGCCCAACGACACGCACCTCGACTGGTACTGTCACAGCTGCCACAATGAGTGGCAGCGCATAGACGACAGTACCCAATGTCCTACTTGCAGGAGCTTGTGCACCGAGCTCGTATGTCTTATCTGCTATCATCTTCATCTCATTGCAAAGGCTAACATGTTCCAGATTACGCCCGACAACGACCCCCGCCAGTTCCATCGCCGGGGCCAAAGTTCAAACCCGCCGCAGAGCCCCGATGCTCGGCCCGCTGCCGATTCGGCAGCAGGCCCCGGCCACGATACGAACGCGCAGCCGGCGCAGAGCCCAACTGGCGCAGCAGGGCAGGGAGGGACTGGGACACCGGGCACAGGTCAGGGAGAGACTGGGACACCGGGCACAGGTCAGGGAGGGACTGGGACATCGAGCACAGGTACCGGGCAGCGCATCATCTTCACGGTGCCGCTGGGCGTCCTGGTGACCTTCTACGCCGCCCAATCCCCGACAACATTATTGCCCACGTCACCCAGCGACAGCAGCTCCCCTCTGTCGTCGGTCTCCTATCTGTTGGCAACACTGACATTGCCGTCGCCACCAAATTCTGTCGCATCTGGGCAAGGCGCGTTCGCACATCCAACGGAATCACCAATAGCAGAAACAGACTCTGTTACATCTGCGTCGAGGCAGACCCAACCCGGCGATAGAACAGAAGCCCCGGCTCCCCCAACCCCCTCAACTCCCGGAATCACCACAACTAGCACGACGGCTGCGCACAGGCAATTCATCCCAACCGCGCAGCCAACTTCAGACGAAACTCCCACCGCCGATCCCCACACACCCGCCCATGACGACACCGAACCCCATTCATCCCCTCCCCGCCAAGTGCTCTCCCTCATCCTGGCCCTCTCCCTCCTCACGCGGACCCCACTCACCCCCGAGGAGGGTGCCATCCTTCGCGGCGACGAGCCCACCACGCCTGCGGCGCTGCACCGCATCCTGGCCCGCCTCGTCGAGGAAGCCCAGGTCCTGGCTGCGCAGCTGCAGCCTGCCCCTATCGGCGGCGCGCCACCTGCGAGCGAGGCGGCGCTTGAGAGGTGCCTCAGGCCAAGGAAGCTGGAGAAGGAGTTGCTTGGTCTTGAGACAGGGGATGAGACAAAAGAGGAGGGGGTGACGTGCGTTGTGTGTGTGGAGGAGATGCGGCTGGGAGAGGAGGTTGCGGTGCTGCCGTGCCGGCATGTCTTTCATGGGCAGTGCATTGGGCAGTGGCTGGCGTTGCACAATACGTGCCCTGTGTGCCGACGGTCAGTTGAGGGGGACGGAGCACAGAAAGGAGATTAGTCAGGTTCGGGCTGAATTCGGATGTTGATCTCGGTGGGGAGGGTTGAGTTTTGGAGGCAATGAGGGAGATTCGTTTCGTTATTGGGTCATTTGGCGTTTTTTTCCGGATGGTATAACACATGGGTGATCAGCGTTTGAGCTTTGTGAGATAGACGGGTACATTGGATGAAGAGATTTTCGTACATAACAATACCCAGAGATACCCTAGGATAATGGAGTCCCAGAATAAGGACACAAGACAGTGTTTTGCGTTTTCAGCAGTTAACAGCCCAGCTAGACTGAACAACACCTGTCGATACAACTTCATGGCAATCCGGGTACGGCGAGATTTTGAAGGTCGCCTGCTGACGTACGAGGAGGCAGTCGAAGAGAACGTCAATCTCTTTAGCCTACTGAAATGCCGTGAGTGGGCGCAGAGATTGAAGCAGGATCTATGGCAGAAGTGCGAGAAGATACGGAACCTGGTCTGTTTACATCTCGGCCTGAGTGAACAAGACCAATGCAACGTGCTGAAACCGCGAATATGCATAAAAAGGCGGGTTTAACCTGTGTGCGTGGATGTCACGATGGCTGGTATTCAGAAGAAAGCGGTTTTTTCGCTGCTGTATTCCACACAAATGCGCTGAGGAGCATAGTCCTGTGACCATGGAAGAAAGTTAAGCACCCGAGGTTGGTGCGTATGTTTCTTTTCAAAGAGACGTAGTTGATGATATTCCCATCCCTCGTCTCTACGGCTTTTGGTTCTCTAATTGGCGGCAGGTGAGTTAGCCATAATAGATATACGTTGCATTATGATAGACAACTGTTATACTGACAGCTTATATTCCAGTTTACACACCTTGATTACTACTGTGTCTCCCATGAAGAGAAGCAAACAATCAATTGGGGACCTAAGCATCCAACCAGATCCCAACCAGATCCCAGCCGGATCCATTCAGACTACGTACCTCACCCAACAAGGTTCGTCAGGAGCATATAGCTGCTCTCAGTGAACAAGAGGAAAGAAAGTATTAGGGATAAGGAGAAAGCGGTTGTGCTTTTAGAGGTTACGGAGGAGATGTGGGGGTTCAAAGGCATCTGGTTTTGGCATCGCCTGACTTTGTTTAATGTCAGGTACAACCTTGTTGAAAACAATATCCTCGGGAAGACACTGCCTGCCAGTGCGGACAGGGCTTTGGTCCAATTCTGGTGCAAAACTTCTGAGGACTTGTTTGCAAGATGGTTGCTGATAAGGAGTACGATGAGCTGTTGAAACAGTTTGAAGGGCAAGTTTGCTCATATATTATGTCGTAAGTGGATCCTCTCTGTGTCACCATAGCGGCCCGTCCCGCGGTGGATCCAGTTTAGGATACACAGAGATGTACATGGGAGCGGTGTTATACAAGTTTGACCAACATAAAGAATCTAAGTGTCAAGTTGTGCATCTTGCTTGGTCCCAGTTCGGTATATAGATATACGTCTCTGTTATTCAAGGCTTTTATCGTCCCTTACTCTGTCAAACTTGACTCGAGCAACCACCGCGCACGGGTCTCGAGTCTCCTGAGTGTCGAGCATTGCCTACTGATCCCCCAAGTTTTCCGAGAACTAGAGAGAGAGATAGCAAACACTTCCGGCAGTTCATCCTGTTAGCCGCGGTGTATTTCTACTTGTTAATCCTATCTTGTCTGGTTCCGATGTTCCAAACCACGATCTCTTCTCTTTCACTGGAAGATACCCTAACCATTTAACCTCATTTCCCAGCCTGAGTCCCGGCATTCCGCCATCTTCTCAGGTACAATTCGCACTAGCCAAAATCACCCCCGAAAACGAGCACGGCTGTCCCAAACCAATTCAGTCAGTCAAATCTCTCGCCATACCGAAGACAATCAGTTACGTAACACATACGTTCCCATCAGCTTTGCACCTTCTACTCTCATCAATCTGGATCGGGCCGCCAAACACAAAGCGAAGCCCACACGTCACTGTCAGAGTTGAGTTCTCGAATGGAATGAGACAGACGTTGGGGTCGACCGTGCAAGTGCCGACTAGAGGGTCCTGGCGGGCCTCGAGCTGGTGTAACCCAGGTTCGAGAAGGGGGTTAGAGGCAGTTGGGAGGGCGTTGACGCTGACGAGGAGGGCTGTAAGCGTAATGATGGGTTTGATAAGATGCATTGTGATGGAAGTGTTGTCGAGGTCGCTTGGAATGCTTTATGAGAATGATGCATGAACTGATGAGGTTATCAAGAGCATGGACGTTCATCCTGACTTATAACCCGGAGTGTGGGTAGTTCTTTACTCGTTGATCGCTTGTAAGCGGCAAATAGTCAGGTTCGGTTAAAGCAATCATACTTGAGAGTTTCGCCAAGCCTGGTGATGGTTGAGGGGACTTAGTAAGCCCCAGCTGACCATGTGATGAACATCCCAAGCACATTCGTCATATTTGTAACTTTGTGGTGAGATAAGAGGCAATATTGGGGTTGAAAACTGCTAGTGCTGACTGGGTTCCGACTTGGCTGCCCCTGTTGAGATGATCCGGGCGCTTACTCAACTTCTTTGTCATAGTAGTGCATCTGGCTTGTTCAGTCGCAGGTTCAAGTTGCATGAAAAGGCAACTTCGTAAGAGGAATTCCCTTTGACTTCAAGAGCATAGCGTTTAATCGTGTTTCTGACCAGTACAACCGTTTCCTCCCATCCTAATGCCTGAGTACGAAGGACTGCAATCCGAGCCGACATGGAAAGTGGAAATTTCCTCCCGGTACATGTACGGCTATTCATCTCAGACTTGTTTCTCGTTTTGATTCATCTTGCTTCTTCCACGCGGTAGAAAAAGGAGCGACAATGCCATCGAAGAGCTTCTCCAAAAACTCTCAAACACTAATGACTTGATAGTTTCCATCCCAGGAAACTTGCATCATGGACAGCGTTATGCAGCAGCCATACGTTATACCTACCTCGTAGTATACCTTGTCTGTCAGTTGATTGGCAAGCTGATAAAATGATGTTTCATCGGTCAACGGAGTCACCTGATCACTGTGCCCATCGCCGTTGTGTCGTCGCTTATCTGCCTAGATTTCCTCCATTGTTTCCCAAGGCAGAGCTCAATTAGCACGATACCTAGAGCAGAAAGAATCCTGTCGTGGGTGAAGATATTTGTAACCGGATCCTGGGTTCCAGTCTCGGGGCCCCTAGATATGCGGTTTCCCTTCAAAACCGAGGGGGCATGAGAAGAAATAACCTCTGGACACCACCCGACCACATGGGCACTCCTTGTTTGCCTCTTAGGGGTGGTTGAACCGCACGTGGTACTCCAGACAATCGCCGTTGTCTGAGACCTCCGCGAGCTAGCGGGCAAGGCACTTTCGGGAGAACCTCTCGAGGAAGGGCTTGGATGTGTGCCCGTCCTAGCGGACAGAGAGGGGTTTATCAGATTGCCACCATCCCCTGATGTCTGAGGGGGGGGCACCCGGCGTCTCTGTGGGAGGTCGAGGGGGAAGGCCGATGCTGTAACGGGGGACTTGGTCTGGTGAAGGCAGGAATCGGCAATGGGTCAAATGGGTTAGATGATAGCCACTACTGATGCAGGGTGCACGACGATGTCAATTAATACGTGTAATAGTCGTTCTTGGTTCTCAGTGTTTTTGTATTAGGGAGAGGATGAACCAAGAGAAGTCCTTCATCGTATCCGGGCAGCTTCCTTTATGGAATCCTCTTGCCCTTGTGAGTCTCTCGCTCTCCCAGGTTTTTCAGGGGTCTCGTCCTCCTGCCTCGGCCATCTGGCCCATTCGGTCGTGTTGCTCCATATATCTTCTGGAATCAACGATGTAATTGTGTTGTTCACAATCATTCTATATCTGGTGTCCCTTGTGTTGCAGTCGAGGATACCCCTTTCCTTGGACTGCCGTGTCCTTGTGACAGAAAAGGAGCTTGCGAGGAGTCTTGGGAATGCCGTTTGAGAATTTATTGGTTATTCTCATATTTCTATGTCAAGGAGATATCAACTCCAGAAAGGCCGAGCATTGAGGAGCCCCTTGATATATCATTGTTTTCCAAGTCGTATAAGGCAACAGCGCAGTTAGAGAAAAGACAAACCGCTTAGCTTCTATGCGGGTTTGACTAGTTCTCAAACACACTGACTATAATAGTCATTTAAAAATTTGCACGTCAATCCAGCTGCACAAGTTTTGCAGCCATTGAACCCAATCCCATCGCATTGTGCCCACTGAGCAGCAGTGCACCCTCCACTCGACGCCGTAGATGTCACAGCCGGCGCAGCACTTGTCGTTGTAGTCGGCAGCCTCGTAGTAGACGTCACCAGCGTCGTCGCAGGCACTGTGGAATTATTCCCTCCTCCATTTCCAGTTCCGACTCCTTCAGACCCTACACTTTGTCAGTCCTATTCATCTCCATCTGTTTTAAATCATTTAACATCATCACCACAGGAGTCGATCAATAAGGAGACTCACCTGGCCCAGACACACTCGTCGTAATCTCCCCATTCTCAATATACACACCACTAAAGTAAAAATCCTCATCAAAATCATTATACCCCGACCGCGGCAACTCCAGCACGCCCACATGCCAATCCTTCCCATCCGAGCTGGCACTAGTGCGGACGGGATCAACAACCCTCTTCAGCGGTTCGCCATTCTCACTATGCCAGAGCCCGACCGTCCCAGCCGAAAAATCAATCTCATACGCAAAATTATGCCACACATCTGCTTCCCACTCCACACTCCAGTGAGTCTGCCCCGACACACACCACCGCAGCTTGGTATCCTCCGTCCCAGGTGATCCAGACAACCAGCCTGACTTAAGCTCCGTAAAATGACTCTCAAAAAAGGCAATCTGATGCTCCCGCGTGGTAGCCGGCGCATTCACATCTTTCCGCATCAATGAAAAGTGATAATAGACCTTCCCCCTATTAATCGGCGCCGTCGTCTGAGGGATCAACTCCGTGCGACGCATGTTCTGGCCGTTCCAGTAAGCTGTGCGGTCGAGTGTGATCTTGGCGCCCTGCTTGGAGCCGGCGTCGAAAGGGTTTTTGTAGGATGGTGAGAGATTAACGTAGGCGGTGACGGGGGACGAGCCGTGGATGTAGTATTGGTAGGGGCCGACTTGGTTAGACCACGACCAGCGGTTGAGATCAAGTGAGGAGGACAGGTCGTTGAACCGCCCGTCCCAGAGGATGTTGCCTCCGAGGGCGGGGGCTGTGAGGGTGGCGAGGGTGAGGAGACGCATCTTAGCTAGGGACGGGGATAAGGGAGAAGGATGGGACGAGGGAGGTGAATGGGTGGAGTGGGATATGTTGACTTTGTCTGCTTTATATTCTCTTTCCAAGACAAACTCTATATCTTTATCCGTGCAGTCTTCTTAAACATTCCCCGATCCCGGTTGTGGCCTGGTGCAAACTTTGTCTTCTCCCGCCTCGCTGTTACATTTGACTTGCCGTTGGCGCGGCAAAACTCAGGCACGGAACTCAATCCTCCATCGCGATCCAAACAACCGGTAACACCCGTGTAAATTACTCCTCCACTTTACTCGGTGCTTGCATCCCCGGGTTCCGTGTCCGGGTTGGCGCTCGGAAGAGAGATATTTTGGGCAGACAAAAAGTTACACCCGACTGTGGCGTACTTGTGGGGAAAGATGTCTTTTGGGGTGTTGCATAGGTCATGAACGAGGTAGGAAAGGGTAATAAGAGAAGTTAACCGGCCGGAGCAGGTTGCAGGGTCAGAGCCGAGGCGGAGCTGGTTCGGGAGCGTTGTTCAGCAAGGGTCTCATCTGTGTTGAATGATAGCGAGCGGTCCGACTGACATTCCAGCTTGTAGCCCTGAACATGTGTAAGAACAGTGCCAGGAGGCTCCGAGTGGTCGTAGTCATTTATTAGGTCTTCAGCGCTCGTCCATTGTTCTGGCATTCTCAAGATCCCGGTATATTGATCCCCCCAGCACTCCCACACCAATGCCTTCCCATCCTCCACATACTAATCCCACAAAGAAACTCTCCTTCCTGACCTGCATGAACCTCTCCCGCACCACTTCCGCAACTCCCTGATAATACTCCATCCAAAACTGTCAGCGCATGCTCTGCTGTCTGCAAATCCTGCAGTCCTCCAGCTCGGGCCAGTACACGGGCTCAGGGAAGGTGAGGCCACGTCTGCAGTACTGTAGATAATGGTTCTATGCTTCGGGAATAAGGTGAGCGGAAGATGAAAAACTTAGTAATAGCGTTCCAAGGGTCATAGTATGGTCGGTTTGAGGAACCAAGGACGATTGGTAAGGGGGATGGGGTTTGAGGGTCATCTTTCTTGAGCAGGGTGACAGGAGAAGGGATTTCGGGTGGGGAAGCTGGGGAATCTGGGGCGAAAAGAAACTGTATGAGAGACTGAAACTAGGCTTCTGTTGGGAATATATTGTGCGAGGGCACGAGGTTGGATGGATGAGAAGATGCTTGAACTGAAGCAATGCATTAGGTTATGTCTCGAGGTAAAATCAGGGAAAGATATATTTCTGGGGACTAGGCCAGGATGTGGTCCGTCTCTCCAAATTCCCTACACAGTCTTCGGATGGACATCCTCGTAGCTTTGAAATATGTGAACTACTATTTGATGGAGTGAGAAAGCAAGCATTCTCATGAGGCGACGTTCATAGGTTGTTGTCCGCTCTCGGACAAAGCTCATCATAATTCAGCTCCCGAACAAGATGCCAGATTTGTACACCCAGAGTCAATCTTTCTAAAGAACTCTTTGGTGGGCACGCTGTCAAAGTGTTCGGGCGATAGCTAACTTGACAGCTTGTGTGGAGAAGACGCAGCGTAGCATGAGGGAGAATGTTTGCAGATGATCAGAGGAGAGGGTGAGAGTTACGGCCACTTCTAGCAGAATCATGGGGCAGCAGGCGGTTATTTGGAGAGATAGAGCCGTCGATTGAGATTTTATGTGATATTAGCGCGAAATTGATGTTCTTCAAGCCTACTTGTCGTGAGCAAACTTGGGTGATGTTCAAGGACAACAACACAGCGACTTAACACAGCAACTTTACCATAATACATTACCACAGCCATGTTTTGCCTCTATACAACGAACCTGGTTCCCAGAAATATGAATACGCCAATATAAAACTTCTGAGAGGTGGATGACATGTATAAGGCGTTAGCCACATTTGTTTTCATTAAACTTATTTTATCCTGTTTATATTTTCTCATCTTGTCACTTCACTCTTCGTTTTTCTTCTTGGACCTTTGTGTCCTTCTCTCTGTCTTCGGTTGTCTCCTCTCTTTTGTTCCTTGATTCTCCTTTTCCACTTTTCTGCTTTTCTTCCCTTCTTCCTTCTATTCCCATTTCATCTTTCTCCACCCATTGTCCTCTACTACGTGTTCGCACAATCATTCTTCATGAAGCTGCTGCCCATAAGCTATATGCTTTGTTGCTAGTGACCATGCTGATCCCTATATCAGCGCAAAGCTTACTAAGAACAATAGCGCTGCATAATGCCATGTATAGTCTCGACAAGGATGTTTAGCCGCAGCTGTGATGACACAAGTGATTGGCGATGGCTTCAACAGGCCCAAGATATTGCTCTACGGAGCTCTTAAGACACGTGAGGTATCTTCTCGCGATGTATTAGCTTCAAAGTACTATGGAAAAATGACGTTGATGGTGTGTAACACTTCACTAGGTCAAGAGTGTGCTCTGCTCAAGGTCTTGATGTATAAATCTGCTCATATGTGAGCTCAAGGTCGCGTTTTCTCTTCATAAATTCTCCGGAAACTCTTACCTATCTTTTTCAACAGTTCCTTGCACACCAACATGTGGTCGATTCGTCTTGAAAAAATCTCCCTGGTACGATGGCCATCCCTGATCTTGCCCCAGATAGTCCCCCAACCGCTGACCTCTGCGCCACGGCCGCACAGAACCCCCCTTCCCTCTATCTTCGTAAGAACTGTGGACCAAACGGCTCTAAGAACAGAAAATGACAGTTATGAACTCCAGAAGGTCGCCGTGGTCGTTCTGCAAACGTTCAGCTCAGCTCTCGGCAATGCTGCATCCTCAAGTGGGAACGGCGTGAGCAGCCCCGACAAAATCAAGGCTCTTATATACTGCTCCTTCTCCTCCCAAGCTTACTGTAAAGATATCTTCGCCTTGACCCACATATATGGGGCCGAGGACCATCTCAGCAGTGTTGCTGCATACTACGAAGTTGAGATGAATTGAAGGGGAGCTTGACTTCTCGGGTGAACCAAGCTTAGTGACTGTCAGAGAGCTGTTTGTAGGTACCCAGAGGCCAGCGGCATCAAGGTGACCGCACTGACATACGAGTGGTTAGTTCTTCCTCGACTTTAGCCACAAGTTTGCAACAACTTCTCTCCCCCCCCCCCCCAAGCAGCCTCTTGCCTGGGGAAGAATGCTACTCCTGCCAATTGAGCAGAACAACGGATCAATATCTTGAAAAATTTGTGTGTTCAGTACTTGGATCGAGAACCTCACTCACCATCCAGATGATGAAACCCTACTGCGAAGCTTTGAAAGAGGCCTAAATGAGCTAGAGAGAAGCGAAACGAATGTGTTCGTCATCAGAGACGGAAACACGCAAGTTACTGACTAAACAACCACAGCTAGTGGAAAAACATTGCATAACTGTGAGTCTTTGGTATTGACCAGGGCCGTCCGCCTCGACGCCCGCCTCGAAGCCCTCACGGTAGGGAGCGTTATTGCCGAGAGGAATGCAAAATCCCGGGGATAACTGGCGGTTGAGATATGATGTATTGAAGTTCCATGTGCCCACGGAGTTTTTATGATGTGCCTTATTTGCATAAGTCCCTTCCAATTCTCTTCTGATCCCTGAATAAATCAACCTAGAACCGGTAGCTCTTGATCCACTACTACCTGGGTTCTAAAACTTGATCTGATAACCTCAAACACCCTCACAAAAGACGAACTAGCCGACCAAATCGAGCACTACTTGAAGACATTCCGTCTCTCTCTTTTTCTATCTGTCTGTTTTCCTCTTCTTCTTCCCCTTCGTACCCACCTTCCTCCTTTATTCTTTAGTATCCTTTTTTGTTTTCTTCTCTTTTTTGTTCACATCCAATGCTGTTCCCTTTGGCTCTTTAACTAGTCCTCTCCCAGTCCGCCTTAATTATCGGCTCAGCCAACACAGCCTTCGACATCCTCCGCTCCCCAACATGTCTCATCCCCCCTTTCCACATAACCCACCGCTCCTCCCACCAGTTACAGCCGGCCACATCTTCATGACCTTCCCTGCTGAGTGGACTCTGCCCTCGAAAAAAACCTTCTCTCTTCTTTGCCATCCCCAGAAATCGGATTGCTGCAAGGCGTGAAACGACTCTAAGTTCCCGGTCCACGGCAAACTCCCTGATGCCTATCTGGTACATCATTTACTCGAACGAGCGGGATGTCATTATGTTGATATTAGCGGGACGGAGCGTATTGTGAAGCGGGAGGTTAGAGTTAGAGCGGGGGTTGAACCCGTGGCTTATACCAAGACCAGTTTACAGATGTCAGATGACAGCGTTGAGACCGCCGATGCGGTTGTGTGGTGCACTGGCTTCGCTGATCAGAAAACCCTGGAGACGGCGGCTGAGATTACAGGCGTTAGGAACTATAACCCAGGAGCACACAAGCAGGAGAAGGGTGTTTAGGGCTGAAGGAGATCAACAGCAGGCTGGATGATGCCTGGGGTGTTGATGTAGAGAGTGAAGAGAGTATGCTGCGGAAACAGCATAGGAGGATAGAGAGGTATTGGCGCATGGGCGGGCATACGCAGCGGCATCGGTGGCATTCGTGGACTTTGGTAGTACAGATTAAGGCTAGGTTGGAAAGGTTGCTGCCCGAGGCGTTCTGGGATAATCTGGAGTTAAGGGATGAGATGACAAGGAAGTTGTGAGGATTAGGAGAGCACCAATGCTTTCTGAACACCTAGTACGCCATAAGTCTGCCCTAAAACTGATGATGTGCCCTTGTTCTTCTATTTGGACCAGCAGCGGCACATACTCACGGACTCTAGTCTTTACTAGTACTTGTTCTACTCATCTTTCCACGAAGCTGCTCAAATGTGCCTATCTCGCTCCATGGAGGAGCATAAAATTGAGCGCCCGTTGCTGGCGGTGCGGTTGTACCTGACAGCTATCTAGTCTTAAGGAATACCCTGACTCTCTGCCGATATCCTCAACAGTCTGTAAGATTCCCTGAAAGCATGGTTTCGTGGGGCAATAGGCTATGC